GTCAGCTCACAAAAATCTCAGATGTTATCTTCGTTATTATAGGATTCTTCGGTTCTGTTCAATTACAGGATTTTTGACCGGCCAGGTCCGGCCGGACTTGAAAATTTGTAATTTGTAGGAAAAACACAGCCAAATTTGAAGCAAAAAGTGATCCCAAAAATTTGGGCACAGAGACGCCCAAAGAGTCTTATTCCAAATCCATATAAAACAAGAAGATATTCAGCTGTAAATTTCTACCGAGGGTTTTCGTAGTCGGCAAATCGATTGGCGCTATTCATTTTGTCGAGTCTACCAACTCTCATCTCCAAGCTCAAATAAGATCCCAATATACTAGACTTTTGTGCATTTGTGCACAAAGTATGATTGGACATAGATTTGAATGTGCTATATCTAGAAACGATTGCTGAATCATCTAGATTCTGAACCTATCTATTTTCCATGTTCTATGAGTAAAACAAGTATGAAATAAGTCATTTCAAAGTTAGTTAGCAACATAACATTCGATTGGCAACTTGAAAGTTTGTACACTTTTACGTATTTTCCATAAAACATATTTAATAAGCCAATTCAATTAGACTTCTCTAAATAAAATTTATATATTATCTGACCAAGATCAATCTCCCGGGCCAAGACCAATCTCTCGGACCAAGACCAATCTCTTGGACCAACCCAATCTCTCGGACCAAGACCAATCTCCCGTTTGTCCCGGATCTGTTCTTTTTTCATAGGCATTTTTTAGTTGTTTTTGATTGCTTTTCAAAAATCTTTCCCTTCTCTGAACAAAAACTGATAACAGATGGATATATAATAAAAGATTTGAAGTTAGGTCATCCTTTTCCTTTTAAGAATCCTTTTCTTTTTAAGTCATTCGATTTTTATTAGGTCATCCTGTCAAAAAATCGATTCTTCTATTCTTAAAATCTTCCAAAAGTTCCAACTCTTTTGACTAATCGCAAGTCGAAACTTTTCCCTTTCTCAAACTTTGTCGACTCCATTTTGCAAGCACATTCATCTTCAAAGTTAATCGAAAAAAAGACTGACCTCTGGGAAAAAGACCAAGGCTTTTAACAAAAAAGAATAGTTTTCTAGTTTTTTATGTCCATCCGGTGGACAACGAACAGAAATGGGAAAAGAAAAGGGAAAAGGGTCCCAGTGGAATTTCTGCAAAACTTTTCAAAGAGGCGACTGACCTTGGGGCGGGGAAAAAAAGCGAGGAAACACTTCTGAAAAGTAATTTCAATCACACACCTGTATTTAGCATCAAAACAAATAAAACAAAAGTAAATTTGGCATTGAATGGCTTTGCAAATTGGTAAGCTTCCTACAATTGTTTATTGGATTTATTCAAAGCAAGGCATAAAGCTCTCCTGATTGTTTTTCGGCAAAAACCGCAATTTCTAGGCCAAACTAAAGCCAAGCCAAATATTTTTTTGCTGAATTCCCAGAATCCAGGTCAAGCCAAGCAAAGGCAAGGTTTTAGTTCACGGTAAGGTTGAACTTCTGGGCTAAGGCCAATTCTTAGCCCAAAAAAGCTGGCTCGTTCAACTGTAAGTTTCTTGTTTTACCGAAATAACTAACCACTTTCATCAGCAGCTATCTATTTTCGGCTCTGTTATGATTTTCTAAGTTTATTTGATTTCCAAATTTTTCAAATAAACATTCTTTGGTCAAAACATGTTTCCAAGAGCTTTCTAGCACAAAAAAACTGTTCTGGAAACTGAAATCTTGTTAAAATTTGTTTAATTTTTGATTCTGCAAAAGATTGACGTTCCACTCTTTTTTCCCTTCAACTAGGTGCAAATTTCAACGTTTTTCCCACCTCTCCAAACGTTCGGCTTATCTTTATTTGATGGGGGCAATTCGGAAAGCTTTTCTCTGTCTTTCCATCCTAAAATTCACAAAATAAGCTCATTTTTTGCCATTTTATTTCCAAAACTTTATTTTAGAGTGAAATTTGATTCGAAAATGCATAAAATTTCGATTTGGGAGGAGGGGATAATTAGGGTCTTTTTGTGGGTAACAGGTGCCATTTTGGGGGCATTGGATGGGTGGGGTGGATTGCGGGAAAACGGAAAGAAATTAACCATTCAGCTGACCGTTTCATTGTTGAATGATCGGCGACACAAGTTGAGTTTTTGGTTTTAAAAATAACTTGTTTTTTCAACTTCATTAATGCACTTTTCCTCACAAACAGTATCGTTCTCATTCTCATCGTTTAAACCAGGAATGTTTCAATTTCATTTGACCAATACCGAATTAGGCCAAAAGTTAGGTCCCGTCCTGTCTTTATGGGACTTGTTTGACCTGGCCTGGTCCACAAAAAATATCTGACAAGGGAAAGGCAATAGTAGAATGTAGTCAAAAGAAATAAGCCATATCCCATTCGACGCAGAATTTCATGCGGATTCCGAATCTGCTTTCCGTTTTTGCAAAAGCTGACTTACCGTACCTGGGGTCGGTTGTAACATTCCAAACAACTAACAAACAAACTTTAAACCACCTCTGAATAATTTAAAAGCTGCTTGCTACAATATTTTTTACTGAATTTCAAAAATTTCCCTTATTTCTTTGAAGACGTTGAAGACGAAGACGTCTCTTGTGACGTTTCGAGAACTTCAAGAAAAGTAAACTGTTCATGAACACAAAACAGACGGCACTGGTGTCAAAAAATAGGCTTCCCAATTTTCATTGCCACCGATTTGGCAACACCTTTTCTTTGTGTTTGGGTCTTTTTCCCTCTTCTTATCTCGTTGATTCGATTTCCCCGCTTTTCACTTGTCCCTTCCCCTTTTTCTTTCTACTCTCGATTTAAAGTGTCATCTATTGAAGCTGAAATTCGTCTTTTTCCTCTTCTCACTCTATCGACTTTCGATAGCTGAATATCTTTTGTCAACTGGATTATTTATGGATTTCTCGTCTTATCGAATCATTTTTTAGATTCGAAATTGATCAGATTTAGCACTGAGGTAGAGAAAAACTGAAATGAGAAGTCACACTTTGAAATATCATATCTTTCAACTAATTAAACCCAAATTTCAACCGGTTGACTCAATAAAATGAATATCTCCAATTGATTTTGCTGTTTTTTCGACAAATTCTCTACATTCCGGTAAACGGTAATGTTGCCTATACAGCAGGTAAGCTGAGAGAACAGCCCGATTTGATTTGAGCGTCTTGTCCCTAATATCCTTAGGGTTGTGATTCCTGTCAAAAGCTCCTAACAAAACAATAACACAACAGTGATTTAAATCATTGATTCCGTTATTTCACAAAAAAAAAACAAGACTTGAAGTAAATCTCAGAAATATTCCCACACATTAAATCCTCCTCTTCCCTTTTCAACCCCCTTTTTTCCTTCACAGTTATTCCCTCCTCGAGGCAGTCAAACCGCTGCACAAGCACTTCCCCTTTTTCCCTTTCCTTTTTCTCTATTCCCTATAGTCTTTCATGAGGATGAGCTAATGCACGCAACATAAAATTTTGTGCAAACGTCTCGATGTCTTGATAATCGTTTTTCATACATGTTCAACCAATACTAAGCATTCTTTTCATGTAAACATACGATTTTCTTTTCGGGAACTGGAGAATTTTGCCTACCTTATTTATTTCATTAGAAGAATCCCCTTTAGACGAAATTTTTCATTTTTTCGGATTTGTCAACTTTCGGAAAGCAAAATGCTCAACTTTTTAAAGACTTCCAAAGGCTTTAAATAATAGTTATAGACTAAAAAAGGCTTAACAACGTCGAAAACCGGATGAGAATCCAACAAAAACACCCATTTTTAAGCTCTTGAAAATTGAGTATACTGTAGCTAGGGCAAGAAAAAGAATTTTAAAGAAACATTAAAGAATAGAAGAGCCGGCTCTTCTATCAGAATGTTTACGGTAATTAATCTTTCTGGGAAAAGGGAAAAGAATTAAGAGCAAACTCTTTCTTTTTTTTCTTTCTTCTTTGTGCGTTCTTTGCACGTGAATGTAATCGCATCTCTTTTGGCATCGGGCCTTTTCATAACCCACTCCCATTCTCGGAACATAAACTTACCTGGCTGGGGGGCTCTCGCGATCATGAAGGCGGGACCCCCATGGCGAGGCTCGGCCATTGCACTTTAGGCTGGGTTGACCTGTGTGGCAGTCCCGAGTTGGGATTCGCTAACAGCTTAATTTTTGCGTGAGGGGCTGCGTTCGCGCGGCCCTGCAAATGCATTTGAAATCTTTAAGAAAAGCCTTTTCATTTTTGGGTTCTTCACCGTAGCTTTCTATATCACTTTAACGTAAATACATTGACTTTAACTACATAACTTTCTGTGGCTTTCTGTCGTCTTTCTGTCGTCAGCACATTCCAGATGTAGTTTTAGTTGCCCGGTTTGTAGATGATAGTATTGACTAACATTGAAGAATTGTCATTGTCAATTGAGTCAAAATTTCAGTCACTCCGACCTGATACTCAACTTCAATAGAGTCTTTTGGCCCCAATACTCAACTTATTTCTAGAGCAGTTCATTCTATTATATTATAAATGCACAACATGTACAACAATTCTTTTTTCAGCCATTTTATTCTATTTTTATTTGTCATAGAAAATAATTTTTTTTCAAATCCATTCTTAAACTCTTAAAAAAAAAAGCCAACTCCTATATTTTCCCTCATCGAACTCGTAATTTCTCTCCGAACACCGGAAACGCTTTGTTTTTTCCTGCGGAAATGTGAAATGCCGAATGAATGCGAGATTTGGGCACTTTTAGGGAGGAAGGCAACTTTGGTTTTTTAAAATTGTAACCAATAGGTATTCTTTGAATCCAAATACAGTCTATTTTCGGTCATTGAGCGCTTTTCGTTTCGTCTCATTGATTTTTGGTAAACATTGCTTTCACTTCGGGATTTTTTGGTTTCAGTAAAGACTTTATAGTTCTCAATGCTTTCTATATTTTGAATTACTCCGAAATTATATTCTTTTAGCATTCAAATTGGGAATTGCCGAGTGTCACGGAATCTTTTGAAAAATGGCCGCCGCTTCGGCCGCACACGAGCGAAGGTTGTTTTTTATTGAAAACATAAGTTTTGACTTGGTCAAACTCTGGGAAGTCAGGTCCTGATTTTGACTTACAGTAGACCTACTTCAGTTAAAAATGTTGAACTGGAGCTGATGGCTAGAACTGAACTGCCTCAGTCAGCACTGATTTTGGATCGTGGGACCTTTTATACGCCCCGCCCCTTTTGCCATTGGGAATCTGACTTTGAGCTCAAATTTCTTGGTGCTGGACCGTTCAATTTAAATAGTTTTTGTACCAATCGACAGAGAAAGACTTGGTGCATCCAATGATACAAAGAATTTTTAAATTGTACAGCCCGACACCAAGATATTTAAGCTCAAAGTTAGATTGCCAATGGCAAAGACGGGCGCGTATCAAATGTCCGATAGCTCTGATTTTGACCGGCTCTGGCCTAGCCAGATCTAATTAATAACTCTAGTTCAACTTTTTAAACCATTTTTTATATTCTTTTACAAAAGTGCTCAGTTTATTTCCTTTTTTTAACTTAAAAAAATCAAGAAAATTTATCCAAATCGTTCTTTCCACTTCAATTATGAAATCTTCAGGGAACGGAGTCTTCCCTTTGACCCGGAAGATCCCAGCTACATCAAGGATCTCCAGAGACCAGCTGTGATTAAGGTTTGAAAATTTTTCATTCAAGAAAAGTAGGAATTAGACAAAAGGATGAAATAGATAAAAGGATTTTTAGATAAACATATGATTTCTCAGTCAAATCATTTCAAAATTTCAGGCAATTTTCGAGAGAGAAGTTCTTTCTTTTGATTCTTTCTTTTGATCTACAAAACCTTCTCAAATTATTATAAAATATCAGTCTAAAAATTCTTTTATTTCTATTTCTAGTAGTTTGTGAGCAGAGTTGATCTCACTATTAGATTCGTCAAAGCAACGTCAAACCAGGCTCAAGATCGAACCAAGAGATCCAGCCAGCCCATTTTTCTGGTCTTGTCTTTGGTTTGGTTGGCTAAAGAAAAAATGATTTTAATTTTAGAACAATTCTGTTCTTGAGTCATCAATATTTAGGAAGATCTCACCGAAATGGAGCGACGAAAACGCGTCCAAGAGATCCTCGATTCAAAAGATTTTTGCAGTCAATTGGAAGAGGTGAGGGTCTCAAAAATCGAAATTTGAGGCAATTTTCAAGTAAATCAGAAGAAAAATTGTAAAGTTATTGAAGAACAGTAAACCTTTTAACGAATGTCTTATAAAATTTTAAATTTTGGGTGATTCGTCATGAAATGGAAGGCTCGAGACATTTCGATGACGAGAATCGCTCGGTTTCATTGCAACGACTCACCGAATTGGCTCTACCAAGAAGTCCGATGAGGACATCAATGCATGGATTCGGTGAGTTACTGTACAAACTTGTTTTATTACTAAAATTATTGAGTTCTGTCTAAGAATAGTAAAGGAATTGAAAACAAACTCTTTCACTGTCTCTTCTTTGTGCGTTCTTTGCACGTAAATGTAATCGCATCTCTTTTGGCATCGGGCCTTTCTATAACCCCCTCCCATTCACGGCTCATAAACTTACCTGGCTGGGGGGCTCTCGCGATCATGAAGGCGGGACCCCCATGGCGAGGCTCGGCCATTGCACTTTAGGCTGGGTTGACCTGTGTGGCAGTCCCGAGTTGGGATTCGCTAACAGCTTAATTTTTGCGTGAGGGGCTGCGTTCGCGCGGCCCTGCCGATGAAGTTGAAAGCTTTGAAAAAGCCCGGTAACATTTGATTTCTTCAGATCATCGCGAACCTTCTATAGCTTTGTCAGCAAACTTGAGATATAGTGTTATTTGCCCTGTTTGCAGATGATAATACTGTTTTTCTAACATTGCTAATAGGGTAAGAATGGTAAGTATTTGTTGAATAGAGCAGGATCATTGCTAGGCTTAGGTCGGATCTTCAATTTGAAATGAAAACAAAGCTCCACGAGGCTGAAAACAAAACCCCTTGATGCTAAACATTATTTCGCTTTAACGCTTTCATTGCATCTTCATCAATGCATTATAACCCTAATCTTTCCTTGCCTTAAATTACAGACAATAAAATGTTCACTGATTGTGAGTACAGGGTACGGCAAAATTATAGCACATATGCTTATTGATGAATTGAAAGAAGAAAATGAAGGGAATACTCCAAGTGTTATTTATCATTTGAAAGCTCTTAATGAATACTACAAAATAGAATAGCTAGAGCAACAATTTGTGTGAATCTTGGAAATCCGTTCTATAATTTTGCCTCACCCGGTATAAATCAATAAAAATATTATTGAAATAACAAACGATTAAATACTAGAAGAGTTATCACATTTCTCTAGATGTCACTTCCATTTTGGGGTCAATATTTCTCCTCTTTGTAGCCCTTTTCATCGTTGCCTTTGGCCATCTGCTATGCAAAAACGCGCGAAAAGAGGAAAGAGCCACTTTAGCTCAAAAGACCCTTGCAAGGCAATCGATTTTACCTCCTGAAAAACTCATCTATTCCCAAATTTCCAGCCGCTTCATCACTTCCGATCGCCGATTTGAAAGGAATCGACCGTTTCTCACGACAAGAGAAAATCCTCAGAAATAAATTAGCGTCACTCTATCGACTTGTAGATCTATTCCAATGGAGCCAGGGGATCTACAATCATATAACGGTAAAATAATAGATCTTTTTTGTTTTCATTCCGTTTTAGGTTCGACATCCATCCACATTAAACGAGATTCTGATAAATCCATTCGGATTATTGTATCACGAGATCACTGCCTCGTATTTGATAAAGGTTGATCTAGATGGAGAGGTTTTGGATCAAGGAGCTACAAAACTTGGAATAAATGAGGTGAGTCTTGAAGTCAAACTTAATATATTTTCAAATCAAGCTCAGCAAATAAACAAATAATGTTGTAACATAAAGATTTCTTTGCAAAGTTTGCTCTTTTTTTGCATTGCTTACAATTGCTTAAACTGAAGTTACTACATAGATAATGAATGATAGATTTAAATATGATAGAGTAAGCGAATTCTTTCAGTCCGCTTTCAAACTTCACTCGGCGATTCACGGTGCTAGAGACGACGTGCATTGTGTGATTCATATGCATAACGCGGTCGTCTCTGCTGTGAGCTCGATGAAATGCGGATTGTTGCCGATTTGTCAAGAAGCGATGGTCATTGGAGCGGTCGCCTATCATGAATATCAAGTTAGTTCAGTGATTGAAATGTTAAAGTGAATTGTAATACGACCGTAACGAGTGAATTGTAACTAGCAAAATATCTCTTCGAGCAAAAGTAATCCTTAACGTTTCTTCTCGCTTTTCTGAAAATCAATCCTCAATTTCCAGGGAACATTAGATGATGAAAAAGAGAGACAATCAATAATAGAAGATTTGGGCGACAAAAACGTGGGTTTTTATGAAAGAGTAATGTGCAATACCAGCTTTGCATGAATCTTTTTGATCTTTTGGTTCTCTATGAATCTTTGGGTACACTATTCGGTTGTTTCTATGAGCAATAGTCGCTTTTTAAAAGCCGTTTTAAAGTGTAAACGCTTTCCAACTTGGATAAACGCTCTAAAGCTTGTCCCAGATATCGTAATCAAGCCAGAATCTCTATGCAATAGATTTATCATTTTAAATAAGCCTGTTAAGGCTACGGTAGCCAAGTTGCTTTAGCAAATAAGTTTGATTATTGATTTGAAGACATAGCCAAATAGTACTTTCACTTTACCCATTTCAAGGTGATGATCATTCGAAATCAAGGCTTTGTCGCTTGTGGCCAATCGATCGAGGAGGCCCTCCATTTGGCCTATAACACGATTTTGGCCTGTGAGACACAGGTGTTGAAATAAGGCAAAAATCCAAACAAAATACAAGTATTGAAAGTTTCATGGGCCAATGTCAAACTCTACAAGGTGGCCACAAATTATCGCCTCGCAGCTTTTCGGTTAGATCTTGGCTGTAGCTTTGCAAACCGGTTTAATTCCTTTTTAATATGAAAATTGCAATAATTTTCTACAAAGAATCTCTTTAAACAAATTGTAGGATACTCTTGAGATTTTCATTAAAGGCTTGGGCCCCATAGGACTCTTGGCGCGCAACTCAATCTGCAGCTTTTCTTGAAAAGGTTTTAAGGGTTCTTGATGGTTTATTTAACTATTTTCTTGTTAAAAAGCTCAAAACAAATGCTTTTCAACAAAAATCTTCAACCAAGTGTTGTTTTTATGAGCTCTGGATGATTCTGAATCTGGATGGAGCTCTGGATCGGCTTCTTGAAGATGAATTTTTCTTGAAACTGGCAAATTTCATCGGTTAAGCTCAAAGTTAACTGAAAAAATTGCCTAAATGTTATTCTTAAAGCTTAAATTTATCAAAAATGCGAGAAAATCGATTTCAGTTTAAAAATAAACTCAAAAGAGCTTGAATAATGTTGCGTGTCAAGAGTTCTTTTGGGCACATCCTTCAAACTTTTAATAAAAATCTCAAAAACATTCTACAAGTTGTATAAAGAAATTCTGCGTAGAAAATTCTCGCAATTTTCATATTGAAAAGGAATTGAACCGGTTTGCGAAGCTACAGCCAAGATACGGCCCAACAAAACGATAACTTCCGGCCACCCTGTATAGACTTTTTCCATTTCCGTAAAACCTGATGACCGGTGCATGATAGTTGAATTTTCTCTCATTTTTCAGCTCTATCGCTTGTTTTTCCTTCAAATTTGCTGAAAATAGTCCATTTCTCGGATTTTTTTTTAGATTCTCATCCTTCGTGGACAGGGTTTTATCATTGCCACTGAAGGGATTGAGGAGGCCGTTTTTCTAATTAAAAATTTGATCGCTGCAGCGGATCATCAGGTTTTATCGAAGAAAATGAAGCTAAATTGGAAAAATTGTATAAAATTTCTCAAAAACATCATTCAGATCCGGGCTGCTAGAGCTGGAATTGAGAAGTTGCATATCCCCGATGAAACGACCATTCAAAAGGCGTACTTGGAAGCGAGAAAGGGTTCGTGACCTGGTTTCAAAGAGATTGTTTGTCCAATATGAAGAAATTTGTGAAAATATCAGACAATCTTTATATCTCCAGGTAGTGGAATGTTCCGCTCACCGTCTCAAAATAACAACTCTAAAGAGGAACCCGAGTGGAAAGTCGGCGAATTGGAGTGGGAAGCTTGGATGAGAGTTTTGGATAATGCGGTATGGTTTGAAGAACAAAAAAAGAAATCCAAAAACTGAAGGGCTTAGCTAAAAAGCCAATGACGGTAATGATAACTGAAGCTTTCTTCACGAACATCCTGATCAATGCAAGATCCTCCCTTGTTGTTTTTGGTGGTCGACCCTTTCCGCATGTCGGTGCATTTCCCATTCCAATTTTTGGCGTTTGCAAGGTCGAGAAACGGTTTTCGAAACGGAGAACAACTCACAGACTGTTGCCACTTTGCTCCCTTGTTTACGAGCTCGAACAATATTCTCTTTTGTCAGAGTATCCAGATATCGCTTGCACGCCATCTAAAAATAATAAATTAATTCAGAAAAACCTCTGCTTATTTTAACTTTAAACACCGAAATCTCTCGTTTCAAGCTACAGGAGTACAGTCAAATCTCGTTGTTGATAAGCTCGATAGTTAGCTTTCCCAGGATTACTTTCAATGATTATAAACAACTGTAAATTGATTCAGTCCTAAATCTTTTGATTTCAGGGCTTCCGAACGGGTCACTTCTACCGCCAGCCACTGCTCCGACAAAGATCTCCGGTGACAACAACGAGTCGAGTGAATGGATGCAATGAAGTAGCCTGTCCGCCCGCGAGTACATCGATTGGAATGGTGAGTGAGTGAAAAGCTTAAAAAGCTTCTTACTATTAATTGAATTTCTAATCCTTAAAGTTTATCTTTAGATTGACGAATCCGATCCCGAAGCTCTAACCGCTCACAAAATCGCTTTACTGCGGAAAGAACAGGAGAAAACCCGATGGTTAAACACACCGAACAACTATCAGAAAGTAGAGATTTTGGAAACGGGAACCGATCGACCAAAAGTGATCACGAAAGTCTGTAAAAAATAATCAGGATTTATTATTTCAAATTTCAGTGGGTTCAAGACGTTTCGGCAACTTCATTGAATGGGACACCGGTGAAGATCACATCGAATCATCAGTTTTCACCGTTAAGCGTGAATCCGAAAGAGTTCAAAGTATGATCATTTCGGTCTTTTCTTGTAAATTCACTGGTTATGTCAATTTTCTAGCCAACGAGAAAATTTAGGACAAACAAAAGGCGATCAAAGAGAACCGACGAAGCGGCAAAACGTCAGCCGGTCCTCAATCCGTGATTCTCGATGGGGTTACTTATGAAGATCTCAAGGATATGAAACCTGTCAATGTTAGTTTTAATCTTGAATCACAGAATCTCAATTTATCTATTAGATCTGGTTCTTTTCTTTATAGTGTGATGGAGACTCAATCACTGGTCCGGCTGATCGAGTGGTTTTGATTGGAACCGCTTCAAAGGGAATCATTGATCGGCAACATCAACATAATGCACAGGTAGAGAATCTTGTTTTCAATTGCAACATTAGAAAAATTTGATAGAGTATCTTATCATCTCTTTCCCAGGTTTATCGCCAACTTTATGCACCGAATCCGTTTGCTTCAGAAACCGATGAAGATATCAGGAAATATTTTCAAGAGGTTTGCTGAATGTTTTGATTAAAGTGGACAATTTGGAAAACTACCGTAATCGTTCTCTTAGACTTTGTCCGATTGATTTATTTATGATCCATTCGATGACGAATCCAATTGCAAATTGAATTGGATCAAAATTAAGTAGAGCGGATATTGGTTTGGCCGGAAAGTCTTATCTTTTCGTCTTTTTTTTGAAATCTTTATTTATAAATGAATAATTAGCCGATCAACGTGTGGTTTGCTTTAAATAAAAAATGATTTATAGCATTTAGCTCATTTTTAGGCAAATTCAAGTCCGCTTTGAAGCAAATCCGAACAGGAATTTTTGTTTTTGTTAAAATCTCAGAAGCTTCTCAGAATTTCTTGAAGGGTAATTTGTAAATAAGTAATAGAACTTTATGATAAAGCAAACGATAGATTGATTGGTTCATTATTCATTTCAAAAAGTAAACTTTAAAAAAGCGGACAAGATTTTCCGGCTAACCTGCTAAAAGCTGAAGGCTAGTTTTCCGATTTAACTATCCTTTTAGGAAAACCCAAGAACACACTCTAGTTTATAACGTTAAAGTTTAGCAACTAGTTTATCCTGTGCTAATCCCTTTGACTTAACTGATTGAGAACAAAAACATTTTCAGGTTGAATCAAAATCCCCTCGAAGTCAATCGGCCCGTGGTGTTTCCTCGTCTCGAGATGGTGGCTATAGCACTTATCGTAGTGATACAACAAATGGCACCTCCTTTGAGCCGGATCGTCCGGATACTCCTGACAGTCCCGGAGCTGGTGAGTCTCAAAAATAACCCTCTTTTTACAAACTAACCCAAGCAGCTTCAGAAACCACAATCCCAACAACAACGAGTAAGACATTTTTGGAATAAAACTTTTCTGGGTTTCAAATCACCAAGTCGACAATCATCTCTCAATCGCTATACATCCTTTGTGCTTTCATAAGGCTTTCACCCTTGCTTTTGTGTTTTCTGTTGTTGAATAGGCGGTATACAGGATGACCGCGAATTATGGCGACACCTTTTTTGGGAAAGTGGCTGGGAAACGCCTGAATTATGACCAAAGTCCCAATTGTTATATAGAAACATAAAGCCCTTCATCTTGGCATCATTTATCTACAAAGAACTTCACGATTGGGATTATGAAACTCATTTTACAAGCTCTCGAATGAGCGAAAGTCGGCCTCTCTCCGGTGATCTGCGATTTTTAACACTTTTCTTCATAAAAAATTGTTAAAAAGTTTCCTCGATATTTATTTCGTAAGAAAATAACATTCAATATTATTTAATAGCAATAAGAATAACAGCAAACTCTTTTGTTAGACTTTCATAGCCAAAATTGGAGTTGATTTCTGGGTTCATTTGGAATCTCCGTAAAAAAGCGAAAGTTAGGCTTTTTCAAATATCTATTTGACAAGAAGCTCTTGCTGTATAAGCTTCTCTAGCGTTATATTTTTGTTGAATGGTACTTTTAAAATAAAATATTACAAGTTTGATTGAAGGAATCCCTTTCTAGATGAAAATATTGTGTGTCAAAGAGTGTCGAAAATGGCGGATCGCCTGGAGAGAGGCCGACTTGAGCTCATTCAAGAGCTTGTAAAATGAGTTTCATAATCCCAATCGGGAAGTTCTTTGTAGATAAATGATGCCAAGATTAAGGGCCTTATTTTTCTTTATAACACTTGGCACTTTGCTAAGGAGTCAAGTGTTTGTCAGCCACTTTCCCAAAAAAGGTGTAACCATAATTCGCGGTCATCCTGTATGTTAAAATCCTTTGTTATCCATGGCAAAAAGGTGATTACATTTTTGTAGAAAGTCTCTTGTCAAACATAGAGTTTCAAAATAAGTAACTGCTACAATCCTATTAGGACATCAGTTTTCTGGGTGAACAAAGATGAATTTACAATCAGCTGATACAATTTTGAGTTACAGATTTAGTACGAAAGTACTGTGCCAAAATATAAAAAGCTTACCCACCCATTTAAACCATTGTCTGTTTTGTATTCTACTTTATCAGATTTCAAATTCATTTCCCAATTTCAGATACAGCATCGCTGATGCAAGGCGCTCGCGAGCATCGAATGCGCGAAGAGTCCTCCTATGCAATTGATGAACTCTCCACTTCGAAAGCCCTAGACATTACAGGTAAAAAAACGATTCTGCTTTTTCAGCTCAAACTTCAGATAGTGTTCTATCATTTAGCATGATATTTTCACTAGCATTTAGTCCTTTTAGTTTTCTTCTTTTTATCAATTCTTCTGATTTCCAGTTATCCGTTTCTATCGTCAGACCACTTTCGAGAACTCTGGAGAAATCCAGAGTCGATTCGTTGCACACAATCACATTATTCGTTAGTGTCAAAAAACGTATTAGAAAATCTCACTATCAGAGGTCGTGGGTTTTCAGAAAACAAAGAAAGTCTTTCAAAACTTCTGCAAATTTCAGCTTGAGTTACAGATTTAGTACTAAAGCTTTGAGCTTAAACAAACCCTTGTTCTTAACATATTTTGAGCTGAGCTTCTTAACAACATAAGCTAAAAAGAACCCTAACTTCTTTCGTCTTACATTAGTGAACAAGAATATTCAACGATTCTTTAATAAAGAAGTGAAGAAGTTGGCAAGAAAAAGTAGATATCTAGAGAGGGGATCGTACCCTTTTCCTTTCGGGGAGATGGCTAAGCTGAGCTGAGCTCTAACCACTGAGCTATCCGGTACCAAAGAAGCTTGAAAAGTTTTCTGAGAACACTACTACATCTGGCATGGGCACGGTATTGGCAAAAGAGCACGAATAGTTAACCAACAATCATCCCAAAAACTTATCACTCGAAAGAAAGGCACGGTGATCGGTAAAAGAAAATTAGATTCTTCTGAGCCTTCACGCACAAATGGAAGTGATCACCATTCACGTGCACGATCGACACCGCGAAATTTTGGCTCACAGACCACCCCGAGCACCTCATCGAATTTCGGCCGTGTCGATTCAAGGAGACACAATCGTGAGTGTTGTATTGTGAATAAAGTGTGTTTCTTTTAAGCAATGACGCTAAAAAGTGGATAATTTGGAAAATATTATCGTACTACCGTAATCTTTTCTCCAGATTTTCTCCCATTTACTTAATTATGATCTCATTCGATGAGGAATCAAGCTAAAAGAATGGGATAAAACTTAAATAGAACGGACAGAATCTGAAGGAAAGTATGCGGTAGCTTTTCCACCTTTTAGAAAAGCTATACTTGTGAGAAACACACTCAAATTGTGATTGAATTGAATGAATCGACAAAGCCGATGTTTCATGTTTCAAGGTTAAGCTTGTAGCTGCGAGTCTAAGCACGATTTAGATGATTTATTTTGGTACTTATCGATTACACTGGCTCTTTTTCAAATATACGAATAATGAACCTTTTTGAAGCGTTTGTAATATTTTTTCTATTTATAATATGGTTTAAAGTATGCACTCTCAATTGAAAACACTTTCTGACGGCGGGATTCTGCAAAGTTACAAAGATACTAGGAAGGAGGTATACCCCAACTCTTTAGGGTATCTCAATCCCTTAAAATTGCACCATGGCAAAAAAATAATCAGCAAATAATCAATTAATAATCAAGTTATTCGTAAAAAATGCTTAAGTTTATCACTTTTTTGATACCTTTTTGATAAAATTTGCATAAAAACGGCCAGTATATCGAGATGTACTCTTATTTTTTCAATGAATATTCGATACTCAACCAGTAGACTGAAATCAGTTAGTGAAATTAAAAATTGTCGATTCATCTAACTCTAATTGTGGCTGAGAGTCTAAGCACGATTTAAAGATTTCTTTTTTTCAAATGTGGTGTTTCATGAGTTTAGTAGTGTTTTTTTTTGCAGAATAGCGTTGGATTAGAATTTAGTTGTTCCTAGATTCAATTGTATTTGAAATTAAGCCAGGATTTTTTTGGTTTCAGTAAAAAGATTGAAGCTAACGAATTCTCTTTGAAATTTTGACTGATATTGAAATTAAAGATTCAACCATAAAAAAGATGTAAGTAAATGACACCTACAGTACTGGATAATGAAATATGATATTTGAAAAACGATCGTCACTTTCGCGCGTCTGTAACGCCCTTGTCTTTGAGTTTAAACTATTAGTGTTATACATTTTCTGAAAGCTCTTTTCAAGGGCTACACAATGGTAATATTAATATTTAGAAATACGGTAAAGACAAGGGAGTTACAGACTCGCGAAAGTGACGACCTTTTTTCAAATATGATATTTCATTGTCCAGTAGTGTATAAAGCTAACTAAAGGCTAAAATATCTTATTCAGGTCATTCAGCGGGTCGCTCAAATGCAACACTTTCTGAAGAAGAGGTAAAAGAATATTCAGCAAGGCTCGAAATTCAAATACAATTTTCAGCCACCACAATCATCGGAAAAGAAAAAGAAAAAGCGCGGCTTCTTCTCGTTTATTCGAAAAAGTAAAAAAGATAGACACAAGGAGACATAGGTGAATGAGGATCGATTTTAATGGGTAGATATTGTGTACTTCAAATTATTCCAGGATTCGTAGAATTTCAAAGTTCAATAGAATTTCATTTTGAAACAGATTAAGTACCATAATTCCCTAAAAAACTTTAGACTTATCTAGCCAAAAAGTTCAAAAATGCTTGCTTTTCACTAATTCTTACCCTGGGAAGGTTATGAGACTAATATATAAAATCAAAATTTTAGAACTAACAACTCATTTTCAGAAACACCAAAGCCTCAACGGATTGTCACCACTGTTTGATATCAAAGCCATTCAAGAACTTTCTCCTAGAATTTCATTTTAATAAATTGATGGTACTATATTTTTGCATTGCTTCGGGTTTTTTTTCGATGTTTTCTGATGAAAAGAGGCCGATTTTCCGTCTAGTCATGCTTCATTGTGATACCGATAAATGTCAAGTCATTACAAAAATTGAATAAAGTTTTTATTAATGTTTACATTTCTTAACGAGATTGTTCCCAGCAATGAAGTGGATACTTTGAGAAAGAAAACAAATCGTAAGCTGAGCTGTTTTTGGAAGCTGAGCTGTTTTTGGCAGTACAGAGAAAGACAAAATCGACAATTCCTTTAAAATTGCTAATATTTTTCTTAAATTTACTTTTTAGGCATTCGAACTATAGTTACAATTTCCAGTTTTTACAAAGAAATCCTTTCTGGCGTGCTATTTAACTTTTTATCTCTCTCACCGCTCTGCTGTGGTTCGCACAGCGGAAAAAATAAGATTTTAGTGCCCCAGAAAGGATTTGCTTAGCATTTTGAGCCTAAAGTACTTTGTATTTAAAGTACCAAAGCCCAAATCCTCAGAAATCTTTTGTTTCAGCAAATGCATCAACAAAGCGGCAAAGTCACTTTGGAGAGTAAAGAGAAATTGCCGAGCAAATTGTACGATGTGGTCTGTGATGCAAATCTTCTCGTCTCTCACATTCAAGCGGCTAGTGGGAGTAATGAGGTGAGAAATTTGATTGATATTACGCCAGCTTTGAAGAATTGAGTTTAAAGCGATCTTAAAGATCAAGTAGAAAAGGAGAAATGAAGTGATTAAACATTAAATGTTTAAAACAACTCCTGCAAACATTAAATGTTTGCAGGAGAGTTTTTTGAACTAATTATTAGCAAGTTTGAAATTGTTCTTAGCTTAAAAGTACTGTTCGACAAGTTTTGGCGATCAAGTTTGATTAAAGGAGAAAAGATCAAATTTGTGGCGTTTTGTAAAGAATCAATGAGCAAATTGACGCCTTCGAACTCGACTTTACTTCAAAAATTGGTCATTTTCGTATTTAAAGAGTAGTAAATCACACACTCAATTTCATTAAATAAAATGTTTTAATTCGATAAGGCATAGACTGTATTTCCAACTTGCAGATGCTCGGCACGGCCACAAAGCAATTCGTCGCACAGGAGAACACGATCGAATGCACTGCTCAAGTCGGTTTTGATCAGAGAATTCAGAATTTATTCCATACAAAACTTAGATTTTTAAAGTAAAACTGGAATGTTTGTCTGACTCTGAATCCATTTTTTTAGGCTATTGATCGCCTGAACAAATTGGTGGACGACCTCGATGATGCTCTGCCGTTCCCATCAGAAATGTGAGTTCCGAAATTTTATTTCATTCATTCAAAAACTATACATGTAGACAAGTTACTTTAAAACAAAAGTAAAACCCGAAAATTGAACACTCCACATATTCGATAACATATTTGCATAGAGAAAAATTGGAATGACGAAAAATTGGGGGTTGTTGTGGATAAAGGAATGCCTAAAACAAAATAAAGCTGAGAAATTGGATTGCTGAAGAGATTCGACTTTTTCAATAGAAAAACTACGATTTTAAACTGTTTTTGGGGAAAAGCTCAATTTGGATAACAAAATTTGAATTGAAAACAATCTTTGGCAACGTTTCCTAAAATGCACTTCTAGATGAGCAAGGGGTTTGAAGAAGTAGATTTTCCTCGCTCAAACCTCTTGGGTAAATGAACCGGCTTAGATTTGAGCCTCGATAACAGTTAGTTCCGAGAAAGCGGTGGCGATCTCGTAGAATTCTTGTGGAGTGGCTCGTTTCTCTGGATCGATGTCGAGAAGGCAATGAATGAGATCGATGATAGCGGGGGAAGTTCCCTCGGGTAATTCAGGGTAGTCATACGCTTCATAGTTCCCGCCAGCCATGTAGAGGAATAGACGACAGAGAGAGCACTCGTCGAAGGGAATCTGAAGTTTCTTGAATAAATTTTGGGTTTATGAAGAGTTAGGTTACTATCTCTTCTTCCACTCCTTCTTTTCCTTGTCTTTTCTACTTCTTCTTGGGCGAAAAAGGCGCTGATGGCTTAGTGGTAGCATTTGCCCGGTAAGCAGAATTCAATTCAACAGCAGCGAGGATTCAATTCCCCTTTTTTTCCCGTTCAATTCCAAATTCTTTGCCATTCATTTCTTTACTATATTATTTGCATTCAAGTTATTAGTTTAGAGTTCAAACATTTGCTCTTACAAGACTATTTGGGTTTTTACAACTCACATCTCCGGTAAGGCACTGATAGATGAGACATCCGATCGACCAAATGTCGACTTTCGAGTTGTACTCGCAGATCTTCAACAAATTTGCTCCAACTTCTGGTGCCATATAGTAAAACGTGCCAGCAACGTTACACAGGCTCGCCTCGCCAAGTGTTCGAGCAATTCCTAAACAAATTTCAGAGTCCAAAGAGATAGATTAGGCTTTAAAAGTTCAATTTTAATATCTTGAAGAGGCTACTCACCAAAATCGGTGATCTTGGCCCCCGAGAATTCACGAGATCCCTTGATCTGATAAGAGACGAGAATGTTTTGTGGCTTGATATCTCTGTGCACGATTCTTAGCTCATTCAAAGCCTTGTATCCACGAGCCAGATTGTCGATGATCAATCTAAATTCAGTTTATAGCTTTGTTTTTCCTAGTCTTGTTTTATGATCCTATTGTTCTCGAATCAAGTGGGTTTTACAAGGTAATTGGTTTCAGGTGTTTGATTTTATTGACGTATTTTGAAATTCTTAAAACTTAGAGGAAAGGTTCAGCTAGTTTGTGATTCACTAAAAGAGCAGCTGTTTCTATTTCTGACTTCTTTGCTCACTTGAGATTTTTTGGAGTGAGTCGACCGTTGGGTGCACGTTTTCTCAAATGATTGTCGAGATCGGTGTCCAGTAGTTCCATGATTACACAGCTTGTCACCTAGAAAAGAACAAGAACATTATGAGAATGGCTGAAAATAGGGCAAAGTCGTGTAAAGGAGCTAAGATTTGTAAATCTGAATGTGAAAAACAGATGGCATGTAACTTTTGGTATCAAAGATACTGTATACTTCCACTAAAATATGACGAGTCAAAAGGTATTTAAGTAGCAAGGCTAAATATCCCTATTTTGCTATTTTACTAAAGACTAAACATAAATATTTGTTCTACTAAAGCACGAGTATTCAACCGGAACCGGAATACTTTGTCATACTTGAGTTGGTCTTAAAGACTTTAAAGGGTTCACTAGTCAGACCATGATATAATATCGTTAGTTAGTGATAATAAAGTAAAGTAAAGAATGGGAAAGAAAGATTTCCGGATAGGAGATTGAACCCTCGACCTTTTTACTTTCCAGGCAAATGCTCTAACCACTGAGCTATCCGGGATCTTTTTGCTAGAGAAGAAAGAGGAAAGACAAGGAGGAAGAGAAAGGAAAAAAGAGAAGGAAATAAGACAAGGGCTTTTTTGATTAAGACTTGTTAGCCAAATTCTAATTAAAGCCACTCACCGGATCAATATCACAAATATCCAACACTCCGACCAAATATTTCGACTTTAGCGACTTGATCACTGAAAGCTCTTGATCCTTGATGTTCATTTTGGCCAAACGTTTCACGGCAACCTAAATTTCAGATGAAAATTTGAAAAGTTTGATAAGTTTCTCATTGTTAGCTAATACTTTTCTCAAAACTTATTTATTTAGTGTCTATTTACAAATATTTTGATGATATTTATTAGTTCCCGCTTTACTTGATTCAAATTCCGTGCTTTCGTGCCTGAATTTCTCTGAATTCAGGCACGAAAGCTCGGAATTTTTCAATTCCCAATCTTTCCAGAACAAAAATCATCTTTTGCACCAAAGTTCCTCATTTCCATTTTCCCATTTTCGGGAAGCTTCCTCAGAAATTCAATCTCCGTATTGCACTTCAACTCAAAGAGAAAAATTCTGTGCAAATTCGCGAATCGCCAATTTTTCCGTATTGACGTCAGCGAGTATTTGAAAAGAATCCGATTTTCATTTGAAATAGAGTCTTTTTCGAAGAAAAAAGAAGAAAAGAATGTGCAAATCCCCATGAGACCCGTTATTCTTTGGAATTTTCTCCTCCGTTCATACATAAACACAATGGTTGGCTTTTCTTTTCATTTTTTTTCTCCATTTACTTCTTTTCTTCATTTCCTAGAGTCTATTCATCACATGTGCTTCGAAGCATTGAGAAATTTTCTTTAAAAGCGCACAAATAATGACAAAAATTTTCTGGAGGTCAAACAACCAAATGGTCATAATATTTGAAGTCAAAAATAGACGAAAAAATTAATTTTCTCGGGAATTGAGTACAAATTTGGCTCACGAATCAAATGTTCAGCCTTATTTGAGTTCAAGTTTCTAAGAATTGGCTTGCAATTCGTTAAATCTATTAAGATTAATCTATTAAGATTAAATCTATTTTAAGTTAGATATGAAGACACTTCTGGATTTTAATTTCTTTACTTTTGAGTCATAACTACTCAGTAGTTTAGTTTTCTTGAATTTTCCGATTTGTGTAATGAAACAACAAATGCGTAATGGGCATCAATTCCGAAAAAAAACAAATGCGTAATGGGCATCAATTAGGCCAATTTTGTTACTTAGTTCTAAGAAAAAGAAAAAGAAACGAGTTCCGGAAGACTTTATGACTCAACTGTGTACTAATGATCTTTTGAGTTGGAAAAAGGATAAGAAATTTGGAAACATTCATGTTTGATTGATTTTAATGTAAGCTAGAGGCAAATTTTAGACTTCTGTTGTATTATTTTAAACTGAGCAGCATACGTAACTTGGAAATTGTCGAATTAATTGTTCTTGAGAAAATTTGGGTTAGCAGTAAAATGTTTTAAGTCAGATTTTACTTTTGAGATTCGATTTTCTAGGGTTTCCTAGGAGTTTCTAGTCTTTAAAAACACTGACCGGCATATTATTTCCATGATCGTTTCCCTTGAAAACGACTCCATACGATCCGAGTCCAATCAGCGAGCTCAACGTGTCGTGATACGAATATTTCTCACCAACGTGGATCTAAACTTGAAAAATTGAACTCTTAGAATTAAATTGTAGTTGAGAAAATGATCTTCAATAAGTTTTAAACATGAAATCTTTCTAAAAAACTTTAAAATAACATATCTTTATGGTACTTTAGCCTAATTGAAGCACTCTTTTTCCATTCTTTAATGTAACTTCCTTGTCTTGAAATAGTTAGTCTTAATGTGTGAAAGTGGAAGCTTCGCAATCATTTCCTGGTTCTTGGGGAAATGGAGAAAATTGGAAATCAGCTTTAGAAAAAAAGTGGGGAAAAGACGGCTGGGAAAAGTGTAGAAAAAAATGAGACCTCTTCTTCGGAAAAAGTAGGCAATGGTGGCTCATCGGCATTGGATTCATCTCCTGGATCGGCTGGTGCAGCGCCTCCCATCTGAAATTTGCATATTGCAAGATTTGTGAGCAAAAATCTAGATTTTGAAATGTGAAAGTTGGCACATTTTAAGGCTGATTGAAGCATTTTAAAAGATTTCTAAAGCTTGAAAAAACAATGAACTGAGTATTTCAGTATTCAAAAAAAGCTCAAAAAGACTGAAATTTAAATTGAAGTATTTATAAGTAAATTAAAGTATCTAACGGTTAACTCCAGCATTTCAAAAGTTGTATTGATTTAAAAATTTGAGATTTATTTGATCAGATTTGTCAAATCAAAGCTAGGATAGTTTTTTTAGCTATAAGAACAGCCAAATCAAAGTTTTTACAGCCATATACCCAATTGGAAAATTGGAAATTGGCAATTGAGTTTAGAACTCAAAACGCTTTCTAAAGCTAATAATTTCTTAAAAGGCTTTCAAAAACACATAACCCAGAATGAGAGTTATAACGAAAAAGCCATGCGTTCACTTTATAGGCTTTTTTGTGAAGAGACAAAGAAGAAAACAATCGTTTCCTGTTCACAAACATGTGCCTTTTACTACTATTTGGGCTTTTTGTGGGCGGAAAGAAGGGGGAATGGGCGTGTGCTTCACGTGGTGGGATCATCGGGAAATAGGAGTGGAAGGGGGTGTCCCCATCTTTCCCATTTCGGTGAGTGACTCACCAAGTCAGTCAAGATCACGAGAGTCAGTCATAAAGACGCCTAATATCTTTAGTGAGTAGTAAACTAGTACTATTGTCAAATCTATGCAAGTAATGCTTGATTCGAGCTTTACTGGATCCAGTTTAGTACAGTTTGTCTCAGGTTTTGCCATAGTACCACTGTATCAACTTACTTTCCTAGATTACTGTCCTTTCCTAGTGGTTTACTCTGATGCTCTTTCTGCTATCTAAATAAGTATAATCCTGTTCTATTGGCTGAACCGTAAAAGCCAAAACAACTATTTTTTTGACTAAGCTTACAGCAATTAAATCTTATAATTAGTTTTTACAGAAGATAAAAGCTAAATCAACTATCGTTCTACTTTAAACTATGTACTTTTCCGGCTTCTAGAAGCTTCTAGAACACCAAGCTCCACATGCATTATGGAGAAAGGAAAGTGCAATCAGGGTTTCCCCATCTTTCCCCTTTCCTTTCCCAGTGACTCATCAAAGGAATCATGAAAAGACAAGCCAGACATTATAGAAATATTTCTCTTCTCTTTGCTATAGGTAAGCGGATCGGAAGTCGAAAATAGAACGGGGCAAGAAAGGGAAAGCGTACACAAGGTACACAGGTGACGGGAAATGATGTCATGGGGCTGAGTTTGACTGAAGGAAGAGACCAGCAGCAGGTGGATTGGTTAGGAAAGATTCTGGAGCTTTCGAGACTAGTTGAGTCATTTGGAAACTGCCGTTTTAAACTGTTTATTTCAAAGTTGCTTTCTGGGACTACCGACTCATGGAGTTACTTGTTCTCATAAGTACTACTGACTGATCAAGTAAAGCTTACAATTTGTAAAGCCAATTCAAAAAGTAACACTAGCGCTAGCAATGGTAAAGATTTTTAAGTTAAATGAGCTCAAACCCACCGAACAAGAACCAAATTTAGAGCAGTAAGTGAAAAAAGATCAGAAACCGATAAATGCCAAGGCTTGAGGATCAAAAATTAACTGAATCTCTAAGCTGCTTGATTCCCCTAATATGTTCTCTATTCTTCTGCTTGAATAGCCAGGGAATGGCCATTTATCAAGTCTTTTTCTTTTCCGCTGATCCACCAATTCTTTATATGTAGATGTCTGGTCATCGGGAGGGAAAACATAACTGACAAAAAAGAGGGGAAAACCTCAAAAAGCACTCAAATAAATTTGTTATTTGAACTATGTATTGAAAAAAGATTCAATAGCTGACGTTTGGCAAAACAGATAGTTTATGAAATTTTGATTTGGTTTTGTGAATGATTGATTGGCAGTAGATTGTTTTCTGAAAACGACAGTTTTCAGTGATTTTTGATTGCTTTTTAAAAAACTAGGTAGCTTTTGACAGGTGATATCAAACACCGAATTTTCTAGGTAGAAACTAGATTCAGGTGGATCTAGATTAGCACTGAATACAGGTGAAATCTGATCTCAAGTATAGAACAAGAGTAGTAGCTAAAAAACTTAATATATGATCAATTACAAATAATGAAAATGAAAAGGCGTTTAAAGCAAACACTTTAATCTCAAGGTGATCTGCGATCGAACTTCAACGCTGAGAAAAATTTCTGAGAAAGACAGTCAACAGATTTTGAAGGGGAAAAGCCTTTCCGATGACGCAAAACGGTAGGAAAAGTAAGCGGGATTCATTTTGGCGGTCCACGTTTGAGTAAACAGTTAAACATTCGTGCACCGGAAGAAATTTGAAGCGAGGCTTTTTGCTTACAAACGGTGGTCAAATCGATTTACAAGATAGAGAAAAAGGAGGAGGTTTCTGAATTGGAGAATTGAGAAAAGTCGTGCAAAGTTAGAGGGCTAATCTCATGGCTGTCATTGTTAAATATCTCATTATGAAATACCCTGAGCAATGTAAAGCAAATGTTGACTGAATCTCTTGAGTCAATTTGGCTAGATCCACACTTTTCCATTTGCAAATTTGACTCGGAAGTATTGAGTTAAAAGGTGATTTTAAGCCATTTTAAAAGTCTTTTACTTACAAAAGAAGCAAAACCTTGAATTTGAACCTTTCTGATTATAAAGAAGGTTGACTGATCGTTTTTGACAGCCAAACTTGATTTCCTAGAAGAAAGTGTAAAGTTGACGAATCAAATTCATACAAACAAACGATTCATTCCAAAAATCACTCTAGTTTTCTTTCTAGAACTAAAAACTTCTCAAAATCCTTTCTTCCCTTATATACTGATTTACTGTAAATTCCCGCAAATACAATTCCCATAAAAAGCTCTAGTTTAAACGTTCTCGAAGCTGTTCTTGTCCGATAATTTGCTCTCGTAAATAAGCTTTTTCAGCATTTTCAGTTCTTCGAAAATTGGCTTGGCTTGAGTCTTTGAAAATTAAAAATAGAAGCAAATTCCTTTCTGAGAATCTTGAAATTGGGAATTGGAATTGGGAAAAGGTAGCTGATTTTGCGGGAATTCTTTGGGTGAATTGGCTGACAACTTTCGAGAACTAGAGGGAAAAAGCAGTGAAATTGGGCATCGAATGCATGAAATATAGGGTGACAAGTTGGAGCGGAATTCCTCAAAAATTCCTTTTTCAGAAAAATGGTTCAGATAAGAGATAAGTTAGAGCTTTGGCTCTGTTCTGGAACACCCAGAGCTTCCGTTTTCAAATGAAATTTTGCTTTTAGTCGTTGATCGTATGAAATTCCTGAATCAACTTGCAAAAAGACTGGGAAAGGGCTTTTTTCCAGTTTTGATTCGAAATTTGAAGCCATTCTTTGAGCGAATCTCTTCAGTGAATTGGATTTGGCTGGATTTCTTTCTTGGAGCCACTCCACCCCCAAATTAAGAGCATTTCAAGGGCTTCTCAAGAAATTGAGAAAAAATCAGAAAATGGATGACGTCAAGATTGGTGGAATGGAAAGATCGCAAAAAATTGATTGAAGAGTTAAACCCTAAAATTGGTTGAACAGTTAAAGTAGGACAAGGTTTAGGCTTATCTTTCTAGGTTTTTTTCGGAAGGGGTAAGCGATCAGTTTATTGAAAAAATGAATGGATAAGCTGATGGGAATTATTAGATAAATCGGATTAGAGAACATAAAAAAAGAAGCGATTTTAAGGATGGTTTAGCAAAATTGTCGACAACTTGCAATTACTCAAGCAAAAATATTTTTGAGATAGCTTACTCATAGGCTGTTTTGTAGGGAGTTTTTCTTTTGCACTCATGAACTGAAGAGTGAATAGAGAACTTATTCATAGGTTGTTTTTTCAAAGCAAGAATCATGACAAGAAATCCTCATAGAATCAAGCTCAAGTTTAACCCAATAAGGTATAGTATTTTGGATTGATGAAATGAACCTTACTATAGGCAAAAAGTTTGAGAGGAAAAGGAAAAGAAAAAGTAAAGTAAAGGAAAAGAAATACAAGGAAAATTATCACCCAAACAAGTTCTACAGCTTGGATAAGATGCAAGTCAAAGTAAAATTTGAATAAGAATATTATAAAAGCCATTGAGTGCTCATGGAAGAGCTTGAAGGTTCACATTTTTCGATTTTCTTTCGACTAAAGGTCCCTGGTTGGGCAGAAAGGGGAAAAGGGGGGAAAAGGAGGGGTCCCAATGGGGCTGGCCTCGATGAAAAAAGGACGGACCTCCTTTCGTCATCCACTCCTTTCCATTGCTCTCACCGCCCGAATGCTCGGAGGCTTTTGGCCCCGTGACGTCATGAGACATGAGGAACTTGGGATCACTCTTTTTCATGGGAAAAAGGGAACAAAGAAGCATAGACTTTGATTTGAACTTTATGAAATTTGAAAAGAAATCTCTGGAGATTCTTCTAGAATTCAAATTTCTTAGTCAAATCAATGTAAAGCTTTTGTATTATACTTTGAAAGTTTAGGTTTTTGATAGGCTTATAGGTTTTTGATAGGTTTTTAGGTTTTTGATAGGCTTAGAAGCCTAGAAATGTTGTGAACTCAGTTCTTATTACCAGTTTATTATCAGTTCTTAGCCAAATCTAGCGTTGAAGCAAATGTAGAATCAAATTCATTCAAATATCTCGTGGATTAATGTTAAAATGTTAATGATTAATGTTAATTTAGATTTTTGAATAGAAGCAATTATTAGAAAGCTAGATTTTTATAGCGAAAATCTCATTTGAACATTTGAAAGTTTGAAAGCCTAAAACCTATACTTATAAAGAATAAGCCTTTAAAAACGAAACCTTAAATACAAACCCTACAGCCCTGTTGATGCCGAAGATTTTTGATTTCATTGTTATTCTTAGCATATCTCAAGAAATATATCATTTGAAGATCTTTCCCGAAAAGGATTAGCAAAAGAATCCCAAAGGTCGCAAATCTCGACCAAAACAAATGATGTGTTTTACCCTCAAAATATGCCATTGTTTTTATTTCTCAAGCAAAAATAGGAACTTTTGTTTTAGAATAACATTTTTTTTGAGGAATTGGGGCAAGTTAGGCTAAAAATAGAGTTGCAGATTCGGCTAATTGCTGACCAAAAAGGGGGGAATCCTCGTTGATTTGATTCATTTACGAGAAGGGAACGAGTCTCGATTTGGAGACTAGGACCGATGGATTTGAAGGGAAATCACCGGAAATAAAAATGAATGTGAAAACACAACTTTGGAATGATTTGAAAAAGATGCACTTACAGGAAATTAGTGATATTTTGTGGGTTGGCTTGGCTAGATTGTGGTTAGGTAAGCTTTATATTGAAATCTTTACAATTTTTGGTTTCCTCAGTTGAGTTCGATGAGGATTAGTTGGTTCTAGTTCTAGTTCTAGTTGTGCGCTAGGAGGCGCTCGTTTATGGAATGAACTCCTCTCAGCCATTGGACACATAAACGTACTCCATTTGGCACATGGAAAGTATGATAACTCAATTTAGACACAGCCTGGAGCCCGAAATAAAGCTCTAGATTAAAGTTCATTTTGACCCAACTATTATTCTGGCAATGAATTTCTTTTAATAACCAAACTACCATAAGTAAATTTTTGTACATTTGATAAATTTAAATATTCAAAATTGGATAGGTTAGACAAATTTCTAGTTATTAAAGTTGATTTCAACTATTCTGTGAAAAATGTCTATCATTTATTAGTCGAAATCCGACTAATCTTCAATCTGAACAACTTTTTTCATGAAAACTACTCAGACAAGAACTCTCAAGATCTCTTTTTTCATCATTAGGCCCTCGTTTCTTTGAAATAAAATTTTCTCGAAAGGTTCAAAGTTCTCTCTTGTTAAATCCCTTACTCTTTTTTTTGATTCACTTGCCCGGAATTCCCCGGAAAATAGCTAAATTTAGCTGTTCCAGAGTGATTTCGCTTTATTTACTTGAAAAGTTAGGTAAATAGATTTAGAACTTTTCTTGGTTAATGATAGCTGTTTTGAAAAGAAAACGAGAGGGAAATTGGGTACAAGTACACATTTTTTGAGGGGGGATTTAGGATTGAGATTGATGTGGATGAGTTAGAAATTTGTTTGTTCAAGAAATGATCAAGTATTTTTGTTCAAAGTCATGTGAAGAACTGGAGAAACCCGAACAGGAGAAACCGGAAAAACCGGAAAAACTTTTTGTTCAAACTGAAAGCTCTTGAATTTTTTTAAAGTTTCCAATTCCAAAAGAACTTTTCAAATTTTCAACTACACAATTCTTTTTCTGAAGACCTTGACCACGTGTTTTCTTTTTAAAATTGTTGCTATGTAACCCGATAATGTAGCGTTGAACGAAGGGAAAAAAAACGTGTGTGAACACTTGGAAAATAATATCTTAACGAAAGAAATTTGACCCACAACGACCATCGATGAAAATTCTTGTTTAAAAAAAGTGGTGATCACGTGGGAGAATGGGCTTTCGAGAATATTGAGAAAAGAGAAAATTCAATTTGGCTGAATGATGGAGCTAGCAATTGAGAGATTTTGCTTTGATATCAAGTAGGGTTAAATTCTCAGACACTAGACTCACAGCTAGCTAGCTTGAAGCTTTGATTGCAAATTTGATTCTACATTGCTTTTTTTAAACCTTTATAGAACGATTTAGTTCATATCAAAGGTTATTTTTTGTTTTCTAAAACACGCTTCGGCTATCGTAGTCCTATTTTCATACTCTTTAGTGGTAGTGAGGCTGGGTCTAGCTATAGAACAGGATTACTATAGAAGTCAGTATTAGGTGATCAGTATATCAGGGTTAAACTCAGCATGACAGGAGATATTGCTGCCTAGCTAAATGCTGCTGCCTAGCTAAATGCTGCTGCCTAGCTAAATGCTGCTGCCTAGCTAAATGCCTCAATCGGTCTAGGATCGTTACTCGATAAACCTATTTGTATAATTAATTTTATAATTGTCTATATCTTTATCTTCTATCTTTTTACCCACCTCAAACTCATTTTCCTTGCACTTGTCTATATAGGCATTGTGCGGCGTCTCAAGCCGAAGAGCACTGATCGCCATCTTGAAGTTTTAAAACTAAAATCGAAATTTTATATTCAAATGGAGAAATGAATGAGTTTTAAGATAATCAAATGATAAATTCAAATCATTTCAATGCAAGCAAAGTTTTAGTTCAGGATAAAAAAGATCCAGGTGAAACACTACTACAAGAAAGTTTAGTATTTAAAAAAAACAACGTTACAGGTGGTAATCTTATTTAAAATTTTAATCTATTTATGCTGGAAACTAATGTTATGACGACCTTCTGACGAAAATTATGAAAGGTGACAGAAAATTGAATAGTGATGTGGGGGAAAGAGGTGAGGGGGCGGTTTTGTTCATTGATTTGAAACTTTTCTGTTTTGAATACAATCAACAAATAATAGTACTGAATGGTATAGAAAAACGAACTTTTAAGCTGTGGGGATGATTAAGGTATTCAGTTAAGATTAGCTGGATTACGGTATTCAGTCTAGATTGGGATATTCAATCTAGATTAGGGTATTCAGTTTAAAACTTGAGACAGACTTTGCGAGTTAAGGGGGTTTCAATTTTAGAAAGTCAATCGCATCTAAAACTGTTCAACAGGACGTTCAATGAAATTTTCTATAGTATTTAAAAAGAAACTATTTAGTTTTCTGATTGTAAAGTGCTGAGAAGCTTTGTAAAACGTAAAAGTGAAAAGCGGAAGAAGAGCAAATGAGGAGGCGGTGTCAAAATAACGAAAGAAAAGTTAGATGTCTAAGCCAAGAATTTCGGCTTTTGCATATAATTCATGGTTTCCAAATTGCTAAAACAAAATAGTTTCTAGTTTCGTGGCGAAAAAGAACACCCACGGGCTTCTAGGGAAAGAAACGTGGGCGTTGCTAGATAAAGGATTAACCATTTGACTTTTAGACTTGAGATATTAATTTGGAACTTATAAAAAACATAAAAATATCTAAATTAGGCATGAATAATAGAAATCTCCAATCTATTTGGCATTTAAAGTTTAAAGCAAAGAAAAAAGGTTAGTTTTGAAAAGATCTGCAAATTCCTCAAAAATGTTTCTCAAAATAGAGCTTTCCGCTTCAAAAACGGAGTGATTTGCGAGAAAATTTTTCCCAGATCTCCTAGATATAAAATGTTTTGAATCGGAGCTTTTCACTCACCATTCAAACAAAAATTCTCCCGAATGAACCCATTCGAGAGCAAATCAATATGTCTAACATTGAGAAAAATTCAATTTTAACACGAAACAGTTCATCATAAATAAGCACAATTTGCAAAGCAGGCTAAACCACACAAAATGACATTTATTTACAAAAAGTCTTCGGGGAAAAGGAGTGATTTTTGAGTAAACTTTGAGAAAAAGGAAATTTTGTCGAGATTTTTTTTAGGAATTAGACGTTTCGAGAGAAATTTTGTAGATAATATCTGAAAATACAGCTGAACTTCTGTCGTGAAGACATTTAGAGTCAATATTTGAAAAAAGCTCTCTGAGAAAAGACTTTTGCTCGTTTATGTTGTTGGGTTTGGAAAAGTGAACTGTGATTGAGAGATGGGAAATGACTGAAATCAAAGTTGACAAAGAGTATCATCATTTTCATGGGATTTATTCTGTAGTTTTTTCCCCAATCCGTAAAGAAATCACTCTTTTCAAAGAGTATGAGTAAAGAGAAAACTCAACGCTTTCAGCACTTCAAAAAACAATGTTAACTCAAAACCTTTAAGTTTTTTAGTATTTAAATAGACTTCATAATTTGCCTGCTCATAGTTAGCCTAAAGATTGAATTAGATTGTTTAACCGAATTGGCTGGTTAACCAAAAATTAGCTGGTTAACCAAAAAAAATAAAATTAAAAAAAAATTCTTGTTTGGAATTTAGTCTAAAAGAAATCCTTGGCATTAATTATTTTATTTTATTTATTTATTATTTAAAATTTTAATTGTCATATCAAATGCTTCAGCAGCCATTCTAAAAAGCAACTCAACAAGTAAATTTTTAATCATATAAATCATCAAAATTTTAGTAGAACAGTTTATTGTAATTTCAAATAAAAAAGAACCAAAAGTCAAACAGGTGAAACAGCACTACATGAAAGTTTAGAAGTCATTTTATAGTACTAATAAGTTCAGGTAGGGAAATGTTATTCAAAACAAAGGAAAATTAAAGTTCAAGTGGCAAGTTGCAAATCAGTACTGATCTCATAAAGTTTGAGTTCAGCTTTGAAATTGAAAGGTTAATCCCTTGAGGTTAGATCAAAAAGTCTAAAGTGTCTAGAATGATTTTAAAATTGATTGAAATGAAAAAGTTTAACCTTTCCAAAGTCAAACCCGTCACTTTTGGTAAACGATTGTTTTCTGCAAAAAGAAAGATTCTTTTCCTCTCCAATTACGTCAATCGACCCTTTCAAAAACTCGAAACATTGCACTCAAAAGGGTCTTCCGATCCTAGAAATGATAAGACTTTAGCTGAATTCAATTCTGAACTCATTTCCCACACCCCATTAAATAGCTGAATAGCTGATAAATTTTTGGGTTCACAAGCCGGAAAAGGCTCAGATTTTGAGTTGTCTCGTTTCAGCTGTGATCAATGGCTAGGGGAAAACATTCAGCTTGATCTAAAGCCAAATTTCTTGTTTTGATTTGATTAAATGCTTAATTGCTATGGATTGACGATCAAAGTTTGGCCTTTTTCGGTTTGAAAGCAACTGTAAGGTTTGAAAGCAACTGTAAGTAGCAACAATAAACAAAAAAAATTGATTAGACTTCAGCTGAAACTGTTTGAATCCTGTTTGAAATTAAATAACCTGGGAAAACGTGCTAAACTGAAATTTTGTTTGAAATGTTTTTGAAATAGTTTGAAATAGTTTACGTTGTAAGCTTGGCCAGCTTTTGTCTAAATGAGTCAACAAATGGGTGTAAGACTGTCTACTGAACATAGCAAAACTGTGTAACTTTATATCTTGCATCATAAAACTCATTCAGCATTCATAATTTTAATCTTGATTCAAATTTTAGACTAAATAATTCAAAATGAGTCTAAAGCCTAAAGCCCATCGACACACAATTTCAGCACGTTTTCCCAGGTTAGCCAGTAAGCTTTTAATCAGCTTTTGATCACCGTGCGTTCAGCTGAGAAAAATCACACGGCTCTCTTGCTTTTGTCTTTCCTTTCTTTCCAAAAAACCATCGCTTTGTTTGATTTTGAATGTGATTTATCGCTGAGGAAAAAGAATTCGAAAAGGGAAAAAAGAAGAAGCATTACATTCAGAGGATGAAACAAAAACATTGACATTCAGTGGGAGAATCGGGAAAAGAGATGAGAACAGCTGAGATGAGATGAGACAGAGACGAGGAAACAGCTCAGAATTTGAGTCAAAGCAGTCGACTTGAGATGAGCTTTTGATTCCTTCAGAAAATGGGAAAGGGACAAATTTGATATTTTTAAGTAAAGGTGAATAAAAATTTTAAGTCTTGGCACTCACGTGTCTTCCAGATTTTTCTAAAACTGTAAAAACTGATGTTGTTCTCTAAATTAATTCAATATCCGTCATACCGTTTATTACAAAGACTAAATTCAACCAAAAAAAACCGATAATAGAAAACAGCATTGTTTCAATCCTAAGCCTTTCTTTAATACTTTTCCAATTCGTTTCCTTTCAAAATCCTTTGCTATTTTATTTCCAAATAAAACTGCTCTGCAATCTGATATCCTCTATTGCAAAGTTAGTGACTTATCATCCATTTGCAAACTAGAGTTGTGCAAAATTACCCGGAAAAGAAACTTGTTTGAATGTTATTCGTCAACCGTCCCTTAAAACTCCTATAACTCTTTTCTATAAACCCTTAATTATCCTCGAAAAAAAGTAGTCACACTTTTCTAGTCTTAATGTTGTTTTTTCTCGAGTTTTTCAGAAACCAAAAAAGCGCTGAAAAGGGCGAAAATGAAGCTGAAGCTTTCCCTTAGCCATTGATCACAGCTGAAACGAGACAACTCAAAATCTGAGCCTTTTCCGGCTTGTGAACCCAAAAATTTATCAGCTATTCGGTTATTTAATGGGTGCGGGAAATGAGTTCAGAATTGAATTCAGCTAAAGTCTTATCATTTGAAGTCAGGATCAAGTTTACTCGATTCTTTGTGGTTCGAAAGAAAAGCCGGTCAAGGGATTTTTCTTTTCAGTAATTTCAGTAATAGGTTAAGGAATTAATCAATTTATACTATGGATAAAATTATGAGGTTAAGTTGGCTGGTTGCAAAGTTACTACGACGAACTCTTGTCCGGGTGATTTTGCCCAACCCATTTCTTATAGATTTTTCGATTCTTTGCAATTTTGTAGTGACACTCCCTTCGATTCCGAAATGATTCTGAATAGATTTGGTCGTTGAGTTTCTAAAAACTAGATCTTTTCCAAAAAAAGCTTTCTCTTTAAACTTTAAAAAGTGTCACCTCCAGAAAAATGCTGGATTTTTGGTTTCCAACTCCATAATTGTCTGGAAAACAAATTACTTTGTTTTCCAGAGCTGAGAATTCCTCCAGACAAAAGGCTTTTCCGGGATTTTTGAGGTTTTTGATTGAATGGATAATGGGGGAGAAAGGGGGGAATTTCCATATGATTCTTGTTATTTTCATGTTTACTTAAGAAAATTGATCCCTGGGGACACTTGGAAAAATAATTTTCCCAAGAAAAAAAGAAATAGAAAAAGGGGCAATTTTGAACATGCGGGTGGTGTGGGAGAAATTTTGGAGGGATAAACAAAAATCCGTTGAGAGGTCCAATTACCCAATTGCTTGCAAAAGAAATCATTTATCAATGGAGAATTCGAGAAATAGATTTCCTTTTGAAATAACATGTTTTGGTGTGAATTATTTAGCGGGAAACCTTTGCTCGGAGCATCGTTTAGATAGAGGTCAATTATTGGGGAAGGAGTTGAGAGAGTTGGAATAAAAAATAATACACGAAACTTTTCAAAAAGAGTTCTTTTGGGAAAACTCTTAATGGATTAAAACATTCTAATATTTTTGCTGATTGCAACCTTTTGGCCTTTTGGAATTTCTGAATTAAAAGCAATAAAAAAGTCAGAGCATTGAGAATTTACCACAGAATTTTTCGGAATGCTAATTCTGGATTAAAATTTTTTCCGTAAATTTGTCAGGCCATTTAGAATTGCGTTATTTGGTGTAAAAACAATCTTTCAAACAAACAAACAAACAAACAAACAAACAAACAAAACAAAACAAACAAACAAAACAATCAATCAAAACAAAAGAATCTCCTTATTAACTCTAGTTTATTTGGAATTTGATTATGGGGCTTGAGTCTTGAGTCGTTTGGATCTAGAGGCTATTTGAGCTTTAAAAAGAATAGAGATGAATTGATGAGTAGATTGAGTTAAGAGTCGAGCTAGTTCTACCAACAAGACCGCTTTCGACTTGTCGTTGGCAAAAATTCAGCTATTTCCTTCTAATCATTCATGCAAAATCTCAGATAACCCATAAAGAGCCGAGCCTTATTCTCGAGAAATCTAGTCTTTATCCAAGTCCAAGTCTTTACCAAAAACATCGAACAATTAAACGGTTTCTAATCTTTAAAGTTCGTGTGGTTTTATAGAGTATGAGGAAGAGGGCTTTAACAAAAAAAACCTTCAAAATGGGAACTGTTTACCCGTGCTCAGGATCAAATTCAAGAAAACAAAGTGAGAAATTTGAAAACAAACTGAACGTTTTAAAGAAAGAAAAAAGATGAAAGGCTCAGAGTTCTAGTGATCATTTGAATGTGCAAAAAACGTAGAAACAGTTGCTAGACGTTGAACATTTCAAAAAAAACTTCCTTTTTCTTCTTTTTTCCAGATCGATTCAATCGAAGAATACATAAACATCAAAGAAAAAAGAAACAGAAAAAGAAATTTGACTTTGTGGCCATTTGATTTTTGATTTTGAAATCGAAAAAGCTTCATTTTTCGTGGACACGTGAATCTTTTTCTCGTTGAAATATTGAAAAGCGAATCATCGATGACGTATTTCCTTGTTTCACTCTATGTTTGGCGCAAAGAAATGAACCGAAAATTTTTTGAGCAAAATTTTGAGGACAAAAATGAGTGGTTTAAATGCTTTGAGAAGCAAGTTTCATTTTTTTTAAAGATTATGAGCCAATTTGGTTGTCAGCTATGAGTTTTACGAGAATAAGCGGAGCTAGCTTTTTTGGCTTTTTCGGTCCATTTCTTTAAACCAGATAGACAATTCGTCATCACTGATTATATTGGATTCTAATCTTTCAACAAAAATCTATTCGTTTAATGCTTTTTCGTTGCATTGAATGCAAAGAACCCATCAGGGCCACCAAGTATAAAACAATATAAACAACAACAACAAGTATAACAATATAAAACTCACTTAGAAATATAAAATTTGAGTCAAAATAGTGTAAATCTCTTATTTTTGTACTCTCAACTTAAAATTGGAACTTTAAGTTAAATTTTAGGTTAAATTTGAAGTTAAACTTCCAATAAAAACTTAAACTCCAATTCAGAAAAAAGGCAGCTTGTACTAAATTTTGTTTTTACAGAACGGCCGACATCTCAGCTGTGCAGGAGACTCTGCAAAGCATCGAAGCCGCCGAATTTCTCAGCACTTCTTGAAACGTAAGCTTTCCATTACCAGCTAACTCGAAAAGTTTTATTTTACATTTTCTTTTTTTTACAGAATTTTGTCATTTCAACAGTTGTTTCTGAATTGGAGTTTTCGCTAGATCTTTCACTTCGCCTTTTCCCTATTGCCAATCATAGATGATCTCACTTTTTGCTCTCAATTTCATTCGTGTCTTTGCCCATTTCAATAAAAGATTAGCTCACATTTATATCAACAAATAAACAATTCAAATGATTACACAAAAAAATCATTTTTCAAAGAACACCCGAAGTTTTTGCGTCAAAATGTAGAAGTCTTTGATCAGTTTCATTTTCATTGATTGTGGGAGATTTGATACGAGTCCCTTTGCCATTGGCGATCCAACTTAAAACCCAAATTTCCTGGTGTTGGGCTGTCCAACTCCAATAGTTTTTGTACCAATCGACAGAGAAAGACTTGGCGCATCCAATGGTACCAAGAAAATTTAAATTGGACACCCCAACACCAAGATATTTAAGCTCAAAGTTAGATTGCCAATGGCAAAGACGGGCGCGTATCAAATGTCCGATAACCGTTTGCATCGACTTTGCTTTCAGTAAACCGGATTGAGTGTTGCAACCTGAAACAGATTTGCCTTTGGATTTATCAAGATCATAATTGTCGTCGAAAAGGCACCCATTTTAAGAAAACTACCGTAATCAAACCTTCGAATTATTATTCGATAAGGAATCACAAAATCCAGCCAATGTACCAAAGTTGGGATGATCTGGTGAGAATTGGCTATTTGATTGGCGTTTTGACGTATGAACCAAACGTTAAGAATGATAGTGAGCCTTTTTCGCTGGGTTTTTCATAAATTTAAAGTAATATCATTCAAAGAGCACAGATTTCTTCACAATAAATTTTTCCTAACAAACTTTGCCGAACAAAACTATAGGACATTGGAAATTTAGAAAAACTGGAATATAAAAGTAGTTTAACAGCAGAGTTTTTTACTCTTAGGTCTACAATTTTTCAAGGAGGAGACATGAAAGTTTTTGTAAATTTTGGAAATTATCTTTGAAGTTTTTTACACCTGAAAAACTTGGTTTCAGTGGAATATCTTCTGTTAAACTAATTTTATAGTCCAGTCTTTATAAATTTCCAATGTAAAGCTCCTATAGTTTTGTCCGGCAGTTAAACAGTACAGTACAAGTACAGATTGGTAAATTATGAAGCTGGTTTTAGCTTTAACCATGATTGGAGTGTTAAAATTTGTACAAAGTGAACAATGTTGAAAACAAGATAAAGCCCTAAAATCGATTAGCTCTTTAAAGTTACTAATAGAATTGGAAAAAATAATTTCGTGGCTCATGATTATGTGTGCGATGTTAACTGGTATACTTTTTTTTTACTTTACACATGTTTTTTTTAATGAATCCATCATTTCCATGTGTCATAAACATGCACAAAATAAAAGCCAAGCATTATGATGCACAGGAATTTTATTATCAGAAAAACTTTGGGTATTAAATTGTCTAAGACGGCTCTACTTCAAGACGGCTCCAAAAAACCCAAGACGGAACTTTTTTCTGCAAAGCAAATAACGAAAAACTTTGCATGATTCTCTATTATTTAATCTATTAGGTTGGTGAATTGAAAACTGCGGGACTTTGAACTAAAATTTATCCAACATAAAACCATAAATTCATTCCAAATAATTTCCATTATTATTGATGACTTCTGCCCATTTTACAGGCAATTTGCGGATTCCTCTTTCGTAGTAGAATTTTGGTTTGTGTGTGAGACAAATGTGAGACTCAAAAATGGAGGACTGGAGATGTCCTAGTTTGAGCACTTTTTTCAAAAGAAACTCATTTTGGTGTCAATGGAAAAGTTGTAGAGAATCAAAAATTAGGCTTATAGCCAAATTTCCAAAAAGATACACTTAGTAGTATCGCTTAAAATGCAAGTTTTGTTGCAAGTTTTGTAAAAATTTGTAAATTTGGCATTTCTTGAAAGCCAGTTTTTGAATCGTTCTGAAAATTTGGATATAAGCTTGATTTTTGATTCTCTACAACTTTTCCATTGACACCAGAATGGGTTTCTTTTGAAGAAAGTGCTCAAACTCTCACATATGACAATAGCCCGCAGTTTTCAATTCACCAACCCAATATATCTTTGAATTTTCTTCCGGGAATTCTCTAAGCTTTTTCAAACAACGTCAAACCATGGTTAAGATTTTTTTATCAAAAGGGAAATGATTCGAAGAAAAACTTGAGGTACTAAGTCGGTTTTTTGTTCTGATACCACATTGTTTTGAAGTCTCAGTTGCAGAAAAACGGAGAGTTTTTCGAAATCAAACAATGAAAGAAATTCTTTTGATTCTGTTTTCGTTGAGTTTTGCGAATGGGAAAATTTACGAACTAGACGAGGAAAATCCGTCATTTGCCATTCATGGATGGTCGATTGGACAAGAGAAAGTAAATTTTAAATTATTATTGGAAAAAAGTGGCTCTTGAATCTAAAGGCGGTTTTTGAACTTAAAGGTGGCCTTTGAACTTGAAGGCGGCTTTTGAATGAGTAGCCAAGGTTTAAAGAGCCATAACTTTGTTTAGGGACAATATTATTGTTAACTTTTTATATTGTTTTAAACAGGACAAATCAGGCTTTCGAATTATACTAAATGTTGCTCGATTGAATTATTTAATTACGTGGAAATCAAAGCGAACTTAGTCAAAAAAGATCGGCTCCTTGTTTTTTTGATTTTCGTGAAATCAAATGACTCAAGTAAGCTCTATTTTATAAAATTCTCAAAGCTGACGTGTCCTCTTTAAAACAATATAATAGGTTGATGCATAAGTCTTTTCGTTTTTTTCGTACTTCTGTTAAAAAGTAACAAATTCACCAATTAATCTATAGTTTGCTCTATAAAAAAAGTGTTTTTTTGTTGAATTTCCATCTTTTTAAATCAATTTCGGTTCACTTTCAAGCAAATTCGAGAGTGAAAAACGCCTTTTTCGTAAAAATCTATAAAAAACTCTACGGAAAAATTGGCTGAATGAATTTCTCTGAAATTTTGGCGAAATATCAAACTTTTTTCTCTATCCTTTTATCTATTGACACGAAAATAGGTTTTCTTTAGCTAAGGTGTCTAAACCGCATCATCGAGTTAGCCCTTTTTGACTACCCGACTTCATACTCTCAAGAAAATCCAGGCATAAAATATTTTTAAACCCGTTTGAATGTTATTTTGCAGAAAAATAATTGGTTTTTCTAATGAAATCAACCGTAGTTTAATTGGTGCATTTGTTGGCTTGAAACGGCAGACGAAAAGGAACAAAAACACTTATGCATCAACCTAATAAAAGTTAACATAAAATATTATCTCCAAACAAAGTTATGGACCTTTAAAGCTTGACTATTCATTCAAAAACCGCCTTTAAGTTTAAAGATCACCTTTTAAGTTCAAAAGCTATCTTTAAGTTACTTTAAGTTGCTTTAAGTGACTAAGCCTATCTGTTTTTATTGTTGTCAAAGGTGTTTATAAGTAAAGCACCTGTAAATGTCTCTGAAAGCTATGGAAAAACTTTAATAAATAGCTAATTACTGCTTTAAAAACACTTAAATAATCAGAAAGAAGTGTTTTTTTGGAAGTTTTCCAAAAAAAGCAAAAAATTTGGCGGCAAGTGGAATTGAACCTTTACAATAATGGGGCTCAAAAAGCACTACTTTTATAGTAATTAACTTTAAAAACCTATTAATACAGAGAAAGATGGAAAGGATCATTTTTTAGACGCCCAAAACTCGAATTTGACTGTTTTTTAGCATTGTCCCGTATTGGCTTTTTGTACAGCTCGTCTAGGATTATCAAAGTCATTAAAAAATGTTACGGTTCTTCTATTCTATGTAAAATTATGCGTAGATTTTATGATTAATTGTTGTTTTTAATGTATTGTCTTAGAAAGCCAAAAAGATGCATAAAGCCCAACACTATATATACCGCACCCTGTAATATTATACGTCTAAACACTTGGAAACACAAATAAAGATCAGTCTTTATGCTTGAATAGTTTTATTGCTGTAATGAGAAAAGCTACCGTAAGACTCTACACTATCTTTTACAGGTAGATAGCCTTTTTTTAGATCCGATCAGCTTTTCAACGTGCAAAAACTCGATTCATCAGTTTACACAATATTTGTCCCACCTAGATGTCCTCTTGATATCATCATGCTTTGGGGTGTAAATAATTGTAAGCATTTGTTGTAAATGAAACTTTCACTTAAATACAGCAACATCGGCTTCAACTGAGTTTTGTCGTGGGGTTAAAATCCGAAATTCTCAACGTTACGCAAATCCAATTGACTTGAGTTTTGATGTAGGAAAATACTCGCTTCACGAACAAATTTATTGCGGTAAGTATGGCTTATTAGGTTGGCAAATAAGTAAATTTTTCGAAAAAACCCATTTTACAATGAATGAGACTATTAATCGAGTCGTGGCATTCGAAAGAGCAATTCTTTTTGTATAAAATGTCATTTACTGTATTCTCTCTACTAGTATTGCGGTCCGGGAGGGGTTGAAAAAAATCGTAGTGCGCACTACGACACTACTGGACAATATTTAAAAAACGATCGTCACTTCGCACGTCTGTAACTCCCTTGTCTTTACCGTATTTCTAAATATTAATATTACCATTGTGTAGCCAATGAAAAGAGCTTTCAGAAAATGTATAGCACTAATAGTTTAAACTCAAAGACAAGGGCGTTACAGACGCGCGAAAGTGACGATCGTGTTTCAAATATGATATTTCATTGTCCAGTACTGTATTAGAGAGAATACGGTAAGCGATTTTGAAAAGCTTTTATTTTTGAGGTTTTCGAAGGCCGCAAAGACAAGTAGTCAAAATAGCCATTTTCAGAAAACAAGTGATCTAGCGGGTGCTAGATCACTTGTTTGATTGGAAGCTATTCTTAAAAGAAAGAAGAGCGCAAAAGAAAGAAGAGATCCTTTTACATATTCAGTAAAATTTACAACAAAATCCGTCAAGCCATTTTGTCAAAAAGTTACTCAAAATTGACAAAATTGACAAAATTTTGAACCAATTTAAAACCCATGTTCGAGTGCCTTTTTCAAAATGACTTCCAACCTAACAATTGCCCATTCAGACAGTTTTCCTGTTGAATATCTTGTGGAAGTGGTTGACTTGAATATGGGAAATTTCACTATATTTCCTTGTCGAGATAATTCCTGTGATCCAACGTGGGTTTTCAATGAAATAAAACACTGAAATATTTAGAGTAGAGTTTACTACAGAAGTTATTCAAAACGAGAAATTCTTATTTGTTGGAACAGATGCGATTGAGGTAAAAACATTTAACAATTCACGACAATACGGCTCACCGGTGGGCTGCACTAATAACTAAATCAAGAGGAGATTCAGCGCTTTCGAATGACTTTAATAGCTTAGTTTATCTTTGAATATTCACTAACTTATCAGTAAAACAGTTAACGACTACGTGACTGTACGCTCAAAATAAGAAGAAATAAGACTCGTAAAAGTTTATAGCTACAATGGGTACCCGCTACACAAACCGATTTTTGCTTTGTTCGCATTTACGCAAGAAGAATTGGAAAACAATTTGAACAAAGAACAATTAGACCAATTATAAATGGAAAGAACCGCTTTAAAATTTCCTTATTTATTGGCTTTTTCGTGCTTTTATTATGTAACTTTTGCTAGAGTAATAAAGTTTATTATTATTATAAGTAAAGCAAACTGCTGGACTTAAATGGTATCCATAGACAAGAAAGGACATGCCAGTTTAAATATTTTTTGTAAAAAGATAATACGGTGCGAATATAACACCTTTTTGCAAGCCATAAATAGAAAAATAACCTTTTCTAAAAATGGCCGCTTTGTTGGCCGCTTAAAAATATTCTAAATAGTTTAGTCGGGCGAAGAGAGAATCGAAAAAGAAAGCTTTAAAAAAAGTTAAATAGAGCTATTGATCGATATTGCAATTGTAAAAGGCACTAATAATTAAATAGTATCTTAGGGATTTGGCTTTCTATGCGTCCCAAAACCATGAAGCGGAAATCGATCATTGATCTCTTGTTAATTTTGTAGAAATTTTTATAGATTCCTTAAAAATCATTTAACAATCATTGAACATAACAAAAATATACCATTACCCTTTAAAGTGACCTCCTTTAGCTTGAATATATTGTCGTAATCACTTCGGAAAGTCATCCATGGCCTTTTTGATGACCTCCATACCAATGTCGTCCAAAGATTTCTCCAAATGACAATTCGCTCCAAAGCGTTTCAAAAGCTTCTTGCAACGGTTCACTCTTTTTTGCTTCATCTGATCGTTTAAGTAATGTCCGATTACATCTTTTCGTGTCTTCATTCCGTGTTTTTTGAGAATTCGGTGCACTGTGTTCTTTGAGATTCCAATTGCAGCAGCCATCTTTCAGGTGGAATTTTTCTGTGATCTCGGGTTTCTTTAGATTCGTTGAAAGATCTTTCGACGATTGATTGGATTGTTGGCAATCTTCTTTCGGCCGCTTCCAGATCGGTCTTCCAATTTCCCAGTATCTTTATGATGCTGGATTGCTTTTGAAACTGTCTAGTGCAAAAGTGCAAAAGTGCAAGTGCAAAAGCCGCGAGTGTTTGAAGTGCAAAAGCCGCGAGATCTCCATCACTGATTTGCCATCCTGTAACAGTCGAACCATGCCTGGACCCGCAAATCCAATTGTGCCTTCGTCCTGAAAAAGCCAATACAAAAAGAATTTTAGTCATAAGTAAGAAAAAGAGCGAGATAAAACAATAAATCTGTCAAAACAGGATTCGCTCCATAATTTATCTCCATAACATGATAACAAGGAAGCACCAGAGTTTGTGACATGATAGAGCCCGAGCTCAGCTACTTTAGGGTTTTTAGTCTTTGGGACATTCTGTAATATTGATTTGTTTATTTATTTTGGGTTTTTTAGTCACAAACACAATGACGAATCGAACTTGTTTTTCAAAGAGCAGCAAAAAGAGAGAAAGAAATAGCCAAAACAAGTAAATTCCCCTTTCTCGAAAAATATCAAACTTTCATCACATTTGAGTCTGTTCCCAAGAGATTACAGTTCTAATATTCGGCTCAATTTTTATTATCATGATGAATGCTACATTGATATGAATGGTTTGTTCTTCGTGATTTCTATAACTTTTACAAGCCCTGGGAAAGCTTCAGATAGTCAGCTACCGTATCTCTTCGAATAGAAGACCGGGTAAAGAGTATCATCGCGTACTCCTGCGTAGCAGCCCTTTTTAAAATTTCTCTTCTGCATAAAAGCTTTCAATGAAGTGCTATAGAGCTGGAAAATGGCTCAAAAATCTGTTAGCTCATGTGGTATTTTCGAGTCATTTTCCAGCTCTATAGCACTTCATTGAAAGCTTTTATGCAAAAAAATAAATTTTTAAAAGGGCTGCTACGCAGGAGTACGCGGTGATGCTCTTTACCCGGTCTTCTATTCGAAGAAATACGGTAAATTGAATCAAAAAAGCCTGATTTTGAGATTCTAAGCAGTACAAACGGTACTCTCCTGTTATGCCAAAAATCTCACCCACATGATAAAAAGAAAGCACCAGAGTTTGTGACCTGATAGAGTTCGAACTCAGCTATTTTCGGGTTTTTAGTCTTTTAGGCTTTTTGCTGAAGCTTTTGACGATTTTGATAATAATCTGTTTCAGAAACTGGCCCTAAAAACGAGGCCGAGAGATCGTTGAACGCTCCGCATCGAGCCGCGCATTATTTGATGTGGTTCTGTTCGTTTATCCTTCTTTTATTATTCATTATCGCCTTTGTATGGTATTTTGTATACTAGTTCTTGTTTGAAACACGATTTCTCCGTAAAATAAATAAATAATCTTGCTAATGTAGGTAAAAGCAGAAAGCCAGGAAAGCTGACAGCGTGTACAATATGTCAAAAAACAAAGAACATTTTTGTTTTTTGATATATAGAACATTAATATACTTAATCAAAAGTATATTAATGGGTCTTTGGTTTTAAAAAAACTTTTTGCATATCCAGATTCGACAATTTGATCCAAAACTAACCAAAAAAACCCAATAAATGCAAAAACAGAAAAGGACAGATCCATTGTTCGTTCATAACAACCAATAACCTTGAATTGTGATGAATGACGTTTTGTCAAACTCGTTTTCGCAAAGAGAACAGAAAAAAGAAACAAAAATAGGTTCTCTGTGTTTCTCGGAAAGAAATCAGAATTTCAACCTATATTTCAACATATACTTCCCTTTGTCCGAATATTTTATTTCCAAGAGATTTTTTTCGTCAAATCTGATAATAATCTATTGTTAAAAACTTTTCTTCAAAGTTCTATTGCCAATGAATGTGCCCAGGGAAAAGGAAGGTCAGTTTTTTGCTTTTCAATGTAAAAATTGTTTAGAATCTCCTAAATGTATAACTCCAATATGGTACATATAGTGTACATATAGTATTTAGCTTTTTAAAAAAGCATCTTTACCTTATTCTACTAGGGTTATAGCCAAAATCCAAAATACATATTAGTCAGATTTCTTTTAGCCATAGCAGTTTTCATAATCCGCTACCCGTATTTCTCAATTTCTACGATTTCAGCTTGTGACTCCAAAAATGAGCCCAAGAAAGAATTGAATTTACGACATCAAATCTGCAAATATCTGACACGTATTGGCTCATTTATTCTTTGTGCGCAGTTTATTATAGCCATTGCCTACTTTTTCTATTACATAACCGGTCCTCACAAATAAATCTTTGTAGTGTGTGACAAATGCAAGATATTATTGCCCTGTCAAATAATCTACCGTAAATACTGTAATAGTACCCCACCCCCCTTGTACAGTCGCGTAGTCGCAAAAGTTATTTCGTATTTCATTTTTTTCAAAGCGCCCGTACTTTCAAAAAATGCGTCTTTGGTATCAAAAAATAGTTGAAATTCTGGGCTATCTTTTTGATACCGTGAGCAAAGGATGACGTTAATTTCATAGCTCAAAACAATATCCACTACATCACCTCACTTCTCCTCAAAAAAGGGCGAGAAGCCCCTTTTAACCCCTCCGTTTTCCAGATAGATGCCAAAATTTGCAATCCGTTTTTCTCAAAAACCATTACCCATTCGCAAAAACTAAAAGCGCTATCGTACTTGCCGTACGCAACTTGTGTTTGCACCTGATTTTCGTCACGAAATCTCACGGTCACTTCTGACTATTCTCTTTTTAGGCAGGCTCGGCGGGGGGGGACCCCTTCACTTTCCTAAATTGGTTCCCACCTTGCGCAACCTCCCCCCTCCCGATAATATCCCCCAATCATAGGAAAGATCATAACTAGAATATGCAAGCTTCTTTTATCAGACTGACTAAAGATTCTATTCTATTTTACTTTGATGCCGAATTTCAATAAATCTCAAAAAACAAACGCTTTTCTTTGATCAGAAACATAACAAGTATGTATTAACTTGACAAAGACTTCCGATGTGTTTGTACATAAATAAGAGCGAGCTGGACTTTCCCCCCACAAAGCAACTCATATCAATGATTATTTTGAGAAACGGAGTTATTTGAGGAGAAATAACTGAGGACTTGTTTACCAAGAAGAATTTAGCTTTAGACTATCATCCTATTGACTAAAACACACAACAAATGGATTCCATTCGAGCTAATATGTACAGGGTGAAAAATAAAAAAGTCCATTTTCAAATCAAGTTTTCTCAAAATTTCTGATGGCTTCTGGTGGTCAATGTGATGTCAAAATGAATCATTTGTGGTCACAAATTTGACATATTTTTTCCGTTTCTCTCGATTTCACGATCCCTTCCCTATACATGAATTTGAGGGTACCGCCATAGTCACCACCATATAGCCATCAACAACACAAAAAGTTTTCCATAAATTTGACTCTTTCTACTGCCATCTTAGTGTCATATTAGTGTTAATATGTAAACTAAAATTGTAAACAAACGCTTTATGATTATCAGTTCCTTGGAAAAACTAGGCATCGCTTTGAAAACAGGCAAGTCGAAAGAGTTTTATGTACAGTCTGTAAGTTATTTGTGATTTTATACTCATTTAGTAACAGAATGAAATTGGGTGCCAGACTTAGCACTCAACTTAATAATAAAAGGTTTTATTCAAAAAAAACAAAGACAAACAAATTTTCAGTAGTTCTGTTAGCAATACTTTCCATATCTCTGCGACCGAATCCTTCTCAGCCAACCGCCCGTCGGATAGGGGACTTCTTTCAATTTGAGATCCCATTCTTCTGAGCAACATTTCATCAATAAATGAATCCAGAACGTTTTTGAATTTTCTAATGTTTTCTTTTCTTTGAGAGTGATTCGGAAAACAAAAACTTTCCTTGGAGCAAATCTTCTGATAAAGAATTGTTCATAAGTGGTTGATTGAAGAGAGAGATCAGTCAAGTCTTTTTTACCGACAAATTTCTGGAAAAGTTTCACGGCCTTTGAGCTCTCATTTGCTTTTTCTAGTCCAGAAACTGTAATTCCTTGCATCAGATCTTCAAAAATCTCTTGAATTGGTGAATCAAAGAGAGATTTTGTAGATTTTGACCGCTGCACATAAATTTTCGTCGAAAAAGCCAACAAAGGCCATCCACCTCTTGCCGGAAATCCTTTAGCTAACATTCTTTTGATGCTCTCTTTCAGTGTAATCCAAGTTAGTTTCTCTTCTGTAAACTGATTTCTCATTTCAACAAGCGCTTTCCACTGTTCTCTCTGTGCAAACAGAGTGATTATTCCGCAATTTTTGAACTCTCGTCGAACCAACAAATTAGAAAAACAAGAATCCAGACCAAGCTCAGGATTCTCGCGAATATAAATGTCAAATTGATCAGTGACAGTAGTACAAAAGCCTTCTAGAGCTTTTTGTATATTCATAAGATCATTTGTTTCCACTTTGAATCGAGACACAATTTTGAGATTCGGAAGAAAAGTGTCTGATCCGGGAACAAGTTGATAACGTTTTTTCTCGGGTTTACTCATGTGATGTTTGATCTCCAAACTTTTACAGGAATCAATGTTTCCGAAGAGGAGCTGAAGAAAATTTTGAGAATAGCTTTTGTCAAGATCAAGTCTGAGAGTGGCTTTAAATGGTGCAGGATAGGGCTCATCTCTCACTCGGATTATCATCACAGACTCTTTGTTTTCTTCAAAGTCATAAGAAAGAAGCAGCTCCAATGTTTTCACACGATTTACAAAGTTTAAAACTGGGAGATCAATTTCGATGACGAAAAGCCATCGAAATGGCGAAAAGCCATCCAAAGAGAACATTATTCTCACCTCCAAAAGTTTTCGTGATAAAAAACCATTTTCCAAAACATATTTCCTCAGCTTTTTGTTGACTTGCAAAAGTTTTGAGATTTCCTCGTAGTTGAGATTTTTGTTGATAGAAGTCTGCAAGTGATTTGGCAAACTGGAATAGAAGAAATAGGCTTTCGAATCGATCATTTCTGACATTCTGAAAATGATGCTAAACGCTACTACTAAAAATCTACTAATCAAAACGTGTAAAATAGTCAAAAATTGCTCAACCCTATGTAAACTTCATCGAAATGTACAAAAGATTGTGCAATTTCTTGAAAAACCCTTATCAAAAACTCGGAAAAGTAAACAAACCGTGAGAGCTAGTGATATGAAAGGCATCACGAAGAAATCGATGGGTCAAACGGATCTGAAGACTCTAGGAGAAAAGTTTAAGAAAATTGGGCAAATTTTGCTTTTTCCGAATACCCTAAATAACCAAAAAGCATTAAAGTTTAAAATTTTTCAAATTTCAAAAGTTAACGCAAATTCAAATAAAATCTGCAAAAGTAAGTTTGTTTTATACCGGTTCACGTTTTTTTTCTTCACAGGAAAGGGCAGCAAAAATCGGCACACGCAAGCAAAGTTTTTCCTCAAAAAAGGCTGATCTTTTGCTCTTTGAAAATTTTCTGTTCTCTGATTCTCTGAAAATTGAAAAAAGAATTTCTGTACTCAAATTTATCCCTTCACAGAAACTCTATTGAAATGAAGATAGAACAAAACAAAAACAAAAATTTTCAAACAGAATGCTGAAGTTTGAGTAAAGTGACTTTTCAAAAAAGTGTCCCGATTTCAAATTCGACGGGTTTTTTCCTGTTCAGTTTGATTGGTTTAGGATGGAATTTTTTAGATTTTGAATTCAGAATTCAGAATTGAATCCAGAATCCAGAAACAGTATTTGTGGATTTTTCGAATTTGGAGACCACATCTTTTGAAGGCTTTAATATTTTCCGATGTCAAGCCAGCTTGTTGGTCCCTGAAACCACATTCTGTTTCTTTTAGAGAATTTATGTTTTGTCTATAAAGATCAATGTCAGCGATCATGATGGAAAAGGGAAGAAGCCAAAATCCAAAATTCATTTTCCTTTTGATCATAAACCTTTTGTTAGACCTTTTTGTTTAACTTTCTAATTGTTTAGGTAATGACGTTAATCAGTGTCGTCTCATTCTTCGGACTCCTATCAATCACCACCGCTCTCACGTGTCATTTTGGTGTCAATGCTCCAAGGCCAAGGGTAAACTTATATATTAGGGTGATGGGAATCCAAGCAGCGCTCACATATCTGTCCAGAAATAAAAAGATTGCAAGCGGCATCCAATAAGTGTTGTATACTATTAGAAAGCCCTGAATCTCCTCTACAAAATAGTACAAAATTTTTTGAATTGGATTCATTCTTGAAGACTTTTAAGTTCAAAGGTCAACAATAGCCATTTTCTGGAAAATGTGTTTCTGGCAATAGCCATGCCCGGGTTAGAAAATACTGCCAATTAAAGTTATTTCAAACTAACATAAAAGAAAAGAACTCCTTTTGTTTGTTCGTCTTCTAGAGCTAAGAGCTTTAACACCCAAGTCTTCAAGAATCAATCCAATTCAAAAATTTGTTGTACGATTTTGTAGAGGAGATTCAGGGCTTTCTAATAGTATACAACACTTATTGGATGCGGCTTGCAATCTTTGTATTTTTGGAAAGTTATGCGAGCGCTGCTTTCATTCCCATCACCCTAATAGATTTTGCAGTAAAAACTGATTCTTCTATGTGATCCTAAAAAGTTCAGAAACTGAGTATGGTTGTTTGAGAACGAAAACCCCGTATTTCAGTTTATGATTGACTGCAAATGTGGGCAACACTGTGTTCATTTCTTCTCCAGTGGGGTGAGCACTTGTTTTTTGTCAACTGATAGTAGTGGGCGAAAGTTTCGATTCATCCCAAAAATTACAATTTTTCAGCTATAAACGCACGAGCCTAATCAATTTACTTTCCAAAAACTTCGTAAATCTTTCTTAAAATCATATTAAAATCAACGTAACTAGAATCGGGTAGATTGTATTGGAGAATCGTGAGAAAAAGTCGGATGTGTCAAAAAACCGGCGTTTCAAGATATAGCTATCCCTAAGTTGCTTTATTATATTATTCAAGGTATTTTAGTATTATCATTTAGAGGAGTGTCCAAAGTGGATCATGTTGATAGGATCATCCGTTGTAGAGATATGAAAGTGGCATGGAAATGATGCTTGATTATTGTGCTAGATCGAGCGATTTTTTACTTTTTTAATAGAAATTATCATGAGATACCAAATCATTGAAAAAATGTAAGGCAGCTATACCTTTGAAAGCCCGGATTTTTAACACAGATGACCAAACTCTTGACCACCACATTTTCTAACTTTTCACAAGTTTCACTCTGCCCGCTTTCAGTTTTGTTGATTTCAATATGATTTTATAGAACTTTAAAAAGGATTCATGAAGTTTTTGGAGAGCTTTTATGACTGAACAATGCCAATTTTTGGGTTGGTCTAAACTTTTCACCACTACTGTACGTTTGCTCTTTTTACAAACAGTTGAAGACAAATCTAAAGAAAAGCTAATTCAGAATTTTTGGTCATGTGGATGTACGATTGAGAGTGATGGACAAGAGCACGATGTCTGTGCGGTTAGTTATTGCATTTTTATAGTAGCAGCAATCCAGAGGACCCAGTGAATCCAGCTCCAGTTTTAACTTACTGAAATTAGCCGTTACAAAATTGTTAAGTCACAATCAGGGTTTTTACACAAAAATCGGCCTTATCCGACTGACTGTTCTTCTCAAAAACCCTTGAATATTTGGCTGATAAATTGAGTTGAAAACACTTTTTCATTGATCCTTTTCTAAACAACTATTCCACCAATTGACTCACAGTCTGTTTCATTGAAATTTTTTGAAGAAATAAGTCTCAAGCGATTTTTACAGAATAATCTGTGGAGTTGTTTTCTCTGCTTCTTTTACGAAATTTTGAAAATCAAGAGTTTACTAGAATTTGTTTAGAAAATTGGTTCAAAGTTTGTTTGAAAATAATAAAAAATCATCGATTCCTGTTTTTTAATGAAACAAACTGTCGGTGGAATAGTTGTTTAGAAAAGGATCAATGAAAAAGAGTTACCAACTTCAAGTTGCCGGCGCAATACAAATTCTCCAAGTTGCCAAGTTCTTCTTTTCAGAGTGCATCACCCCGTTTCGCTTGCTGTGCTGGTGATGGATGTAATGGACAGCTCGGACGCGAACTCGAAGCGGCGCCTCCACCCGCCCCTCGTAACTTTGGGTTCCCCGGTTTTGCTGCCAACTTCCCGAATACGATCAACAATTTCCCAAATTTTTCCCCAAGTTTCGGAGGCTCTCCCCAGAATTTCCCCAATCCTTCACAATCTTTTCCCCAATCCTTTCCACCTTTTGTCTTCCCCACTTTCCCCAACAACAACTTTCAAAACACCGTTGTCAGCAATGTCAACACCAATTTCAATAGTGGATAACTTTTTGTTTTTGAATAAATTTTAATAAAAGTTTGATCAAACACACACAGGCTGAAAAGAAACAGAATAAAGAGATGGAAATAAACGAAAAGCATCACAAAACAAAGAATAGAATCACTTATCTTAATTAAAACTTTTGAAACAGTAAAGGACAGTTGGACTTCAAATTTTCGCCTTATTTGGAAATTTTCTTTTCAAATTTCTTTCAATGTTTTGTCTAAAAAGATCGATGTCAGAATCCGTGATGAGATAGGAAAAAAGAATCATTTCCTTTTTGAAACCCTTTTGTCAAAGTCAAACCCTTTTGTTAGCACTTCGGGTTTGACTTTTAAACTTTATAATTAGGATTTAGGAAATGAAGCTTCTTGGTGTCATCTCCTTCCTCGTTTTCCTATCAATCGTTGCGGCTCTCAGTTGTCATTTAGGTTTCGAAGTTCAGCGACCCGAGGTGAGCCTATGTTTGGATTGACAAGTTGAAATTTGGTACACTTTTCATATTTTCCATAAAACTTATTTAATATGCCAATTGAATTAGACTTCTCTAAATAAAAGTCATGTATTAACTAATTTAAGACATACTTAAGCAAGTTTGGGTAACTTTTGAAACGAATTTGAGCAGAAATTCAAGTTTTTTTTGAAAATTCTGCAAATGGAACTATAACAAAAATGATTGATTAAATCTAGTTGTAAATTTGGCCATTTATCTAACTTGTTATGCTCTCTCTTTTTCATTGACACTAAAATAGGTTTGTGTAAAAGAAAGTGCTCGAATCGCTTCATCGAGTGTTCATCATTTTTGGTTCCTCAACTTCTTGCCCCTTAGAAATCTACAAAACCGAAGCTTTTCTAAATCTGTCAAAAGTCTGTTTTAGAGAATAAATGGGCCTTTTTATTGGTAAAAACTGTAGATTAATTGGTGCACTAGTTATTTCTAAAAAGTGCAATGAATAAGTGTACCAACTTTCAAGTTGCCAATCTAATACTTACTTACAATTGATCACAGACGATTTATAGTTTAAACTGCTAAAATCGTCGATTTCTTTACATACTGAAAGATTTGAGAAAACCTTATTTTTCGGGTTTTAAGGGATCCTCGAAAATATTGGGTTGGTGAATTGAAAACTGCGGGTCTTTGAACTAAAATTTATTCAATATAAAACCATAAATTGATTCCAAATAACTTCCATTATTATTGACGACTTCTGCCCATTTTGCAGGCAATTTGCGGATTCCTCTTTCGTGGTAGGATTTTGGTTTTGAATCGAAAAACTTTTCGAGCCAATTTTTGACTGCTTCTTCCGACTTGAAGTGTTCTCCCGCAAGCTCATTACTCATGTTCCGGAATAAATAATAATCAGAAGGGGCAAGGTCCGGACTGTATGGGGAATGTGCCAAAAGTTTTCAATCAAGCCTGTTTATTTTAGAGCGAGTCAGTTTCGCAACAGGAGGGCGCGCGTTGTCGTGGAGGAGAACGATCTTTGACTTGAAGGGCCTATTCTTCTTTAGGGATTCATTCACCTTTTCCAACTGTTCATTGTATTTGATTACATTAAGGGTCGTCTTCCTATCCAGCAACTCCCAGTGCACCACTCCCTCCATATCTCAAAGTGCTCAAACTGTCTCATATGACAATAGACAATACGATTTTGATTTGTGTGTGAGACAAGTGTGAGACTCAAATCTAATAAATCTAATGCCAATCTAATAGATCTATTACACACAAGAATTCGGCAGTTCGGGCGGGGCGCTGCCAAGAGAATAGCACGCTTGTTTCAAAAACCAACATTCCACAAAGACTCATGGGTTCGACCCCACTTGCTGCCAAATTCTTGCCTGCTCCACTAGAATAGGGTTCTGTACGCTTTGCAACCTAGTTCTATGCAACAAGAAAGTGCAAATTTCAGTTCGCACTCAACTGTGAATGTGGACAGCACTGTACGCATTTCCTCTCCTCAGGCAAGGTAAAATTTTTGACGATAATTTTGAGTAATGCAATACAAATAGTTGAGTTGTAATTTAAGAAAAAATTAGATATGCGTTTACAGAATATTTGGACCTGTGGATGCTCGATTCTGAGTGGTGGAGTGCGTGATTTTTGCACGGTAAGTTAATCGAAACCCCTGGATAGAATGCAAAAAATGATCATGCAAATAACTTATACATATGTAATGTAGAAAATCGCATACATCGTGAGCACAAAGTTCTCCAATTTTTGCAAAACAAATACAGTACCGAGCAAAAGTCTTGCAACATCACTTTTTCAAAAAAATCGATGAAATTTTTTTATAGAAAATGCCACCCGTTCGTAGGGCTTTTTGTTTTTAATTAGAATAATACATGTACACTTTATTTAAAAAAACAAATTTGAAGTTCAGCGTAAAACAAAAAAGTAAATGACAAAACTACTAAAAAATACCCTAAAAACTGGGTGCAAAAGTCTTGCAACATTATATGTTTCTCATTTTTATTGTTTTCAAATTTATTAACTTACACTAATTTTTGTTTTTTTCAGATGCCAGGTACCTACTTGACGACTCCCGAAAGAGAAAAAATCATGAAAGCAAGAAAAAAAGGAATTTCTCGAACCGTTGTCTCTGATCTCTTCAAATGCGACCCATCGACCGTTTCTCGCATTGTTTCAAAAGCAAAAACAACTGGACTTTATGCACCGAAGAAAGAAGAAAGGACGGCCAAGAAGAACAACAGCAAAAGAGGATCGAATACTTGTGATGGCTTCCAAGAAGGATCCGAACATGACATCAACTGAGGGAGCTCGGCTGATCAAGGATGTTGCAACCAAGGATATCTCTCGATGGACCGTTTCTCGACGATTGACTCAAGCAGGACTGTATAGCCGGAGGGCTGTACGAAAGCCTTTGATGACCGCTGGCCACAGGAAACAACGGCTTCTATTCGCCAGGACGTACCAAAGTTGGACGAAGCAGGATTGGGCCAACGTGATTTTTATCGATGAAACAAAAGTGGATATCTTTTCTCCAAAAGGCAACCACTTGATCAGACGACCCATTGGAAAGCGAATACTCCTTAAATATGTGCGACCTACAATGCGAGCTGGCGGAGGATCAATCATGTGTTTTGGTAAGCCTTATTTCTAATACATGTATTAATTTGTCTTTTTCTAGGGGCGATGACAAAAAATGTGGCAGGTCCGTTCGTCCTCGTCCAGTCAACCATGAATGCTCGCCAGTATATGGAAATACTAGAAGGATGTCTACTTCCATTTGCTCAGGATCACATGGCTCCTGAATGGTTTCTCTACCAGGACAATTCGCCGGTCCACAAGAGCAAGCTCATGATGGGTCGCACGGTGAATCTCTCAAATGGAGGAAAAGCTCATCTCCCTGGATGGTTTGCCCTTAATAATGTTTTGTTGGTCAAGGTGCCCCCTATGTCGCCTGATTTAAACGTTATTGAGAATTTATGGGCTTACGTGAAGGCAAAGTTACTAGGAAAAGACTTTCACACAAAAGTTGACTTATGGTTCTACATACGAAAAGTTTGGAGCTCAATTCGCCCAGCAATTCTTCACGAATTAGTCGACTCAATGCCTAAACGACTTAATGAAGTGATTTTGGCAAAAGGTGGACCGATTGAATATTAATTTTTGATGTTTCTGTAAAATGTTGCAAGACCTTTGCACCCAGTTTTTAGGGTATTTTTTAGTAGTTTTGCCATTTACTTTTTTGCTTTACGCTGAACTTCAAATTTATTTTTGTAAATAAAGTGTACATATATTATTCTAATTAAAAACAAAAAAAGCCCTACGAACGGGTGGCATTTTCTATAAAAAAATTTCATCGATTTTTTTTGAAAAAGTGATGTTGCAAGACTTTTGCTCGGTACTGTATTTAGACGGAAGAAAAACTCAATTCTTGATCAAAACCAGCATCAAATTTCGAAAATTCGCACGTTTTTACCAGAAAACGTCCGGAAACGTTTTTACCGCCTAAGAAACGTCTCTTTCAGAACAACCTTAATTTTTAATCTTCATTCTGATGAAGAACTTCAAAAATATCACAACCCACGTTTTCCAGATCGTCTCATTTTCCAGATCTGCGCCCCTCCGTAGAATTGTTTCAAACTTCGTGTTTTTTGAATTGTCTGTTTTGTTTGATAGTCTTCTTGGTTAAAATCCACAGGTCTACAAAACACGTTTTGGGTCAAAGTTTAGCTCAACCACGGTTTCCCGTCGGATCGTTGACAAATGAGTTGATCATTTTGTGTTTCCTATTCAGATCTCGAGCGATTTGTCGATTTGATAGCCCTCGAGCTTCTTTCGCCTCGATTTGGCCCTTTTCAAAATCGGTGAGCGGCTTTCCACGTGGCATTTCCTGAAAAAAAAAACAAAAATTTTAAACAAAAGCAATCTAAAGAGGCAAAAAACAACAATTGTAGTAGAAATTGAGGGAAAAAAGTGAAGTGGAGCTATAGTTATTTGAATTTTCCTAAACGATTTTTTTGAAAATGTTAAGAAAAGTTTTATCAAAATTTATACTATGCAAGCTTGGTGAGCTTGCATTTATGCTTGGTGAGCTTGCACTTACATAAATGCAAGCTTGCATTTATGATCACTAATTAGTGATCATAAATGACACCTTTTTATTTGGCAACTTTTGCCGATACATTTAAAAAATTTAGTTTTGAAAGAAAATACAGGCGGAGCGATAATTATGTGGAGTAGTGTAGTGGCCGCCAGGGGTGATAACATGTAGGATCCGAATCCGGCTTCGTCCTCAATTTTCAAACTCCGGATGGTCCAAATCCGGATCCGAAGCCAAATTTGAGAATTCGCACACCCCTGATCTGCACTAACCCCTTAGATAATATTTTGTGTTAAGAAGTGTTTGTGTTAAATTTTCAGGAAGTTGCAAAACTTGGTCATTCTGTAAATTTTGTCAAAATATTTGATTGTAGATTTGCTAGATTTGTCTAAGGAGTCTTCGATGCATCTCTTCTTTTCAGGAATCACCGTCTCTCTTCAATTGCTGTGTCGGTGACTGGTGCAATGGGCAGTTCGGATCTCAGTCGAACTTTCAACCCATTCCCAATGCTCCGCAGAATCTCCCAAGCTCAGTAAACGTTATCCCTATTTCGCCTAACAGCAACTTACAAAACATCGTCATCAACAACTTTAACAGCAATTTCAATACTGGATAACTTTTTCTTTTGAATAAACTTTGATATTGTTTTAAATTGACCAACACATGCTATTAGAGTGAGCTCCTCTTGGTTAAACAGATTGATTGGTTAAAATTTGAACCAATTAACCAAGAATCAATCAAACAAGCCATTTGTTAACCAAGGTTAACAAGTATTATTCGCCAAAACAGTCAAACAACTGAGTATCTCAAATAAGCAAGGCACCTATAAAACAGCAAATGTTTTCTTTTCTTTCGAAGTTCATTCAGAACTGTACATTTACATACTTAAATTTGCGCTTGTTCGTTGGTTAGCCAAGCTTTTAGAAAAAAATACTAATTTATTAGATATGAGCGGGATCACCCCTGCACCGGGAATTGTCAATTTTTTGAGAAAATTTTAGAGCTCTTCGTCATTTTTGATTATTGGGGACTTGGGTGTTAAAAAGTAACTGCAGGTCGAGTCTCAACCTGGATACCTGCGCCTGCTGGCAACTATCGCTCCCATTTTTCTGGCCTTTTCACTTTCTGATCTTTTCGCTTGAAATTTTTCCAGTATATTAAGAATATAAATTACTTAATATTTATACCAAAATTCAAAGGTCCAGCTTAGATTCTATCGAGATATGAGAATCCAAAGTTGAAAGTAGCCGTTTTTAGCCTAAAATGGGACTTTTTCGAAAAACAAAGACTTAGCTCTAGAAGACGAACAAAAAAAAGGAGTTCTTTTCCTTTATTTTATTTTGAAAGAACTTTAATCGGCAGTATTTTCTAACCCGGGCATGGCTATTGCCAGAAACACATTTTCCAGAAAAAATTAAAGATTGTTCTGTAAGAGATGTTTCTTAGGGTAAAAACGTGCGAATTTTCGAAATTTGATGCTAGTTTTGATCAAGAATTGAGTTTTTTGTGTCTAAAAATTCATTTTGCAAAAGTTGCAGAACTTTGTGCTCACCGCTACGATTTTCTACATTTTAAAAGTATATTTATTCGACATGAATAATGGATTACAACACAACGGAGGAAATTTCTACCCCTAGTTACCCCTATTTTATGTATAAGCTATTTTCATGATCAATTTCTTTTACATTCTATTCATGGATTTAACTTACCACGCAAAAATCATGCACTTCACCACTCAGAATCGAGCATCCACAGCTCTAAATGTTCTGTAAACGCAAATCTAATTTTTCTTAAATTACAACTTAACTATTTGTTGAATATCGACAAAAATTTCACCTTGGCTGAGGAGAGGAAATGCATACAGTGCTGTCCACATTCACAGTTGATTGTGAACTGAAAATTGGATTTCTTGTTGTAAAGTGTGCGGAAACCTATTCTAGTGCAGCAGGCAAGAATTTGGCAGCAAGTGGGGTCGAACCCAAGAGTCCTTGTGAAATAGATCAATTCATTTGATATTCGATCAACAACGATGAAATGCTTGAGTTTTGATTGATTAATTTATTTTTTCTTTTAATATAACTTTCTGACGTCAACAAAATAGTTTTATAAGTCGTTGAATAACCAAATAGCAGTTAAAGAAATGCCATACACTAACTTCGAGAATTTTGCTAACTCAAACTATCGATCCACAGTCAAATCCTGCGAGAAAAAGAAAATTTCACCTGGCTTTTCTACGAGAAAGTGAAATCTTTTCGTTTATTTTTCCTCAACCTACATAAAGATTTATTTTTTATCAATGTCCATTATAAGTGTTAGCAGTGAAATCATTTTTTCACCAAAGCCGACGCTTTACATCCTCCTTATGGACATTTCTGCTGTGATTGGCACATTGATCAATTTGTTGACTTTTTATATCATTTGGAAAGCTTCGACGTTGAATATGAAAGAATATAAAAAGCACATTCTTTGGTATCAGGTTCAGTTTTGATTTGTGGACGCTAATAAAAGCTTGCAGTTTTGGTCGATTATGTTTGATTTGTCTCTCCACGCAATGATACCCGAATTGTATTTGCCGGCGTTTTGTGGGAAATTTTATGGGATCTCCTACACGGTATTCGGGCTGAATGCCAAAATCTTGCAAGTAGGATTTTTGAGTAGGGCGTTTCATTGGATTCATCGGCAAGAGAAAAAAATAACCATGAGTGTATTCTCTCCAATAGAAGGCCCCTCATAAATACAAATTTTGTACATATGCTATTTTTCTCAAAATTCCAGGATTTTTACGTCTTTTGATAAGGTTTTAGGGTACTTTTCCTTTTTCGTTTTCCGTTTTCCGTTTCCATTTCACACCTCTTCCTCATTACGTTATGAGAGCCCAAATCCATACATACAAATTTATTTTGAAAAATGGAAAAAGACAAAAACCTTTCTACATAAATCATAAAACATTTGCTCGTGGCTTTTGACACTTTTTGACATAACAATTTTGTCATAACAAAGCACTTGAAATAAGAGATAAGATCCAATCGTGCATATGACTGTCTCCAACTTCTTGTCACACCATAAACTCGGCCAAATAACTTGAAAGGAAGTGCCTGACAGTTCCTCTGTGCTTTTTATTCCTCCACTTCTCAGAGCCTCAGAGACGCTCGATGTTCTTAGTGTGCACGTCTTTGTCATCCGGATTCAAAAAGTTGTAGCGATGATTAACCTTCTCGTGTTGAAGTCCCATTTGTACCCATGCGAATAGAATATAGCGAATGCAAAAATGTTGGAATGAAAATGATTTCAACTTACATTGGTTTCTCTTTGTGGTGCCACTTTTAAATGTAAATTTGCATGCATGGTAATTTAGGCCCTCATAACAGAAATGAGGAAGAGATGAGAAATGGGCCCTTGTAACCGATCGGACAGATCGGACAAGTTTAAGACCCTCTCCCAAAAAATCGGCAAAGACTTTCCCCCAACCTAATGATTAAATAAGTACGGTAGGTCGGAGAGACGCTTTCATTGAAGTTATTCAGTCATTTGGCTAAATAACTTCAGAGAACATTTCGAGTGAATGAGTGGAAATTTAGCAAATCGGTACAATCGCCCTCGGATTTTTGGTCTACTCAACGACTCAATGTGTTTTCTATCGACATCAACAGCTACTCAGCCACAAGAGTCGATTACATTATAGGTTATTTTTAAACTAAACTTTGACAAGTGTGATTTATAGATTTTGGAAGAACATTGCAATTTGCATAGCCGTTCTGCATTACATCGGCATTCCCTCGCTGGGAGTCGTGTTTTTCCAATTCACCGACTATGAGCCTTCTCCTCAAGCGAAGGGGCTCACCGATTTGCTCGAGGTTGATTAGTCTAGTTTTATGGCTCTATCTGAATTTGGGAAACCTATTTTTGGCAGTTTTGTAGCTGAATATCTTGAGAAAATCGAGTCAGAAAAAATACTCAAGCTAAAAAATTCACAAAATTGAATATAGAGCTGGTTTTAAAGCAACATAAACTAATTTTTTGAAACAAAATTTTTTGCAAAAGCAATTTACCTTATTTATCACTCAAATCACTTGATTTAGAAATTTCCCGAATACATTTGGGTGAAATACGATCCCGATGTTCTGATAGCTCACTCGAACCCGGTTCCTCCGTTTCAAATCTCATCAAACGCCGCCATTTTTGTTGTGATTCTTTTTGTGACATTTGAAGTCAATCTGATCGTGCGTTCTGTTAGTAGTAGCTCAAAAAAAATAGCTCCTTCAGTTCGGCCTCTTGTTTTGGCACGCCTTCTATCTTCTGGGCCAGCGAAGCGATTTGAGTGAGAGGACAAAGTTTTTGCATAGGAAAATGTTATTTGCGTTGTTTGTGCAGGTAAAAATGAAAGTCGAAAATTCGGCAGAAAAAGGCATCTAACTAACTAATCAGATGGTCATTTTTAAACTCAAAAGTCTAGCATGATTTAATTGGGCTAACTTTTTTGAGCATCATAACATTCTCATGCAATATGAACGGATGTCAAAACCCAGCATTTGTCAAAGTAGTTGAAGCGCAAACTCATTGCTTTTGCAGAATTTCAAGGTTTTTTTCTTTTGTCATATACGTTCCTAGGTATAAACGGATGTGGACTAGAATTTGGGTTAAGTTTAAAAGAGTGGACCCCTTTTGATATCCCGCCATCTCTAACACGCCGACAACCCAACTCAACTCCTCCAACGTATTAGAGGGGAGTCCCTGTGAAATGACCGACCTGTAGTTGCACTGCAGTTGCATAGACCCGGAAGATACGTATCTTTATTTACAGTAATACAATAAGATGAATAGATTAGAAATGAGTGTAAGGGGAAGGGGGGACTCCAAATGAGAGTCTCATTTGCCCTCCTAGGCAATCCTAAGGACCTAAGGCCCCTTCTCGGCAATAAAAGGGATAAGCACAGGGGAGAACACATTTGCAAAAGAATAGACAAATCTTTCAATAATAACAATAGTAACTAAAATATCAGTTGGGCTCGGAGCTGACAGTCAAGCCCTTTTTCATTTTCAAATCATTTTAACTAGAGTTTGCCTATCTGGAAATTTTGACTGGGGTTTATTAAAATAGAAAATTTGATACTTTTGGATTATTTTCGTCAAGTGTCTATGAATGTCAAGAAGAGAATTTTTAACAAACAGTCCAAAGGGTATGCTATTCAAAAAATCCTTCTTGCAGATATGCGTTCCCTTTCTGACGATCGCCATTCCGTGGGCTCTATTCGCGATTGTGGTGGAAACTGAATGGAGGATCTCACAAGGTCGGAGAAGTAAATAATTCAGCCAATTCAGCTCATTTAGATATCTTAAATTTGGGCTTTCTCATGAGCAGCCTCCATGCGATGATTTCCTCGATTTGCATTTGTCTCCTCACCAAACCATACAAAAGGTTTTTGCTCAGTAAATTCAAGATTTTGCCCGAATCTTCAAAAAAACGAGGTCCAACGATTTCCGCTATGCAATCGACTCGTTTTTGAATTTGCTTAAATGAATAATAAAATTTTACCTCTAACTTTGTATGCAACCTTTTCGCAGATACAATTATTTGTGTCAAAGTTTTTGTTGGAAAGATTTTTGTGCTTGATAATTTTAACTTTCTAGTTTCTAGTACTTGCTAGATAGAATTTTTGGTCCAGGTGAATCTGGTGAGTTCAAATATTTGCTAATTAATCACCTGAAACTGAAATCAGAGATTTTTTAGCATTTGTAGTGTTTATTTACCACTTAAATTATCTTAACTTAAAGCGTTAATATTAAAAAACCTTTTAAATGTCATGTGCTACTTGAGAAATTTCAAATGAGAGTACTGAGAACATGTTTGCCAGTTTTTCACTACTTCAAAATAATTAAATTTTCTTCTCATGTATTTCCCCTCAACAACTCTTTGCAGCCAATAATCTACCAAAGATTTTGAATACTTTAAATATTATAGCTTGGCAAATTACCCGGAAAAGCTCTGGGTATCCGGGCATTCGCACCCCCTCCCCCTTCCCTGGAACTCATGCCACTTATGTTTGTAATATGGATACATGCCTCTAATACACAACGGTGTCGTCTCATTCTTCGGGCTCCTATCAATCACCACCGCTCTCACGTGTCATTTTGGTGTCAATGCTCCAAGGCCAAAGGTAAACTTATATATTAGGGTGATGGGAATCCAAGCAGCGCTCACATATCTGTCCAGAAATAAAAAGATTGCAAGCGGCATCCAATAAGTGTTGTATACTATTAGAAAGCCCTGAATCTCCTCTACAAAATAGTACAAGAAATTTTTGAATTGGATTGAATATTGATGAGTTGGATGACTTTTAAGTTCCAGGTCAAAAAGAATCTCCATTCTGATGAAGAACTTCAAAAATATCACAACTCACTTTCTTGTTTTCCAGTTCTGCGCCCCTTCGTAGATAATTATCCGTTATCCGCCAAAAATTATCCGTCCCACCCCTGATCCGGATTCAAACTCGATTTTCAAACTCCGGAAGATACGGATCCGGATCCGAAGCCAAATTTCGGATCCGCAAACCCCTGCTTTGCACTCATTAGATAATATTTGTGTTAAGAAGGCAAGTTTTCAGAAAGTTGCAAAACTCGGTCATTCTGTAAATTTTTAAAAAATATTTGATTGTTGAATTGCTAGATTCGTCCAAGGAGTCCTCGAATACATCTCTTCTTTTCAGGCATCACCGTCTCTCTTCAATTGCTGTGTCGGTGACTGGTGCAATGGGCAGTTCGGATCTCAGTCGAACTTTCAACCCATTCCCAATCCTCCGCAGAATCTCCCCAAGCTCAGTAAACGTTATCCCCATTTCGCCCAACAGCAACTTACAAAACATCGTCATCAACAACTTTAACAGCAATTTCAATACTGGATAACTTTTTCTTTTGAATAAACTTTGATATTGTTTTAAATTGACCAACAGATGCTATTAGAGTGAGCTCCTCTTGGTTAAACAGATTAATTGGTTAAAATTTGAACCAATTAACCAAGAATCAATCAATCATGGCCAGATTTTGGAGCTTTGCAATTATATTTGAAAATCCCGCTTTGCCAGACGTCGCCATTTTAGAAAGTGTAGGTTCTCCAATCTGATTAAGGAAAAGTAGCCCTGATTCTATTCTCGATTTACCCGCAGAAAACGTTGAGAATATCATAAGAAAAGCTGTCGTTAGCACGGAAAAGTTAAAAACGGCTACAAGAGTTTTCATTTTTGAAAGATTTTTGAAAGAAAATGAGTTCGGTTCTGTTCAAGCTCTTATTCTTATATCAGAATTTATTTGGACGAGGTGTTTTTGAAGCCAGCTGATAAGAGGTAATATGAAAAAAGAATACTTGTTTTGAGAATGGTTTAGTCAGCTTTTTTGAGCTGACTCTTATTTCAAGCTCTTATTTTTTATCAGAATTTATTTGGACGAGGTGTTTTTTTGACCCTATTTTTTTATTCTTTGTTAAACGTTACACTTTGCACTTCGTAAAGTGAATGAATCACGCCTTTTGACTGAATATTTTGCAAGTTCAGGACCTCTCGAGGTAAAAAAGATTCAGCCAAAAGCAGATGCAAATTTTTCTATGCCAATTTGGAGGCGGGGGTACTATTACAGCTTTTACGGCATATGTTTCTACACTTTATGTTTGACTCATGTAATGAAAAAGTTACGGAAGCTCGAAAGATGTTGTCGACAAATTTTCCAAGAACTGCAACCAGCTCTAATGCTTTCATTATTTATAAAGTTATAAAGTTGTAAAGTTGAACATTTTGAACATAAACCGTTTCAAAGCAATTATAATAGAGGAATCCTTTCATGTTTTCCCCATAAACCTTTCGCAATTCCTCTTCCAAAAAAATTGACTAAACCATTCTCACTAAACTAAACAATGTATTCTTTCTTCATATTACTTCTTATCAGTTGGTTTCAAAAACACCTCTTCCAAATAAATTCTGATATAAGAATAAGAGCTTGAACAGAACCCGAACTCATTTTCTTTCAAAAATCTTTCAAAAATGAAAACTCTTGTAGCCGTTTTTAACTTTTCCGTGCTAACGACAGCTTTTCTTATGATATTCTCAACGTTTTCTGCGGGTAAATCGAGGATGGAGTTAGGGCTACTTTTCCTTATTCAGATTGGAGAACCTACACTTTCCAAAATGGCGACGTCTGGCAAAGCGGGATTTTCAAATATAATTGCAAAGCTCCAAAATCTGGCCAGGGACCACAATTTTCCAAATGCGGAAAGTATTGGTGGCAGGTGAGTAAGAGGCAGACCCGTATCCAGAAAAGAATTCGTGGAAGCAAGATCATGTTTTGGGTTACGATACTTGAAGATCAACGGGTAAATGTCTTATCACTTAGGTTTTCAACCGTGTTTCTAAACTTTCACAGGAGCAAATATCCCCTTGTCCTCTCTCTGGGTTCGGGTCTTTTGAGGACTCACAAACCCGCCGACTCTCAAACCCGAAACCCGCCGTTAGGCTGGTTTCCTGCTGGTTTACCCTAACTGAAAGTGAGCATTTTAGAATCAAAAGGGTTGGGAGAAAGTGGTGGTCATCTTCCAAGTGACAGCCGTTGGGTGGTTGTTTTTGTCTCTGGCATCGACGATTTTTTCATGGTTTCATTCTCTTCGACAAAAAGTAATAATGTAGAATATTTTGGCATTAAATCTTTCTTTCAGGTTGTCATCTTTCTCCTTATGGTCACCTCAGCGTTGTGTACGGTTTTCCTGGGTCTTTCTGTCATGTTTTACACATTCAACAACATCGGGTTGCCCTGTAAGTTGATAAATTACAGGTATCCTAAAAATACCGTATTCGTTCTAATAGAAGGGCAGTTTCTATTAGAAAGACAGTCTCAACTGACTCATTAAAATATTGACTTTTTGGAACTCTTTTTTACGCAAATCTATTGATTTAGGCTAGATATGTAAAATTCTGACCACGGGAGTAAAATTGGAAACTGTTTTTTCCTAGAAGATTTCACGAGAGAAGTAATATGTAAAGCGAATATGTAAGGCTTTGGAATTCAGATACTGCTTTCAAGAGGAAAACCTTTTGACAAAATTTGAAGAATGTCTAAGCTTTGAGGAGTGACTTTTACATTATCTTCGAAAATGGGGTAAAATTTGTTTAAAAGTTTAAAACTTGGAAACTTGAATTGTAGGAAATTATGACCGAAAGAAAGATGGAGCAAATTAAATCTTCCAGGCAGACACTAGGACCTAAGAAAACTTGACCGCCCATCAAAAATAGCGAAAAAGTGATGGTATTTCAAATATCGGGTAATAAAGCCGCGACTTTACCTAAAGACGCCTTAGGCTCAGTCTAAAAGCATTAACTATTTAATTTTGATTCCACGGTCGAAGCTTGGTTATATTTATTTTAGATGGGGTTAAGCTAAAGAGGGTGGTCATTCATGACGTCAATCTTTTTGGAAAATTCAACACGAGAGAGTATCCTTTTTGATATCCTGCCATCTCTAACACCCCGACAACCCGACTCAACCCCTCCAACGTATTAGAGGGGATTCCCTGAGTAATGACCGACCTGAACTGCAGTTGCATAGACCCGAAAGATATGTACCTTTATTTACAGTAGTACGATAAGACAATTAGATTAACAATGAGTGAAAGGGGAAGGGGTGACTTCACGTGAGTTTCGAAAATTTACCTACTAAGTTTTGAAAACAAATAGAGCTTCTTCAGATCATGAGAGATTTCTCGAAAACGTCTCCGTCGGTTACGGCCTCTCCTTTTGGCTAGCTCTTTTGTCTTGGATTTATTCTATTTTCACGACATTCATAGTTTTTTGCATTTTTCTATCAGAATTCGATTTGTTCGCGAAATCCAGGAATGTTTTATTTTCTGAGCTTAAAGAGAAAGTGATGAAGACAAAAGACGATGATGAGCCGCTTCTCAAAAAGCAGTCACAGCTTTACGATCATTATCGTATCTGATTTGTGTGTTGAGTGAAATAAACGTTCCAACTCATCAATTTCAAAGAATTAAGACTTGGTGCTAAATCTATTAATTGTATGGCATATAAGAATTATTGATAGAGAAGTTGTATCTTTCTCATTAAGAGTGGGATCTTTCCCCATGGCTCGTTATTGAATCTTTTTTTAGGGTTGTTTTTGTAAGATGGAACTTTTGCAATAAGCACTTAATCTGAAGCATTTGTTACACATAAAATACGTGCCTAACATCAAATCAGCCAAAAGACTTTTCCTTTTAATATGGAAGATTCAAAACCTTGAAACGAACATTATCGAAACACGAAATCTACTTGATTTTGATTTAATCTTTTCCACTTTGGAGCAGTTTTCACTTGCGACTTTCTTCCTTTGGTTCTCTTAATGTCTTAGGTTGTCCAGTTATGAATGCACGCCTGCTCTTGAACAACTTGAACAGCATTTCTTAGAGCTTTACAATTTTATCAAACCCAATTCTCTATATACTGTTCAGGATTTCTTATTTTATTGCAACTTTTCTTTTCCTTTTCTTATTTTATTACAACTTTTCGTGTTTTTGACGTCAAACCAATTTTTGATTTAATTTCTGTGAACGACACGAAGTTTCGTCTCCGTGCCAGTCTTTGGTATGACTTCAAATTGGGCAAAAATATCGCTGAATCTCATCGAGGCCTTTGGGAAGTATTTTGGAAGATGCTATTTCGGAGAGCCAGTGTCAGCGATGGTTTCAACGATTTCGAGAAGGAAATGAATTTTTGGGAGGTGAGGACCACCGGCCTCCTGCGGTCGATAAGGCAGTACTTAAACAGGCGATCGAGATTGATCCTCGACAAACTACACGTGAACTTGCAGAAATATTTGGAATAAGCCCTCAAAAACGCGCATTTTTAACTGGACAACCTAATATTTCAGAAAGAAACGCACCGAAATGAATATGGATACAGCCTATAAAATCTGTTTGCGACTGTCATTTGCAGGTTTTTTGATGCCATATTTTTGTAGCTTCTTTATCTTTCCTGGTGCTCTCAGTATCAGTAAACAGGTTATATTTGTTGCAGAGTAAATTGAAAAAAAATATTAGCAAAACAAAGAGGATTGTTGCTAAGATCCGTTCTGAAAGTGATATTGGTGTTGTGAAGGAAAAGAGGCAAAATTGAAAAGAGGGTTCGATTTGTCCGCGAAGTTATATATGTTACGTCCGATTTAGAATAATGTCCAGTTCGGAACTGAACGTCCGATTTAGAACTAAAGCAATAAGGCCCAAATATCTTTTCTGGACCAGCGTCTTATGAATTTGATAAGGCTAAACTGGGTGATCGATTTAAAGTTAAATTTTCATTTTTAAGTAGCCATTTGACGCAAAAAAAAGAAGCTAAAACCGAATCTAAAAGACATTAGCATGTTGTCATTTCATGAATTTCATGTCATGAATGACAAAAAATTGTCATTCATGACGTCAATCTTTTAGAAAATTCAATACGATATATCCGATATCCTTTATTCGAATTTTTGTGTATTTATGAGGGAAAATAATGACCAAGAGCAAGTTCTTGATAGATTGAATATAATGAGTTCCTGTATAATAACACTTGACACACAAACACAATGATAACACAAAACAATCTTCAGAGAATTTTACAAAATAGAGCCCTATTGTTTTACACAAATGTCAAGGTATTTTTCTGACTGCTTTTTTTCAAATGGATCGAAAATTTTTGATTTCTTGATCTTTTAATAGGCAAACAGGTGAAAACATGAAATTCGTTCTTTTCTTGCATCATTGATTTCTTGCGATTAAAATATTATAGTGCTTAAGATATTTTCAATTTTCAAATTATGATTTATCACATGAACATCAGTTCTCACGATTTGCAGTATCTCGTCTGGCTATTCGTCGATTTCGACGCACTGGAGGTAGGTCGACAATTCATATCCTACTTTTAAATGCTGATTGGTGCGGCTAGTAAAAGTAAAATAATTTTCTCGCATTTTAGGACTATCCACTTATTCGCATAACCATTTTTTGTGCCTATCTTTTCCTTGTTGTCATCAGTTTCATATTGCTCATATTGTATATTCTCTATGTAATTGTGGTGGGCAAATCAAACAAATTTCACGTGAATCTCAAAAGAGTGCTCGTTTTCACAAAAATCTACATCATGATGATACTCGTGTGCAAATTGGGGCTATCTCTATACGAATTTCGAATTATTAAGACAACCGGTAAGTGTTGGATAAAAGTCGTCAGGTCCAGCAAGCAATATGGTTTTGCCTGTATAACTAACTAGGAAAAGGCACGAACTTCCCGTGAGCTTTCGTTTCCAGACCACATACATCTTACTGAATCAAGTATGGAGATTTATAAAAAATATATTAAGTATGGACTTCGATCCAGGAAAAGTCCTTGGTATTTGGCAGATTTTGACTTCAAATTATGAATCTCCATACTCAATTTAGTAAGATGTATATGGTTCCGAAACCAAAGCTCACGGGAAATTCCTGCCTTTTCCTAATAAGGAGGGTACTAGGCCAAAGCGGAATTTCCCAATGAAACCTAGTACATCTGATAGCGTTTTTTGACGCCGATTCCGGTTCTAGTTTTTGCAAAACGATGCGGAATCGCGAGGTATTTGGTATACAAAGTTGGCTATTTGTTTTTGTTAAGCCAGATTATAAGTTTTTTCGACAGCATTGGTGGCCAAGTGGTTAGGCTCGTTTCAAAAATTTTTGATGCCGAGTTTTTTCTAGTTCTTCTCTATATACAACTTCCCATATATGCAACTTCCCATTTACAATATGCCCATCTCCTAGTATTCCCCGTCTGAAATTCAAAAACCGAAAATGTTTCGAATAGTGAATTTTTTGTAGAATTGTTTAGAAAATGATCTCAAACGAATTTTTAGTTCAATACTAAAAATCATTAATGTTAAGTAACTCTTTTTCATTTTTGAAGAGAAATTTGGAAAAACTTGGAATAAAAACTTCAAAGATTATAGACTTTCTTCTTATAATCTTTTTTTGTCTTATTAAATATCCAAAAAAAACGATTTAGGCTCTCTTCTTGCGGACTTACCACTAGTGATTCTCAGTCTGATGAGAGTCAAAGTGTCGATGATTGCTTTTTTAATATTGCCTATAATTCTAACGGAAAGGTTAGTGGAGATAATTAGAATGAATGCAAAATGAGCAGCGTTCAAATTAACGTTAAAATGTGACATTATCTGAGAACTTAGAGTATCTTATATTTTAAGAATTAATTTGGTTGATCAAATTTTGAATTTTGACCTAGTGAAAGGGGCTTTTTTTATCCAGCTCTTTACAGCACTAAATCGGTATATCCCTAATTATTTGGGTTCAAAAATCAATAGATAGGCTTATTACAGAGTGTATTCTATTAAACACATGTGGAACTACGAGAGAAAGCCTCGAACCCATATCTCGACGACGATTATGATCTCGCTTTTTCTTTTCTCCACATTTTTCGCATTATTCGCGAGTATCGGTTTGATATTCAAAGTTGGCTATTTGTATCTCATTTAGTCTCCAAGAATGTTGATTCATTTCTCATAATCTTCGGCTTCTTCACTTTTTTTCATCTTAATCCTACTCTACACATTGGTAAAGAGACTGAATTTCGATAACAAAATAACTTTTAGTTTTACCGAAAAGTGAAACACCAAAATAAAATGATTTTGGAGGATTTGAATGATCGATCGGATGTTTATGGACTATCGGCTAGATATCAAGCAGCGGAGAATATTCGAGCGTTTCATGTAGGGTTTTATTTCAATTTATAAGCTCTATTTTAGCTACTGAAAGAAGAGAAAACAAGGGTCGATTTTCTGAAGAATAAGGATAGAAACAGAAAAAATGACGATAGAAAGAATGACGATAGAATAGTATAGAAGGCTTGATTTTCGACACAAAATTAGGTAGTCAAAAATGACCAGAAATTATTTCGAAGCCTTTATACCGTAATTATTCTATTAGGGTGGTGCAAAAGGAAGAAAAGATAGGTAAGATGGGTATCAGCTCTCATTTATCAGAAACGAGCGATGCTAACTGCATTATTTTTTTATGTTTTGTTCGCATATTTGTTTACTATTTATTTTGACATTTGAATTTTTTGGTTGTTGTTTATTTTATTTAAAAATCCTTATATTTTTTATTTAGATCATGGTCGAGCAAAAGTTTGTGCTACGAGCAGCATTACTGTTTAACTTCAAAATTGGAAAGCCTGCTGCCGAATCGCATCGTTCTCTCTGTGCTGCTTTCGGAGATGGCAGTTTGTCTCTCAGGCAATGTCAGACTTGGTTCCAACGATTCCGAGAGGAAGACAAGACTTTGGAAGATTACGAGCAGGGTTCGAGACCAGAAGTCGTGAACGAAGCCAAGCTGAGAGACGTTATTCAGGCCGATCCATGCCAATCTGCTCGAAATCTTGCGAAAATATTCCATTGTGATCATGTCACCATCGAATGCCATCTTTTTTGAATTTACCGTTAAATCGGCAGTTTCTTTTGCATCGCCCTAATAGTAGAGGCGCCCCGCTCTGACCCCTCGAAATATTGACTTTTTGAAATTCTTTTTGATGCAAGTCTGTAGATTTGGACTAAAAATGTCATATTTAATCGTTGGCAGTAGTTTTGGAAATGTTTTTTTTTCGAAGAAATTAAAAAACAGTTTTTCGAAAAAATTTTATGTGGGGGACCACACAAAAAATCTACGACTTCACTTCTTCTCAAGGTCCGTAGTCATAACTAAAACAAAAAATCAGCAAGTTTTTATGTTTTCTTAACTGTAAATAAAGAAAATGATAGAATAAAGAACAAATAAAGCAAAACAAACAGCAATAGCACTACTTTTGGTTGATTACAAAAATGGTGTCAGGATTTATGCCGTACCCTCTGGAAGCGTCGGCGCTTCTGTTAGAATAATATTGTTGTATAGTGTAAATTTTGAATATGTAATATTATATTTCAATACATTTTCTGTGCAGTTCATCCGCAACTTTTTATACTTCTCGATATTTGCCAGTACCTTCGGCGGACTATTGATCTTGATTACAGTATTTGTTTGCGCCGAAGGATCTTTAGAGGCGCAAATATTTGCAACGGCAATGGAAATCTCCCATATCAGGTGCAGTAGCTAATGAAAATTTCTTGAAAATCCATATTTTTCGATTTTGTTTTTAGCTTAAGGTTTTTTTCAGTTTTTTCAGGTTTTCTTTTCAGTTTTCAAGCTGCTTTGCATCAGATTACAAAACAGAACCAAAAAATAGTGATTTCTCGTAAAAATTTGATTCCATCCCTGAGACTGGCCATTTCATCGGCAATCTTTCTAAAGCTAGGCCTATAGCTTTTCGAAAAGTCAACATTATTCGTCAGCATGGCTACTAACTAATGCCAACATGGCTGAATAACGTATTCGCCCATTCAAATTCAGTTTGTGTCTCGGTCTAATGTTGACTGGTTTACTGTCGGTGGATGAGTGGAGACAACGTTTCATGCAATATTGTCGAAAAATGAGCCCTTTCCGAAAGATCACTTCAATCGATCCAGTTGAACTCATCAAAGTCGACAAGAACAAAGAAACACAACTGTATTTCAACTATTACATTCAAAATTGGTAATAAATATTTGTATAAATTTGTATAATGTATAATGTATAAATTTGACCCCTGTACTAGAGAAGGATGCAATCTCTTAAAAGAACCTCTTGACAAAGAGGCATTGTAGACATTACAAACAAGAACACAAACACAATCCAATCGCTTTGATCAATTTAGTTTGGTTTTTCAAGATTTCTGGTTGAAAAGCTCCAGTTTTGGCTAGCTAACTAACTTTGAACAAATCAATCGCAAGTCTGACCTCATTCAAGTTTTTCACGTCTCGGAAAGAATTTTCAATGCTGGGTCGTTGGCTCTTGCAGCGCTTTAATGGAAATGATCATCGAAGCATTTTGTTCACTACAAGAAGTTTTTTACGGTGGAAGGAATTTTCGACAAGCAAAACGACAAGAGTTTGGGTCAAAACACAGCCAAATGTGGCGGTGATGCGGAGCAGCCATCCAGCTTCTGTGATGGTCTTTGAAGGCATCACCACTGACGGCAAAACACTGCTCACTTTCGTGCCACAAGGAGTCAAAGTTAGCGCGAACAACTATCTGGATCTTTTCAAGAAAGAAATTCTTCCGTGGCCCCAGAAATACTTCGGAAATCGAATTTGGACTTATCAACAAGACGGTGACCCGGCTTACAAAGCAAAAAAAGTCCAAGACTTTTGCTCCCAAAACTTTTCCGACTTCATCTCTTTTTCTGAGTGGCCTCCAAGTTCACCGGACCTCAATCCGCTTGATTTCTCAGTGTGGTCCGTCTTAGAAGCTAAAGCTGGTCAAAAACCTCACAAAACAGTTGAAAGTTTGAAGAAAAGTCTTCTCTGGAATGAACTGGATGGTCAACATCATACTTGGTCGCCGCGGTCGATGCGTTCCCCAAACGCCTTAAGGTCTGTTCGAGCGGCGGCCGATTTGAAACTTGTGGTTGATTTATTTTATTGGATCTAACTTAAATGAGGTCAGACTTGTTCATCGAGCATCATCGAGTCGTCGCCCTTTTTGACTACCCGACTTCACACTCCCAAAAAATGCAGACATAAGACATTTTAAACCCGTTTTAATCTTATTTTGCAGAAAAATAATGAAACAAACCGTAGTTCAATTGGTGTCTCTGTTGATGTTAAACGGAAGTACGGAAAGAAACGAAAAGACTTTCTGGACAGTCCAATACTGTATTTTGCTCAGGCTCTATTTCTTATTCGTTTCTTTGCCCATTTCAATGAAAAGATTAGCCCACATTTATATCTACAAATAAGCAATTCAAATGATTACACAAAAAAAGTCATTTTTCACATGGTGCCCGAAGTTTTTGTGTTAAAACGTAAGAGTCTTCGATCAATTTCATCGCCGTTTTCATCGACTTCGCTTTCAGTAAGCCGGACTGGGTGTTGCAATCTGAAATAGATTTTGGATCTTTGGATTTATCAAGATCATAATTATTGTCTAAATGGTAGCCATTTTAAGGAAACTACCGTCATCAAACTACCAGTTTTCATTTAAATGGCCCAATTTTGATAGCACTCCTTAAAGGAACCAGAAGACTCAGTCAATATGCCAAAATTAAAATGATCTGATGAAAATTGGCCTTGATTAGTTGTCCAAACCAAAGCTGGTCTTACTGTTACCAGTTTGATTTGATAAATCCCTTCAAATATTGGGTTGAGGAAAAAGTTCTGACTCAGCTGCGAAAAATTCAATTTTTATGCATTTTTGCTGGTTTTTGCTGGTTTTGCTGGTTATAGTTTTGTACCAATCTTGATCTTTGTATTCCAGATGAATTTGCGAAAAAATGAGCTTTGAGTTTTGATCCGCTATTGCCGGAAACGGAAACATTTGAAGAAGTTGAAGAAGCTTGCCAAGAGTTCTTTGATTCCAAACCGAAGGAGTGGTACTTCGACCAGATCCGAAAGCTTGCAGATCGATGGCGGAAAGTCGTAGATAATTGGTTATACTTTGAGGAATAATTGTTGTTATTTTTGTTATTAGTGCGCATAAAAATTGATTTTTCGCAGCTGAGTCAGGGCTTTTTCCTCAACCTAGTAACTCACCCCCAGAAGTGTTCCTCAAATCTTCCTTATGCTCCTCAATCTTATCATCCACCCATTTCTTCATCCGATCCATTGTCCTATCCTTGTTATTCTTGAATTCATCGACAAATTCCGGGTAATCGATCTCTTTCGCCACTTCCAGCGAAGGGAGGACACAGTCGTCTATGTGATTATAGACTTCGAGAAATTTTGTCGATGTTGGTTCTTTAGATTTTGGTTGATCAGTGGAAGGGGAAGTGGTGGATTGAGTCGCTTCAGTTGTTGGTTTTTCTTTGTCACTCGTTGTAGTTGATTCGGATGTTGATCCTTCTGATGTTGACGTCTCCGAACTTTCAGTTTGGGAGCCTTCAGTTTGGGAGCCAAGTAAACTTTTTGAAGTTGGCGTCATTAAAGTGGATTTCTAAAAAATATTATGTAATTGTACTCCTATTAGGCTGTCCAGAAGGTTTTTCGTTCCTTTTCGTACTTCCGTTTAAAACCAACAAATGCACCAATTAAACTACGGTTTGTTTCATTAGAAAGGTGACTTATTTTTCTGCAAAATAACATTAAAACGGGTTTACAATGTCTTTTGTGTGGATTTTTTGGGAGCGTAAAGTCGGGTGGTCAAAAATGCGGTTCGATGATGCAATTTAGACATTTTAGTTCAGAAAACCTATCTTGGTATCAACAGATAAAAGCATAAAAAGTTAAGCAAATAGCCAAATTTTCAGAGAAATCGATTCAGCCAATTTTTTCGTAGAGATTTTTATTGATCGCAAACACTCTCGAATTTGCTTGAAAGTGAAAATTTTATTTAAAAAGATGGGAAATTGAACCAAAAACACTTTTTATTTAGAGCAAACCATAGGTTAAATGGCGAATTTGTCATTTTTCATTTTTTCAATTTGGTGAATTTATTATTCTTTAATTTGTATGAAAAGAAACGAAAAAGCTTTCTGAACAGCCTAATAAAATAAATTGTAAGCTATTAAAGCTTGGCTTATTTGTTCTAAACTTATAATACAAAGACAGTTCTTGACTTATAAAAAAAGCCACGTTTGGTTTAAAATTACATCAGTTAGATCTGTCCGGATAGTAATTTCAAAGTAATTATAGCTTAATTTTTAAATCTAACAACCTTACCGTTTCTCCAATTGTTGTTGTGGCTCCAGTAGTACTCCCAGTTGTTTTTTCACTACTTGGTGTTGTAGTCGATAAGCCTTCACCTTCTTTGTTTGACCCAGGTTCCTAAAAGACTTGAATGGCGTATGGATGGCTCAGTCTAGTTTTCTGGTTGATGCAAAAAGAAACCAAGTCTGAGATGATTTCACGGTAGGTTTGATTCATTACTGGTAGCCCCAGTTGGGACGAATTATTATGATTATTGCCAAATGTCGCTGGTTTGAGCTCTGGTATGTCCAGAGACATTTTACGAACTCAAACCAAACTTTAGCATCTGATTGGTCCCTAAAGTTTGGTTTAGACATTTCTGGCTCAATTAATTCATCTCGTTTTTGTTTATCTCATACTTTTATATTTTGAAATATCATCTGAAAATCTACCGGTTTCTTTTCAATCACCTTTGCAACATCAGTTGTTAAATGAGGCACATCTTGTCCGGGATCTAAATGAATTTTGAACTTCGAAAAGCACCAGATTAAGCTCTAATTTCAAACCAAAACAACTGACTCAATGGCTTATCTGCTGAAAATCCAGGTGGTAGAGGGATTGGTTTATGTGTTGACGATATTGTTGTGGATTCTACCGATTTATTTCTTCCGTGTACGACTTTTCCATCTGGATCTACGTATTCGTCGTACTCTTCATAAGTGACAACATCTCCTGAATTGAAAAAAAATTAAAAGCTTAAACTTTTGCAATGAGTCCCGCAAATAGGTACTGAAAAAGAGACTGAAGGGTCAGAGAAGTGAAAAGGTGTATTCAAAGCTGATTTTTGTTAGAAAATACTTAAAAAGGTAAAGAAATTAATGGCAAAAACTTTGGAAACGAAGAGGAATTGATCCCTCGACCTTCTTCTTATCAGACAGAGGCTCTACAACTGAGCTATCCCCAAGAAGAAATAGGAAAGACAAGGAAGAAGAAAGAAAGGAAGAAAGAGAGGGAAAATCATTTTTCACATAGTGCCCGAAGTTCTTGTGTTAAAACGTCTTCGGAAGCGGGAGCTCCCGCCCTACTTGATAACCAGACCACGGGCATTAGTGATAAAGTAAAGAAATTAATGGCAAAGAATTTGGGATCGAGGGGGAATTGAACTACATAAGCACTTAAGCTACCAAAGAACTGCTACTTAAGCATTTCATCCTCAAACTTAAAGCTACTGTAAAATCTCAGTCTTACTACAACATTCTGGAACAACTGCAGCCAGCGAACAAGACTAACAATAAATATTGTAATAGCTTCGAACTCGTCGGTTAAAACCAAGATGTTCAAAGGCTAAAGGCCTCGGCTGAATACTTCTTCCGAAACTGTTAGTATGAATACTAGGCTAGGCTTAAGTTATTGTTGAGATAGCTGAAGTTGAAATTTTTTCATAACTGAATTACCTATAGTTGTAGCTGGTTCCTTTTCCTTCCCAGCTTCTGTCGTCGTTGGTTCAGTCGTTGTCAATCGATTCGGCCTTATCGAAGTCTTTCCACCAGAACGTGTAAAATTTTTATTTAATCCTTAAATTCTCAAACTTGTTGTTGCTTCGAGGTTTGTTGGTGCGGCGCTTTCACCTGAGAATTTTCAAGCTTTAAATGAAATGTCAAATCAAACCTGTTGTTGACAGTGTTGTCGACTCATTTTCTGTTGTAGGACCTAATAAAATCAATCAAAATAAAGTTTTCCCAAAAAATTAAGCAAACTTGTTGAGCTTTCCGAGGCCTTAGGTGGTTCTGTAGGGATCACTTTTCCATTTGGCCCAATTTGAGGCTCTCCCGTCAATTCAGTTGATGGCTGCTTTGTTGTAGTCGATTCTGAACGTTGAACTGAAGAACTCAGGTACTCAAGTCTTGAACTGTCATCCGATTTGATTGAAATTGTCGAACGACAAGATATTTGACTTCATTTGAGAGAACTCGACAGGAAAAGTAAGACAAAGTTTTCAGTTACAAAGTTGAACTGAAGAATTTGACTCGTGTTCTTATAAAATTCACTAACCAGTTTCCTGTTCAGGTTTCACCGTTGTTCCCTTTGAGATCACATTTCCATTCTCATCCACATATTCTACCGTTTCTTCTATTTGATCCTCTCCATTTTTCCCAAGATGTGTTACTTTGTGTACTTGTTTATTCGTACCTTTGGTTCCATCTAGAAATTTAATAGTTTAAAAGGAAACGTATATAAAACTTGTTGCACTTGTCTCATCATAGTATTCAGTCCATTCCTCGTTTTGGCCGGGTGTCTTTGTTCCAGTGGAGTGATGAATGACTTTTCTGTGGTGCGAGCTTCCACCTATAAGATGGACTAATAAACTTGAGCCTTTATATATTAAAATCTTTTTAAAACACTCAAATTAGACAAGTTCAAATAAGCTAAACAATCTACACGGTGGCTGAAAAGTTCTGTCCGGAGTTTTCTTAGAAAGACACGTCTACAGGGTGCGCCAAAATTATCCGAACCAACCTCCGTTTGCCGCGCTTTCCTGTTATGCGCTTTTGGTATTTGCTACCTTTTTTTATTATGCAAATTTTGACTTTCTAAAATGTTCTTTACTCATTAAAAGCCGACCTGCGCCGACCCACAAAGATTGGTGATTTATCCAAGATTGGTGTGAACGAAACTTCCCTGATCAACTTTAAGCAGTGGCCACCATCAAGCCCCAATTTAAATCCGATGGATTACTCAGTCTGAAGTGTTCTCAAAGCGAAGGCCTGCTCAAAAGCTTATTCAAGTAATGATTCACTGAAAAAATTACTCCAAAAATCTTGGGCTGAACTCGATCCTGCGTATCTTTTGGTCACCATCGATGGCCTCCTCAAAACGTCTCGCTGCTTGTGCAGCCGCTCTTGAGCCGCTCAGATATTTTTGAGAAGAAATAAAACAAATTGTTGTAAGCAATCTAGAGAATAAATTTCTTAATGTTAATTTTTGTTTTTTTTTGATGAAAAGGTATTTAAAACATGAGTTTGATTGTTTCGGGTAAATTTGGGATACCCTGTATTAATGTGGACGGAACTTTTCATCCACCCTGTACAGCAAGAGAAATTCTATAAGTAACTGGTTGTGTCAACCTGGAGCTTGTGTTGTTCCAGTTTTTATCTGATCCTCATCAACATATTCAGTCCATTCTTCCCATTTATCTTCCCCATTTTCATTTCGAGTTTTCTTTCGATGAGTCACCTTCTTTTTACGAGTATTGCCAGAAGATTCTGAAAATCGAAAGATGCTTTCTTTTACTGAAAGCAATGCCTAAATTTATGCAAAAAAAATGAGTTTTCAACCAAATTCTTATCTCTCGACTGACTTGTTTCTCCCTTTGATTGACTCTCGTCTTCATATTCTGTCCACTCCTCCCATTTATCCTCCCCATCTTTGCCGCGGACTTTCTTCCTCCTTGTCACTTTTCTTTTCCCATCATCATCCACATCCACATATTCGGTGTACTCCTCGAATAAATCTTCACCATTTGGACCAGTGATCTTTTTGTTTTTGTGAATCACTTTTTGATGAGAAGCTGAAGTACCTAGAAAATGAATAATCTTTATAAATAGGATGCAAAAAGGTTACTAGTTTCCCCAGTTGCTTCGTTTGGGCTCACGGTTGTCGGAGTTTTATCTGGTGAAAAGGGTTCTCCTTTTCGAAAAGTCTCTTCACCAATCGATGGCCCTCCAGTTGAAGAAGCTGTAGGATTTGATGATTTGTCGGATTAACTCCAAAATATTAGTTTCATTTGCGACGACTATTGAGGAGTTAAGCACGCCGTGAAACTCAACGCAAAAGCAACCTGTTGTGGTTGATGTACTCTCCGAACTCCCGCCAGGCTTCTCGGATGGAGTCACTGTTCTATCTGGTCCAATAGTTGTTTCAGTGGCAGGTATCTCTGGTATCATTTTACCATCTGGACCAATTTTCGGCTCTCCGGGCTTCTCTGCTAAACCTTTCGTTGTTGATTCATCTAAAACCATATTTGCTTAAAATACTTGTTACCTATATACCTGTTGTGCTTCCTTCAGTAGAACTTGTGGCCACCGGTTGACTATCAGGTACTCGATCAGGCGGCTCCCCGGTTCTCGGCTCAACATCGCTTATGGTTGAACTTGTCGGAGTTGCTAAATTTTTATAAATTCAGGATAGATTTCTGAATTGCTTTACTTTTGGGTTCCTCAGTTACTTCAAAACCTTCTTCGGGACTCTTTGTGGGAATCACTTGTCCATCGGACCCGATTTGAGGCTCTTCCGCTGGCCCGAAACCATCACGCTCTGTTGATGGCTGTTTTGTTGTGGTCGAGCCCGTGACTATAATTACAATTTATTTATAACTAAAGATTTTTTAATTATAAGATAATCATATTATAATTTATACTTAAGCATTCATTTTAAGCTATAGCCGTAAGTCGGTGACATCAAATCAATGATCTAACTGATTTTGCTCATCAAAGTTTTGCATCAAAAGAATTTTGGTTGGCCGCTTCATACTGTTATTGTCTCATAAAAAGTTGTTAAACATGATTTCTTAAGTAGTTTAAGTCAAATTTTGCTCTAATTTTCGGATTAGCCTATAAATTACCATCAATTCCAGTAGTCGATCCTTCAAGCGGACTCTCTGTTGTGATGGGCTGTTCCTGCTCATTCGCGCGTGGTTCACTATCGGGGATCAATGGCTTTTCTGTGAGTGCTAAATGTAAACTTTATTTCCCAACAATATTCGATTAATATTTCTCACCATCAGTTGATCCTGTTGCACCTGTTGGCTCTGTTCCAATAGTCGATTCAGTGCTCGTTGAAACTTCTTGATCTACAATTTTACCTTCAAACGGAATTTCAAATAAACTACCATTGTTTGGATTTCTATCGTGAGCATTCGGTTTTCTTGGGGTTGGAGTTGTAGTGGCTTCAGTGGTGCCCTTTGTCGCAGTAGTGGTTTGGTCAGGACTCGTTGAACTCTCTGTTCCGATTGATTCCGAGCTGCTCGGAGTTTCACTTGGGCCTAAGGCAAAATTTGATTCGTAATAACACCAGTCTAACAAGTTGCCAGGACCGTAAAAACTCTCATAGAAGCCAATGGGCTTGTATTTTCCAACCTTCCAAAGGTCCCCACATAAATCGCCAGTCGAAAAATAGGTAAGGGCCCCCACATAAATCGAAAACTTATTTTTTTTATAAAGCCACTTTACGTGATAGTCCTTGACCTAAAACGTACAAAAAACGCATTTAAAAGTGAAATAATTTTCTTACCCGGTTCCCCCGAAAGTTTCCCGAAAAAAAAATTTTTGCTCTCGGTACGAGGTTTTTTTTGCCCTAGTTCGATTCCCCTCCCGTTTTCTTTTTATATTCATAAAACCTTTTTGATAATTAAAAACAACTTTTTATGGTATTCTATTCCATTATTTTAAGTATTTTATGGATAAGCAATTAACAAAAATTACAAAAAGTTATAGAAAGGCAGACAGTTTATGGGTGTGGAAAAATTTGACAGTTTTATTTGTTTTAATGAGTCTAGGAGCTTGGCTGCTCCAAAAAAAGTTCTTTTTATCAGGTTGGAAAAAAAGTCCTCGGAATTTTTTTAACTTTTGGTTTTAGATTCCTCGAACACGCGACGCAGGCGCTGATAAGTGATCTTGTTTACATCAAGCCTCATTGATTGACTACATACAAACCCAAATGAATTTTCTTGCTTTATTTTTTTATTTCTTTGGGAGCTGCTTGAGGAGCATCTTCGGCATGTCATTTGTTTTTTTTCAAGAAAAAAGTTCCAGCCAAAGAAGTTCTTGAGGAAATTAAGACTATTTATGGCCAAGGTTCAATAAGTTTATCGACAGTTTGTAATATGATCGTTCCAAAACAGAAGACTTTTCCATGGAATTATTGTGATTCTGCTAGAGTATTATTCTATTCTATTAGGTTGATGCATAAGTCTTTTTGTTCCTTTTCGTCTGCCGTTTCAAGCCAACAAATGCACCAATTAAACTACGGTTGATTTCATTAGAAAAACCAATTATTTTTCTGCAAAATAACATTAAAGCGGGTTTAAAAATATTTTATGCCTGGATTTTCTTGAGAGTATGAAGTCGGGTAGTCAAAAAGAGCTAACTCGATGATGCGGTTTAGACACCTTAGCTAAAGAAAACCTATCTTCGTGTCAATAGATAAAAGATAGAGAAAAAAAAGTTTGATATTTCGCCAAAAATTTCAGAGAAATTCATTCAGCCAATTTTTCCGTAGAGTTTTTTATAGATTTTTACGAAAAAGGCGTTTTTCACTCTCGAATTTGCTTGAAAGTGAACCGAAATTCATTTAAAAAGATGGAAATTGAACAAAAAAACACTTTTTTTATAGAGCAAACTATAGATTAATTGGTGAATTTGTTACTTTTTAACAGAAGTACGAAAAAAACGAAAAGACTTATGCATCAACCTATTATTAAAGGGCTTCTATTAGAGTTTTTTACGGTAAGTTCCTATCAGATTTGTTGAAAACCTAAGTGTTACACTAATCCATTTACTTTTTCAAGGCTTGGTAAAATTTAGGAGTTATGGGTTCTTGCAAATACTGTTAATCTTCCAGAATTCCTTTCAGCAATAAGTTCAGTAGTTTTGATGCTTTTAAAAAGCTTATTAACTAGGCAGAAACACAATTTACACAAACCCGGTCTTGGCGTTCTGTCGTGAGCATTCGGTTCACGCGATTTTGTAGTGATCGATTCACCAGGTGCTTCCTCTTCACTGGTCGGGGTCGTGCCTAAAGTCGAGGATGAATGGTAAGATTGATCTTTACACTTTGACACATATTATAAAAATAAATATTCAACTATAGAATCTCTTTTCCAAACAAACCCTCAGCCTCTGTCGGGAGTTCACCCATTCCTCCGGTCGTCGTTTCTGGACTAATCGTGCTCGTTAGATTCACCAAATCGTCAAAATTCTGATCTTTCAAACATTTCGACACACAATCCCACAAAATGTGATTCGCTTTTCCCTGACTTGCGATTTGAATCAATTTCCTTAGCGCTTCATTTTCAGCCATGAGCGCTCGCACAATGTCAGCTGAGTTGCAGGAATGAATCCAAATCGAAAAGAATAACACCAGCAGATAGGGTTTCATTTTTGAATATGAAATGGCTGAAAATTGATCGATACATTTCAAGAATGAGCACTTTAAGAAAATCGGTTCGATTTCGGAGAGAGTAATTGGTAGATAAATTTTGTGCTTTGCTTGCTTTTCGAGAAAAATAGGACACAAGGTTGTGCGTGGGAATTTTACGAGAACGAGCAAGAGACAAGGAACAATTTGGATGTCTGGATTTTTGGGAAATCTGGATTTCTTTCAGAGAGAAAGTAATTTTAAAAGTTTAACTATGGATAAGATTTGGAGCCACTAGAGACCCTAGAGACAGTTGTTGAGTTAACAGAGAAATCACTGTTCTTCTCGGAAATCCGGTTCTTTTGACGAAATCCGGGTCTTTTCATTGTGAAAATCTAGCATATACATTTGGATGTGATTAATTCGATTAATTCAAAAGTTAATTCGATTCTCTTAGGACTTTTCTTGGGACAAAGAGTTACAATAAACTCCGCTAATAGGTTCTACGACCCTGGAAACCCCGGGGCACAAATTTTTAACTTTAAATCTCATTTGAAAATCATTTAAAGAACAAAAGAAAGATTCCTATGAAAAATGACTGCCTAGGTGTTGTGCGAAACAATTTTTGGCCTGTATTTTCGCTACAAACTCGACAAATTTGGCTGGCTTCAGCTGGGTTAATCGATCTGAAGTCAATTGATCAATTCAATCACATTTTTGAACACTTAGACTTTAATTTACAGTAAAACAGGTCCATTTTTCTTAATTAAACAATGTTTAATCTTTATTTTATAAATCTTTTCGACTAATGCAGCTATTTGGACATTGATTAAATGTTAAAGAGATTTCAAGACACTGGAAAAGAACCGTCAGCTCTATATAGAACATTTTTGATGCTAAAGCTAAAGAACTGCTTTAAAGAGACCAAAGTTAAATACTTGCAATTTAAATTCTTCAACTCTGAATAACTTTCATTCACGAGGCAATTCCAAAATATATTTCTTTTAGGTAAAAACAATCAAAACATGGATAAATATATCAAAATAAGGTTGATTCGGTCAGATTTTCTGGCAACTTGTCCGAATCTTTGCTGGCATAATTGACAAAGTTTCGTGGAACCGTGGAAATTGGAGTAATTCGATTTCAAAATTTCTCAAATTTTGCCAAGTAACCCCTTCCCTCAACGCCAAACGGGTCAAACAGCGAAAAAATCTGGAAAACCCTTGTCTATATGATCTCATTTTTTCGCTATATGATCGATCGCTATATGATCTCATTTTTTGCCGACATTTTCCCAATTTTTAAAACTTTTTATGCCAAAATCTTTCGGGTCTATGTTTCGCACTCGTTCGATCATCTCCGGGTGAGATCAACCGTGAAATTTTCTGTTTTCTCCCTCATTTTCCCGTTCTCCTCTCATTTCTTCCGCATTGTCTCTTCACTTTTTTGGTGTCACTTTGTTGACTCATTTTGATGTAGATAAGATCCTTTTTTTTGGTTGAAAAACTTTGTAATCTTTTTGGTGCTGTCAAAAATTGGAGTTGATCAAACATTGTTTTCCACAAGGTCACGCTGGGTGTTGGGTGTTGGGTTGAAAGTGATCTCAATCAAGGACTTTAGATCTTAAGTTCAGACAAAAGGCAAACTTCGCCAAAAAGAATTTTAAAGCTATTTCCCATGTTATCTAAAAACTTTAGTTATTTGGGATTTTATAGAAAAGCGAATAACGTTTTTTATTTGAACGTCAAAGTAGGTTTGTTGGATGGAAATCTTTAAATGATCAACTCTCCATCAGACCATTTTTGACTGCTTAAATTCGATCATTTGAAAAAGTGTGAAAACAAGAGCTTTCACATCTAGTTCAAAAGGTAGAGAAAAGATAGGGCTTTCTTATCTTTGAAGCTCCTAGGGTTTACTATTAAATTGGATTGAAATGCGCCTCTTGAAAAAATACTGACATTTCATGTGTATTGACCCCATAAAAAACCCTAGTCAAAAAGTTGTTGATTGTTGAAATCTTTTTATGAAAATGGACATATTTGGGTTAAAAGTCCTGCATTTTTAGAATTCGGCGTTAGTTTTTCAAAATTAACGTGTTTTTCAAGTAAAAAAAATGACTGTTTACGGAAAAAGTATAAGAACTTTTGGGACACGCTGAAAAAACTGTTAGTGGAGATGAGGATAGGATGGGATAGCACCAAAGTTTTCAATGAAAATTCATAGAATCGAATTCTTGAGTCAAAACAGTAAAACTGTTTCATTAAAACGCAGCGAACGGTGCAAAATACGTAGCTGTCTAACTTTCAAGCTAAAAAGTGCTTACCAAAAAGTGTAATGTCTGTCTGAAATTGTTTGTCAAATGTTCATAATCAAAACTTTTATCATGCTTCTTCAATGTCAAATTTTACAGTTAGTTTTTCAATAAAAGATATTCAGTAAAAGATCCCTTTTCCCCCTCTTTGGATGTTATTTTGGTTTCAATCAAACAACAAAACCATTTTCCAAACAAGTTGCTACTTTTGTATTCTTAAACCTCTATTTTTTGGCTATGACAATCCTCCACACATCAAGACAAAAACATTGTCTACCACAGTCACTATGCAATAAACTTCTTTTCAAGACTGTTTGCGAGTGTCTCTGTCTCGAAACTCTTGTCAACAATCCATAGTGCAAGTCGGATTTTCTATAAAGAGGGGTTTCCTTTCACAAAATTCCAGTCTCCCAGAAAATCGCAAAATATGAAATCATTCACTGTTTCATTGAGTTTTCTTTTGATCGTCGCTGGGGTTTTTGCTGAAGAAGTGGCTTTGCACGGTAGGTCTTGGGAGAATTTTGCTACTTTTAAAACTTAATTCTTTAATTTTTTCGATTTCACATAAAATCTAGCTCTTTAAGATGAAATTTAAGCATTTCAACTCTTTTTGAAGCAAACGAAAAAGCACAACAACTTTTTTTGAGACGCTTGAGACATTGATAATTTATCAAAAACCTTGTAAAACGTGATTTTTTAAAAGCTAGTGGTAAATCTTTGAGGTTACAAGTACACTAAGAACTATTTTCCCAAGAATTTTATCTAAATAGGCTAACTTTTTAGATAAACCACCGGCAAGTCTAGTGAGAAGTGGGATCGAGCAAAGACAAGCCATTCCGAATGATCAAACAACGATTTCTCCAATTGGTGGAGGAGTCATGGGTAAATTTTTAACTCTAACGTTTAAAAAACTCTATTATTTTTAATTGTTAGGTGTTTATTTCTAAATAAGGGACATGTGTTTTGTGAGAGATAAATAAAAATGACCTTTCACGAGAGATCGGGAAACCGGTTTTCTCTGAAAAGAAAAGGCATTTTTGCCCTTTCTCAATAGTCACTCTTCGAATTTGACTAGTAGTAGGCAAATTTTTGAAATATCTATTTTTAGAGGTTTTCAGATAACCACAAAAGCTTTGGCTCGGCATCGGGTGAGGATGAAACGTCTGGATTGGGTGTGATGGGTTAGTTCAATTGAATGTTTTGTCTTAGGCTTAAAAAAGCACATAAAATAAGCAATGAACTTAGTTCCACTACTACTTTGTTCCATTTTGATCCCAGGAAAGCTTCGCAGGTTCAAAGATTTATCTAGAGATCATATTGTTGTTAACTTTTATATGCCTAGTTTAACAAGGACACTTCAGGTTTTCAAATGAACCAAATAGGGTTGATTGTATTGGATCAATCTCTCACTTCAGTTTATCTCTTTTTGAAGCAACAGAATAATCCACCAGGGAAAGAAATTTGTCTATAAATACAGCCAAATTTGAGGTAAAAATTCCAAAATTCCAAAAATTTGGGCATAGTGACTCCCAAAAACCCGTTCCGTCGTTTAACGCTTTCCAGATTCCAAAATAAAAGCCCCTTACACCGAAGGGGCTTGCCAGGTCGTGAGCGATTACGCGGCCGCAAAAAGCACAGCTCTCGGTCACTTTATACAGTGATATTACTTGACTTTTGGAATGCCTCTTGATTTTCTCTGGATTGATTCGTCCAATCAAACTGGATTTACTATCATTCCAAAGCCTGAAGTATCCTCTATACAACAATATAAATAGTTACGAATAATCTGGACAAAGTTATGAACCTTTAAATAATAGGCTTTCATTCAAAATACCCAACTTTCAGCCTAGAGCCAAAAATTCTTTGATGAAGCCACATAACAAGCTTTGAAAATTGCTTAATAAAATAATTTGAAAGATATTTTTTAAATATAAACTACTCTACAAAAAGAAAATGTAAAATAGCTTTTTTAAATGGGCTTTGTTTTGAATAATAATATATTCAAAATAATCAAATTTCAGATGGTCACAAAGGTCCAAACGTACAATCTGGTCAAGGGTTGATTGGTAAGCTCACAAACTTTAAAACAAGTTCAAACTCCAATTTAGGCAGTGAGGAAAATATTGGTGGACATCTCGATGAGCCGGACGTGAAGATTGGAGCAACAAGTAAGTTCCAACCCACTTCCAACTTTTCTAGTCAAAGACGTTAAATCAAGCCAAAGACTTTTCATTGTTCAAGGGATTTAAAAGTTTTTAATCACATAAACTTTGCCTGTTTAGCTACCGCCAAGCCAGATGACAGCGCTGAAGTCACAACACTCGCTGCTGGGCAAACTCGAACACACAAAGCAAAAACAAATCTCGGTCACGGTCACGGTCACGGACACGGGCGCTTTGACGATTACGAAGATTACGGCATGATGCGTTGTAAGTTTTTAATATTGGAAAATATATATGTTGTGCCCGATTTGGCATTAGTCAGTTTGGCAGTTCGTAAATTTTCATTAGAATCCTTTTGATTTAAGTTTTTTTTGTCATTTTTCGTGATTTTTACGGCATATAGGCCAGCTGGAGCACAAAAAAGTAAAATGAATCATTTCAAGCGCTTCCCCACTCCAAAATACGCAGAAAATCTTGAAAACTAGGTATAACTTGCTCATTAAAGGGTCTATAAGTGTTCATTAATGCTATTCTACTCTCTCCTTGTGCAAAATTTTTTATAAAAACTAAGAAACACTCAAGGTAACAATAAAAACACGTTATTGTAGCGCTTTCAATCCAAATCGGATGTCCGATTTGAATTCAATCCAAATCGAACACAGCATAAAACTAAACTTTGGTCAACTATTAAACCATCGTTTAGCCTGTAAAAAAACTAGATGCAATCAGAATCATTTCTGTTCTTGCAATATCCAACTTGATTTTTGAGATCATTTTTGCTACAGGAAATTGTTAGCATCTTTTCTAAAGCCATCTTTATGGCAAAGCTTCTTTTTTTAAACTTATACGGCAAAACAAGCTGTAGACAAATGCTTACCTAATTTCAAGAATGGTTGATTAACATTTTCAGACCCTGGAATGCATGAATTCGGTTATCCTGGCTACCCTCCAATGATGATGCCACCTTATGGTTTTATGGATCATTACAGACATGGTTTTGGAGGAATGGGACGTGGATTTGGTGAAGATAACTATAAGAACAGACATCAAGGATATGATGTCATGGGTGAGTTGTTTAACTAAAAGATTGCCAACACTTGTTTTAGGTAATGATAAATACTATGACAGTGACGAGGATAGCGATGAAGATGAGGATCGGGATCGTCGGGAATAAATTTGGATCAAGATAGCAAAATCTTGAAAGCTGTAAATAAATATTGCTTCTGAATGGATTTTAAATTTTGAATTTGAAAAGCAGTGCAAAATGAAAATGGTTTGATGGTTTTGGTTTCATGATCTGTTGGAAAACGCTCTTTTGACTGGTTAAGCTAAGTGAATCGTTGAATCGAATGGTTTGGGCAGATGAGTTTTAAAATTTTAAAAGATCGTTCAAAAGCACTTAAATCGACCGAAATACAGCTTTGATTTTTTTTTTAAAGATTTCCAAATGGATAACTTCTTTCTTTTAACATCAGCTTATCTTCCTTAGCTTTCTTTTAACATAAGTTTTACCGTCTTTTTGTGCTGCACTAACTTTAATTTGGCCTTGAAAAACGAAATTCACACGGCAGTTTAAAGTTTAAGTCTATTTTTCCAATTCTTTTTAAGTTCAACTTCAGTTCTCTCCAAATGACCAATCCCTAGAAGCCATCCAGAGGACACAAAGTCGCACTGAAATTTCATTGGTCAATAATTTCATTACTAAATTTGCAAGACCTTTAAAATGCACTGAAATTTCAATTGGTCAATAATTTCATTACTAAATTTGCAAGACCTTTAAAATGCGCGGGCGTCAAAGGGTGAAACTGCAAAGGCGCGAAAATTCACAGGTCAGCGGGCGAGAATCGCGAAACCTTTTGTTTAACGAGCTGTGAGTGGAATTTGTGAGACACTTTATATATGAAATTGGATAACTTTTGGTCACTTTCGAGAAAAATCCTCGTCATAAGCCTTCAAATTCATTTGAAGTACCAAAGTGATGCTTTCTCTAATCATTTCGGTAGCTCTGGTGTCTACAGCTTTTGCTGCCGCACCGGTGAGTTGTAAATTCTATGTTTGAGCTGATTTTTATGTTTAGACAACATGCATCGATTATGACCGAAAGTAAGTTTTGATCAAAATGGCAATAGGAAATGGAATAGCTTTTAATTTATTTTAAAAGTACCAACTCAAAAGCCATCTCGAACTTGGTTTGCTGATTTGCTCAAAATTTTTAATTTCCATTTAAAGATCGTTATTCAGCTTTTGTTCAAACACTTAGATAAGTGGTTAGCAGTCTTGGCTTATGTTTTAAAAGGGCTTGATCCCGAAAATCGGACTTTACGGTAGATTTGTAACGAAAACATCTGTCGGTCCCTTTTTAAGGTTTATCGTGTTTTTTTCAGCTATCATTCGATGCAGAATAAAATTGAGCGTCGAATGATACCAAAATTTTCTCAAAATCTAATATTGACGCAAAGTTATGAGGTAAAAGTTTAAGTCCCACCCATAATGAGCGTGGTTTAGGTTTTTAGCCAACAGCTTTATGTGGGTATTATGTTTTGAGTTAATTTTGGTATAATTCGACGCGCAAATTTTTTCTACATCGAATGGTAGTCAGAATAGTCAAAATCGAAGGGTTGGTGCTGGGAAAACACGAAAAACCTTAAATTGTCAAAGGCAAAAAAGGACCGATAGATAATTTCGTTACAAGTCTACTTTACAGTGCTTTGAATTTTCATTTCTAAATTCCAAGGCAGCTCCTCTACAAAATCGAAGCATTTTGGTGTTAGACCATCAGATTTGACCCAAAACGGTTGATCCATCTCCAATTTAGTTGTCAGCTTTACTTGGAGAACAAATTTTGCTCCTCTTCTCTCTACACCTACGATGTCAAGTTGAACTATTGTGCAGCAACGTGTATGATGTGTGGAGGATGTGTGGATTCTGATGTTAAGTGAGTGAGTTTGAAATGATAACGACAATAGTCGTTTCGAAATCAGCTTTGACTAGATCAAAGCTTCTATCAAGTTCTATCAAGTCCTGGCTCATTTGGGTTCAAAAAATTTTAGTCAAAAAGTTTAATAACTGATTTCAGTTGTCCAATCTATGCAAAGAACGGCTACTGCGATGACACCAACTACACGGCGGCTCAAAAAATCGCGAAATGTCGTGCCACTTGTGGATATTGCACAGGCCCGAACCCTCCTTGCAATGATGTGGATCCAAAGTGCCGTGGATAATTTTCTCCCTAATAAATTGTTCATTTAGTTGCCCGATTTACAAGGGAAACGGTTATTGCACTGATCCCAACTACACGGACGCACAACGAATGGCAAAATGCCGAAAATCTTGCGGATACTGCCAAACCGCTTAATAAAAAAAGTACAAACTATGCTAATCTACTTTTAATGGCTTTTGTTTAATCATAATAAACGGTTCTGATATGATTTGTAGTTATATACTTCAGAGAACATACACAGAGAAAAGTTCACTGACTAAAATATAGCTTTAATCAAAGTGTTATAAACTTGATCAATTTAAATCGTAGTATTTACTTCATTCTAGTTTTCAATCTTTCCGTTTTCTACGAATATCATATTTTATTGAGGCATTTTATTCTTTTAAACAAAAAAATCCAAAAACGCGCCTGTACAAATAACAAAGGCGGGCTAGGCGGGCTTTTGAAAAAAGAATTTTTCCGAGAACTATCGAGTAGAACAAAAGTTTTGATCAAGTCAGTTTTATTAAAATGGCGAAAAAGATTTATTGGTGTTTAATATTCTAAGAAAATGATTGAATATCGTACTAGAAAATTGTATAATTGAATATCGTACTAGAAAAATTATTATAAGAAAATTTAAATAAAAAATTTATCCGTACCACTTTTTCATGTCATTATGAATAGTCGATTCAACGATTCGCTTGGAACCAAACATTTCGATTCAATGGTTTTAAAACGTGCCCCAAATTTTGTGCATAACTGCCCAGAAAGGCCAACGCTCGTGTTTGCCTGGGTAGCTACGCAGAAAGCGAAAGCGTGAATTTTTTTTTTTAGAATTTCTAAATCGTTGTATGAGACGTTGTATGAGAATGCATATATTTAATTTGAAAACTCAAAACAAATAGCCGTAAGCAAAAATAAGAAAGACGTAGACAGCAGCTTTAAAAAACAAAGCGACTTCCAAATAGAGTCAATCACAGAGAAATGCAAGATGACTAGAGATTCTGGCAAGGATTACCGGTAACAAAAAAACAACCTTGTACTTAAAAAGTGAGCAACGAAGGGGCAATTAGAAGTTTTCATTTTGTTTATATACAACTATTTCTATAATATATAGGAGTACATAATAAGCAAGAGTAATAGAAGTAAATGTTTCAGGAGAAACATTCAAAACAAAAATAATTTTACGCAAAATCAAATTCAAAACAAAAGCAATTACATCCTACCAGCTTATAGTGTATCCAGCTTGGCGTCGTGCTTCATTGCGAGCGATGCTTTTGGCCGTGTCACTAAAGCTTTTTGATTTAGTATTTTGTTCCCACATAACTTATGAGTTTTATGATTTGTATTTATGTAGCTATGAGCAACTTGTATTTGTCCGTTATATAATTTTTGGCTTTCTACCGGTCAAATTCAAATTCGAAAAAGACTTTAATCTCACTGGATTCTAGCATATTAATTAAATGCAACTGACCCGACGATATCATTCCAAATATTGAATTGTATAGCTTCGATATCCTTTCTTCGACGGAGGCAACGACGGATTTCAGGCAATAAGTCGATTTCGATTTCGTGAACAAATTTGTTAATGTCGTCATCGTTGATTTTAGTTCCCCATCTTCCGATGTCGTTCGTGTCGTTCACGTGCTCGATTACAGCGAGTTGACTTGATCTGTTCAACTTGATCAGCACCTTGCGAAATGTGTGCATCGTTCCCTAAAATTATTGATCACTCTATTGATTTTGTGGCCAAATATCATTTTATCAAATGTACCAACTATGTTTACTAACCGTAAGCAGTGGATTTTGATCACTAGAATCCTATTCCCTACGTCAGCTCAACTTCGAACTCACTTAAAAGACAAATTGAAGATTTAGTAGAAGAAATACGGCAGCTCATTTCCTGAATCTTTTGTCTTTTGAAAGTTTCATGGTCTTTTGTCAAAAAAAGTCTGTTTCGTGGTCTTTTGCAATTTTTTGTTTTTTTACCAAAAGTCTTTTGAAATTGTTTTAACGTATTTTATTAAATTGCACATGCACTAGTTTATTTGATCAGAATTTAAAGAACAATCGTATGAACAACAATTTTAGCATCCCAGCAAAACGGAAGACTTGGCACGTTTTGCTTTTCCTTGGACACGCCAATGCTTGTAAAGCTGGCCTTCACATAAAGCTAAGACAGACATCCTTGCCAACTTGATGATATCCTGTTGAGACCACGAGGGATTCTGTGCGATGTCGCCCAACGTCAGCCCCCAGAAGTGGCTACGGCACAAACGAGAGGCTTTCTCTTTGTGAGTGATGTTTGCCGTAAGATGTTTCCAGCCATCGAGTTACAAGTCTCGCATCTTTTATTGGCCCGTTGTTTGATCTTCCTTAGTGCCTCTTCAACTTCAACAAAAGTATAATGAAATCTTCGAAACCTAAGCTCGATAATTACAAGTGGAAGCAAAGTGGGGAGCGATAAAAGCTTCAATTTGCCACTTGCGTGGAACAATAAAAGATTGACTTCCAACTTATTTATTTGAATAAGGAGAGGAGAGCAACAGAGAAGGGTCAACTCTTTCAACATTTGTTGGTTCTCTTGGAGGCTGCTTATCCCCTTCGCTAGGATTTTTCTTTAAATACCGATCAAATTGTGCATGTGGAAACTTAATAAAATACGTTAAAACAATTTCAAAAGAATTTTGCTTTAAAAAAAAATTGCGAAATATCACGAAACAGATTTTTTTGACAAAAGACCATGAAACTTTCAGAAGACTACGATTCAGGGAAAGAGCTAATTTTTTATTACCGTTTTAATACTACACACATATTACAAAGCTTCAGTTTAAGCTTAACATTACAGGACTAACCTCAGCGTCGTAATTGAAGTCCTCTGATCGAATGATCGTACCACCAAAGAGTTCTTCCAAAGAAGCCGACACTCGAGGAGATTCCATAAGCTGTTGTTCTGGAACCAAAAACCGGAGACTCTTTTTCTTTTCGCTCCAAAAGTTGATCGAAAGAGGCCTCTCGTTAGGTTGTGCATAGGCCGCCATGATCTATAAGTAGAAGGATTTATGTAAGTCAAAAAGAACTACAATCTACTATAAGTTAAATCTTTTAAAACAGAATGACCTCTTATGCATAAACGACATAAAGAACTTGGCCAAAGCCTTACACAACCCTGAACTGTCCCGAACCAACCCTCGAGGAGAACGTAATATCTGTTAGAATTTGGTTTATCTAAAGTTTTTTTTCTCCAGTAATCCTAATCCTATCTTAGTTCAACTCAGGCTTTGGTATTGGTATTAATATTGAAATCAAAATACGACTCACTGCAGTCAACGTCTCTTTAGTCGTTTCGTAAGTGAGTTTCGTTGGATCATATTCCCATTCATGACTCTCAAATGCTCGCCACGTATACTAAATTTGCTTTTGAGTAGATGCATTTGTTACTTGCTGCTTACCGTTGGAGCCATTGATATGTTCTTTTTAATAAAGTTGATCAACAATCCCCAATATGTCGCGAAAGGCCACATTTTTGTTTCCTGTTAATCTAAAGTTGCAATTGGTTATTGCTTGGGTCAATGATCATTTAAAGATTTTTATCAAACATCATAAAAGGAGATGTAATTCTTTTCGATTAAAAGAGCAGATTTTGTTAAATTTGTATTTGTTAGTACACTACCGAAAATTTATCTCAAGTTGTTTATTGCTAAAATGCTGAACGTAGAGATCTAAATAAAAAATATAAAATCACAAGCTTTACTTAAAACCATTGCTAAAAGGTTGGCAGTCAAAATGAATGTGATTGCAAAACCATTGCAAAATTACCTCTACGCAACTTGACGTAGTCCCGCCGAGACTTGGTCCTCCATGAAAACCGGAAAAGATTCACGCGAGACAACGAGAAAAGATTCGAGAAGAAAAGAAAAAAGGGACCAATCATGGGCAGAATGAGTGATCATTGAAATTGAGTCACTGAATAACGAATTCATCTTGTTGGAGTCTTTATTGTAGTTGAGTTTGCAAAATCTTGCAAACAGATTCAAATACGAGGCTTTCATCTCATCTTCCGAGTTGTTGAGGCACATTCTTTGCTGTAAATTTTGAAAAGATTGTTATGTTGCAAAACAAGATGGGCAAAAATACAAAATTCAAGAAGAGCTCATGATCAATAGTTAGATCGATCTCGGTTTAGGCTCAGCCAAACCACCAATGAAGCAAGAAAGGGTTCTAAAGATTGGCTCCAGAGCTCTAGGCCTAGAATTGGGACAGCATGCTGAAACGAAAGCATTTAGCCTGATGAGACGAGTTCTTTAAAATCCTCTAACAAAAGCTCAAAATCAGTACTCGAATACTGTAGTGGTACTGGAAATTTGCAAGGTGCTAAATTATTATCGAATCAATTTACTACTGACTAGTGAGGTAAGCTCTAAACTAAACGTTTAGTTGCTAACGCTAATAGAGTTTTGGTAAAATTAAAATGCTAAGGTCAAGAAGTCAATGCATACAGTCAAACTTCAATATAACGAACCTCAAGAGACCGGCCAAAAAAGTTCATTATATCGAAGTGTTAAGGCAAAGCCCTTCGTTGGGACCAAAAATAGTGTTCGTTATATCAAACGTTTTGTTATATCGAAGTACGACTGTTTTTTGATCTTGAAATACTGTATTTTAATGGTACTGTAACTTTACAAGAATAAGGTACTAGTTCAGTATAAGACCAGTGATCACTAGAACCCTATTCCCCACGTCAGTTCAACCCCCAACCTTAAAACCTTAAAAGACAAATTGAAGATTTAGTAGAAGAAACACGGTAGCTCATTTCTTCTGAAAAGACTAAATGCTATGGGACCGAAAACCAAGAACCGAGAATCAGTTGAGAAACAAAAATCAATCGAAGAGATTTGAAAGTTCTCTGTAAGACTCCTCTTATCAATTGATACCGTTCTTCTTTTCAGAAAGAAGTCAATAAAGTTTCTGTGTGAACAACCTTTCGTGTACCTTGAAGTGTAGATATGTATGTTATAAGTTGAAAACCAATGTGCATTTTTTACAGAGAATGGAACCGAGAATCAAGAACCGAGAATTAATCGCGAAATAAAAATCAATCGAAAGATGATGAGTTAGTTTGTAAAGAAAAGAAGAAAGTAACGCGTGTTGCTCACGTATAAAAACCATTTATTGTTGAAAGTTGGATTTTTATTTTTATTTTATACTTAAGTATTGGTTAATATTAAGTTGGCAAGAAAGTCTTTGCACAGTTTTGAGCTGGAATTTCTTAAAAACGAATCCGCTAATTCAAGAACATTTTGTTCTATTATTTACAAGTCGACTCCAAGAAATTACTCGTAGAAAATAAGTGCAGCGTTCCCTTAAAATTTTAAGGATTTTTGAAAAAGTATTATTCAGCTCACTTTTTGCATCACAAAAAAATGATTTCTTATGGGGCAAACCTAACATAAATTAACAATACACTCTATAATTTCTATTTTTCGCTAAAAAGTTTTTTACAGAGGGGCTGTACTGCAGAAAATAACTTTGTGATGTCATCTTCTGAGTGTTTGCTAAAATACGTCATTCCAAATAGTCAAAGCATTAGATAAAATTTGCCTTAATCGCAAATTTCCGTGTTTTAAGTATTTCATTTTAGGTTTTGAATGGGATCTATCCATTAAGCTATTAAAAACTTGTCTAAATGCTGGTCACTAAAAAAGTCACCAAGTCTTCTTTTTCTTTGTTCCAAAAAATCTTTTTTTTTCTGAAGCCCACTCTGATTTTTATCAAGAATTTTTAGAAATCTAGTCAAGTTTATCAAAAAGACTTGGGAAGAATTCATGGCTTGGTTTTTGAGAAATCACCGTGCAAACTTTTCTTGAATTTTCTTGTCAACCTAATAGGTTTGCTTGAAGTTGACCGAAATCCACATTAAGGCAAAACCCAGAAAGACTAACAGAAGCCTTAAGTTCTGTGTCTGAACTTGTTTCTTGTAAACGATTTACTACTATGCATGCATTCAGAATTTATTGTATTAGATTGAATGTTTTGGATACTTTATTGAACACTTTATTGGACACTTTATTGGACACTTTATTGTACTGTTTCAAATCGAGATCTATTTCAGTCGTAGATGCAGAAGTTTGCGTAAAAGGTTTGCCCCGATGAGGATTGGGTGTATCCATTGACACAGTGAGTGGTTGCAGGGCAAACCAAGTCGGCGGTAGCGGCTAAATTTTGAAGTTACAATAATGTGTTAGCTAATAATAGTGTTCAAAAGGGATAGTTTTTGTAAAACCAACGTCCAGCCACTGTAGTTGAAACGATGGCCGCCGTGGAGCTTGGGCAGAGGAGGCTTTGCTGAAACGAAAAATTTGTTTAAAGCTTTGTCATCTTTCCACAACACACTGAACTTTAAAATTCTACACTTCTACAAGTTCAACTCACATCATAACACCGATCTTCAACTCCATTGAATCGACAGAAGCCATTCGGACATTGACCAGCAATAGCCGCTAAATAGGGGAACGTTTACTGAATTAGAGCAACAACTTACGTCCCACATCGGCTCCATTTGTTGTGCTAGGCAGATCTGGGCAAGTGCTTGATGATACAGTTGTCGTGAAGAATGGGCTGCCAGTTGCGGGTCGATTGGTGCCACCGGATGGTGGTGGAGGAGGACGAGTGCCACCGGATGGGGGTGGAGGTGGTGGGCGGGTGCCTGGTGGTGGTGGGGGAGGTGGTGGTGGATGAGGTCCTCCTGGTCCTCCTGGTCCTCCTGGCCCCTGGTGGCTGGCCCCTGGTCCTCCTGGACCACCTGGTCCGCCAGGACCTCCTGGGCCTCCTGGTCCTCCTGGACCATCTCCTCTTGGACCTCCTGGTCCTCCTGGACCATCTCCTCTTGGACCTCCTGGTCCTCCTGGACCATCTCCTCTTGGTCCTCCTGGTCCTCCTGGACCACCTGGTCCGCCAGGACCTCCTGGCCCAGGACCCATTCCTGGTGGTGGGCCCATAGGACCAGCCTAAATTAAAAGTTAAGCTGAATGAAGATAGCGGTTTGGCAAAAGGTATGGAAAGTTGTAGAAAGTGTTTTGCTTTGCCTTTTGAATTTAGCTTCAAAATCACAGCACAGTTTAACACTAGAATCAGCACTGATTGGTGAGTCGATTGCTCAAGTCGAAATAAAACATTATCTTTAGAAATTGTAAACAAATACCTGCACAAGGCAAACCACACCGACGATCAAGACAAGCTTCTGCATCATACACCCGAAAATATTGAAATCCCGATGATCCGAAATCTTCAGCCTCACTTACATTTTATATGGCTTGAATGTAGAGGAATGACATGCAGCTGTGCAAATACATTTATGACTAAAATCTTGTCAAATGACGTTTCTCGGGTCACATTTATTATATTTTGTTGGAAAACCGCGATTTCTATACGAACAACTTGTTTGAGCACCTGACTATCAGGACAATCTTTGCACTCGTTTTTGTATAAAATAATTTTTCAAGTATTTAAGTAACGTTTTAATAGTTTTTCAACAACTAAAAACCTGATCTATTGGGTTGTCCAGTTATGAATGCGCGTTTTTTACTATTTTCTAAATTTCTCAAGATACCGAAATCAAGAAAAAGATATATATGAGTATTATTCGAAAGCTGAAGATCTCCTCTACATTTTGATATAAAACGTTTTTGAATTTGTTCAGCTTTTGGGGAAAATTGACTGCACAGAAGAGGAGGTGGCCAAAAAATGGAAGGATGCCTTTGGATCAAGTTTTGGCTCCGCTCAAATTGAGTTAACCGTTTGATGTTTGGCCAATAGATATATCAATACAACTTTTTTAAAAATATAACAATTTCAGAGCATCTTTACTTTTCTTTTCTTTTCTGGGCGGTTATTTTACACCATAAAACTTGAGGATTAGCTAAGTTGGAATGGGTTTTTTCGAAAACGACCTCTTCCTTTGTGCAGTCAATTTCCCAAAAAGTTGAATGAATTCAAAAACTTTTTCATTCCAAAATGTAGAGGAGATCTTCAGCTTTCGAATGATATTTAACACACATATACATCTGTTCGACATCTTGAGAAATTTACAAAATAGTAAAACCGCGCATTCATAACTGGACAACCCAATATAATACATTTTTGGCCCATCAAATGATACCAATCTGACCGCAAATCCAAGTAAATTCCGTTGCAGAAATTAGTGTTAACCTGATTCAGGCTAGCCAGAAGTGTGAGCAGGTGGCCAAGTGGTTAAGGTGTTTGACTGCTAATCAAATGGAGTTTCCCCACGTGAGTTCGAATCTCATCCTGCTTGACAGTTTTTGCTATGACAGGCGGTGATTGTGAGATACGGTAAAGAATAGATGAATTGCAGAATGATTGAATCTTTTGGTGCAGATGACAAATTTCGGATTGAGAATACTCTAACGACCAACTTCATTACTAAGCTTTTGACTACAGGGTGTTCAATAATTACCCAAACTCAGTATATTAAGTGTAACTCAGCACTCAGATGTGCAATCATCTCACGGTTTGTCTAAATAGAAAATTGAAATATTTTTGTATGGTGGATTCTTAGGTTTCTTACGGAAAGACTTTTTTGGCCTTTTTTATAAAACATCAAAGTTGGCAATCAGGACGCGGCACTTGTTTTTGGAGGATTTAACAAAAATCTTGGTGATCATGAGCGTTTTTTTTGGGAAAATGTAACAGCCGAAAAACGAAAATTCACCCGGTGCAAAACCATAAGCCACCCCCCAAATTTTGGTGTCATTTCATACTTTTTTTAGTTTAAAAGGTAAATTTGCCTCTGCCAAACATAAGAACCCGCCACTTTCACTTCAGGTTCCTTATAAGGAGGCCTAAAGAGCCTACTTTGTCTTACTTCAACTTCAAAAAAAATCCCGAAAGCAGCTCAACTTAGATTGTCAATTTCCGAGATGAGCCGTGGAATCAATCGCTCAAGAGCCTGTATCAACGGTTACCTCAAAGCCCCACTCAAATATGGTACTTCAAATGCGCATGGTCATCACAAGAAGCTCTTCAAACGGCCGCACGCCATATCAGAAACAAAGCCTCAAATTCTACGAGGTCGGCAAAGCGTGATTTGGAAATTCCAGTGTCAAAGTGGACTGTTCTCAGAACCATCAACTCTTCTCCACATCTCACACGTCAGGTGATGAAGCCAGCACCTCGCTTAACTGCCATCCACAAACAGAACAGGTTACTCTTTGCTCGCGCAAACAACTGGAATCAGGTATTTAAACTTCGAAAACAAATTTTATTGTTTTCAGATCATCTACACAGACGAGAAAAAGTTCAAGCTGGCTGAGCCTGATGATGGACACTCTTATTGGCGTGACTTGCGCAAGGATCCATTACTGTTCTCAATTTAGTTTTATTTGGTTACATTTATCTAAAGGTTAAAGATTCACATTTAACAGAAAATAAAAAATGAAAAATTTCGGTTTGCAGAGTCATCTTTTGACAAGCCAATGGCTCATGTGGAACCAAGATTCACAAAATCGCAAAATTTTGCCTAATTGAGTGTCACATTACCTTCCGAATCGTTTGATAATGTTTAAAACGTATTGCAAAAACAAAAGCGTTCCAAAAAATGCTCAATCTTTGGCGTTTTCTGGAAATGAAGTACCAAAAACAAGCATCAGCTCCTGACTGCCAACTTTGATGTTTTAGAAAAAAGGCAGAAAAAGTTTTTTCGTAAAACCCAAGAATCCAGCGTGGGAAAATATTTAAAATATATAAAAACAAAAAAAACTATTAAAACAAAGCGTGAGATGATTGCACATCCGAGTGCTGAGTTACACTTAAAATACCGAACCTGCAAGATAGTCAGGCTGTGATTGATTTCGAAAAAGGAGAATTCAAGCGAAAAGTTAACAAAGCAAAAGGTTTATTATTAAGTGTTAGCTTTATTATTATCAGGTAGAATATTGGTTATTTAATTGAGATTTTTAAGCCTTGACACAGAAATTTCCGTAGTATGTCTTTCCGTTGCTGGTCGCCTCTCCGCCAACACATTTCGTCGTGGCTGGACAGTTGAGATTTGAATCAGCAGCTAAACTTTGAGATCATTTGAGAGAATCTTTTAGATCATTTAAGTTTCAAGTTTGATTCTTGAAAATTGGTGAAAATTTGCTTTTCAAAGACTCACGTCCAGCAATGGTAGTGGAGAGGATTGGGCCGGTCGCTTGCGGGCAAACGAGCGATTGCTAAAGAGACCGGATTGAGAAAAATCAAAAGATTAGAAATTGCCTTTGCTTTGTTAGTTTAGAGCCTACATCTAGACACGCATTGCTGCTTCCAAGGCTTGTCGTGATGTAACGGCAAAAACCTCGTGGACACGTCTTTGAGCCGTTCGTCTCATCATTGGCTGCTAAAAGATGATCTTTTCTTTATAAGAACAATATTTGTGTAATATTTCGAACGTATTATATTCTAAAGTAGACTTACGTCCATAAATGAGAGAATAAGAAGTGCTGGGAACAGCTTGTGACGGGCAATTGGCGGCAAAAGTCTAAAAAGATATGAAGTGGATGCTAAAGAAATCGAATTATGGAGTTTTGGTAGGTTTTAGATTTTAGTTTTGCTACAGATTTTGTTTTACTTAAAGCTCATTGTTAGCGTATTTGGACTAAAAATGGGGAACAAACTTGCTAGCAAACTGAAAGACACTGTAAGATTTTAAGCCTGCAATAGGCCGCTCGCTAGTTTTTTAAGCGTAAGAATATATTGTTTCTTGTTTACTTTTTACAATTGAAGAATCAGAAAGTCATTTTAATTGAATTTTAGCTCATTCTATAGTCTTAAATGTTTAAAACTTACTTGGCTCATGCAAACCACCAAAAGAAAAGCTAATTTAGCGTTCATTATTGTGTGAAGTGGTCAAGAAATCGAAAATTGATGTCAATTCCGTTTCCCATCTCGTTTTATGTAAGAGCTGAATGGATGTAAATGAGCGGCTAAATAAACTTTGTGGACAAGTTTTGCAAAGAAAGACGACGCCCACATAAGGTCAACGAAAAAAATGGTCCATCATCGTCTGAAAAACTGACTTTTGTTTACTTACCCACTTATTTATGCGCTGTTGGTTCAAAATCGAGATGAATATTTAAAAGATGATATCATTGAATTTGATTTTTGCATGATAATTTGTTGGCCCACGCCAACGCAATGAGAATTGCGAAAGCTTTTTATTGGAAGAATCGCAAATTCATTTTCCACTAGAATGTTTTTATCTCAAGCAATGTGTTTTTTAAAATGCACTACCTTAGTCAAAAAATATCGTGTTTTCCAAAGAATTGCTAACTTTACTATATCCTTAAGCCAAGTTACAGCAGAGTTTACACAAAACGATGTTGAGCTTGGGTTTTATGAAATACTGTGATTCATATTTAGTTTACTGATTCATTTTAAAACTAAATTCTTGATAAATGATTCATTTTTCTTTGTCTATCAATTATTTCAACACCAAAAATTACTTTATGACTGGGTCCAAAAATTAATTCTAACCTCATCAAAGTTCGCGTAAAAATTTTTAAACGGCCAGTGCTGTTTGTTTAGCCGATTGGTCCGGTCAATTGCAAAGTTTTTTTGAAAAAATGTCAGAAAAAGTGGGATTGATTTGAAAAAGCAGAATTTGTTCTGGTTTAAAAACACCAGAAAGTCGGAAGATTGCTTTCAAAGATTTGCAAAGGGCGCAAGTCGCAGAATAAAAAGTCAAAATTATGAAATTGTGGTTTTGCTCAGAAAAAAGTACAATAAAATACTAATTCTAACCATTTTTTCTATAAAAAAGTACAATAAAATACTAAAGCTCCTTCTTTTGCCATTATTTATATTTTAAAACAACTGTTTGTCACTTCTCAAATTGATCGAGTCCAATTTTCGAATGTATCTTCTGATTATGTGGTTTATGCTGTAAGAATAAGCCGATTCTTCCAATAACACCACCACATGGTTTTTACGAAAAAATTTGAAACATGAACATGCAATCCTTTTATCAAACTGAAAAGAGCAAAAAAAACTAAAGTAGCTTTGGTTTTGGTTCTCGTTTTAAGATTGGAATTCATTTTTATACATTTCGTCTTTTGTTTCGATGTAAACTTTTTTGGCCAAAATATGCTTCGAAATGAATATCACAATTCGCCGGAAAATCTACGAAAAATGAACACGATTTGGTATCGGATTCGGAAATCGAAAAGAGTAAGCGATACAACTTTCATTTTTTGGGGGCATGATGGATAAGCCGAGTTTCAGGTCCCTAAAACTGTGAGCAGGTGGCCGAGTGGTTAAGGCGTTTGACTGCTAATCAAATGGGGTTTCCCCGCGTGAGTTCGAATCTCATCCTGCGCGAAACTTTTTGTTTTTTTGGCAAATTAAGAAGGTTAACAATCAATTTTTTAAAATTTAACTTGGGATACTTTGTATCAATTCCAATGAGTATCTTTTCGCGTTTCTAGCGCTTGAAAGATATTCCGGTTTTAGACTCCTGAGGTTGTCTCTTTGATGGGTTTTGCCACGATGGTTGTTGGTGTGATCATGATTGGATTAGCTACGTCAAAAGGATGTCATCTAGGTATTGTCAACAATTTTTTTAGTAGAATTGTGTTTTTCCAGTACCATGATTTTGGAATTTCAGAGAAACCAATTTCTGATTGCCCCTTGATCAAAGAATGTGCAGCACCCCCCACAATTGAAACAATTTTTAATTTTCGAACAAATTTGCACATTTCTTAGAAAGAGCAGTATAGAGACCTGGAAAACGAAGAAACACTGCAAATCTTGAATGAAACGATGAATAAAGTACGGTAAAAGTTTAGCAAAACGTTTTTTGTGATTAGATCGGCGAACTTTTTGAATCAAATCTAGAAAACGAGTTTATCTATTTGGGATCGAGTATTCAACTGTTTTTATCGTAAGAGAAAACTGATTATTTAATATGTAAAAATTTCTAGATCCATAGAAGCGAGTACGGTTGGTTATGGTTTGTTATTTTTCTCTGAAAAACCGAAACGGCCGCATTTGAAACGAGTTTTCACCGAAGCTGGATTTGAGTTAGAGTTATTCCGTGAGTGACCTCTTTTCTCATAAGCTTTCCGTTTTTCTGATAACATTAAAGAATCTTGTTCAATGGTGCTTGCTCAGTCCGCTGTTGTCCCAAAGGCAGTAAAGGGTTTCACTTGTGAAAGATCAAAGAACTGTAATCATGATGGTCGATTTGGCTCAGCCATCGGATCCAACGATTACGGAAGATGAGAAGCTTTAGCAGGTTTATTTTACTGATTTACACAAACTGTGCCGTATTGCTCTTTTAGACTAAATGGTTTTTGACCTCGATTTCGCCAAATACCGAAAAATGGTTTGATTTCGAAATGGGTCTCGGGGTTTTAGTCACTAGTTATCAGTTACCAATGATAAAAGTTGATCAACTGGCAAGGGATTGGATATGTGAAGGTGAGGAAAGGAAGGAGCTACAAAATACCTTATGTTTCTCAACTAAAAGTACAAGAGGTTTTCATTTCTCTTAAGTTTCCTAACTAGGGAAAGGTACGAAATTAAGGTGTCAAATGGTGTCAAAATTAATCAAAAAATTTGACTTTTTTATTTAAATAAAATGGAAATGATTTCAGCCGTGGTGAAGGGAGCTGTTGCAGCTTCCGTGATCGGGGTCAACGTTGCGTATGCCCCAAGTCCGTGCTATGTCAATGGATACAGATGCACGTGTGCTAACAACCAAATTCTGGGCTGCTACGGCTAACCAATTGCAGCTATAGGGAAAGAGTAATTGATTCTGAAGAGCAAATTCGACCTTTTGCACTATGAATTTCAATAAACATTTTATTACGACCCAATTTGCATAAGCCTTAAAATTTGCATATACTATAATAGAGGTAAAGCTTATTGAATTTTTTTGTCGGCCATTGTACAGTTATTTTCAAGGCGTTTTTGCATCTAAAAGAAAAGCCCAAAAATAGTAATGCCGAAAATAGAAAATAGAAGCTAAAAGGGTCTAAATTTTATCTAAATAAAGCTTTGTACAGAAATAGTCGCATTGCCTATTTTCCTCACCAACATTCAAATCTTGGCAACAAACGAGACAAAAAAGCAGCCGTCCTGCCAATTTTCAGATAATATATTGTGGCAACTTTAAGAAAACTTTACAGATTTTTACAGTTTTTACAGTTCCTAGATCTCGCTCATAATCGTGGTTGAGTTATTGTTTATGAATAAAGCTCTTCTGTCTTGTTTTTTGATGATCAATCGCAAAAATTTATTGGTCCCATAAGAAGAGAAAACAAGCTAAAAAACATTAATGGTAGAAGTCAATGCAAATCGGAGTTTGTTTTCTGATTTACACTAACTTTTGATATTAAACTAGGACGGGGGTCACTTGGACTAACTTTTTCTGATTGAACATCAGTTCTTTTCCATTTTCAAAAGCTAAGAAAAAGAAATCCTTCATCAGAGAGTGCTTGCTTTTACATAAAATTTTACAAGCTTCGACATATCCTTGTCATTCGGGTGAAAAAACAATTCAAAGAAAATCGTGCAAGTGCCGGTGATAAAGTGGAAAAGCTTTTCAAATTAGCAATTCAATATCCAGCAGTATCGAGGTGGCGAGTCAGCCGCTCGAGGACGCCATACACCAAAATGTCTGTATCTCTCCAGTCTCTTGCCTCGTAGACAGCCACCAACGCCACCGTCCGTGTCTTTAATAATAAGAAGCCGCTGAATCGAGTTCTCCCGAAAATCATTTCATTGTTGGCACGGATTACAAGGTAGTGAACTTTCTCTAAATCAACTCCGCGCGTAGTCAATTCGGCTGAATCGCTGAATCCCGAGAGCAATGCTTTCAATTCTGCCTTGGTCGCCTTGAAGAGATTCTCTTCCCTAGTTCGCGCCCACACTTCTCCAGAGGGGTAACCAAGAATAGCGGCTCGTTGAATGTAATTGCACGAGTTGGTCAAATGATTGATGTACTTGTCCCAGGTGACCACCGAATTGACCACAACTGGCTTATGTATCTTATTTTCGATCTCTTTCACAATTTTGAGCACTTGATGTTGACCGGCAACATTCACCCGCCCAGGAATCGGTGTATCGATTCGTTTGTATGGAGTTATTTTTAGAAATTTGTTAGGAGTCACAGTTTTCTCCGAATCCGTCGAATTGCCCGAATCTCTTGGTTCTCTAGAGTCAGGTGGATAGTCACCTTTTCCCCCAAACGGCCTCAAAAGCTTCGTCTCGTCTTTTCTGATTTCAGGATCAATGTCACCACCGTGATACCTCTAAGAATGAATTTTAATAACAAAACTTTTATTTGAAATGACCGACCTCGTTAAGCTGAACAACCCTTGAATAGAGATCCTGAATAGACGGTCGCTTCTGTGCATCGAACTCAGCGCAACTGGAAACTCTTGTTTAGCGAATCACTCAATCCTTTTCTGTTCACATTCGGATTCACAACTGAAAAAACACAGCACAAACCTCATAATAATATCCCGCAATTCCACGTCACAGCTTGGTAGCCCGAGTTTTACCACTTCCAGATACATTGCCATGAAAAATTCATAGTCGGTTGTATACTCTCGGAATACTTTTCTGAAAGTGCTTCTTTGCATGATATTAGGTTGATGCAAAAGTCTTTTTCATTTTTTTTCGTCTGCCGTTTCAAGCCAACAAATGCACCAATTAAACTACGGTTGATTTCATTAGAAAAACCAATTATTTTTCTGCAAAATAACATTAAAACGGGTTTAAAAATATTTTATGTCTGGATTTTCTTGAGAGTATGAAGTCGGGTAGTCAAAAAGGGCTAACTCGATGATGCGGTTTAGACACCTTAGCTAAAGAAAACCTATCTTCGTGTCAATAGATAAAAGATAGAGAAAAAAAAGTTTGATATTTCGCCAAAATTTCAGAGAAATTCATTCAGCCAATTTTTCCGTAGAGTTTTTTATAGATTTTTACGAAAAAGGCGTTTTTCACTCTCGAATTTGCTTGAAAGTGAACCGAAATTCATTTAAAAAGATGGAAATTGAACAAAAAAACACTTTTTTTATAGAGCAAACTATAGATTAATTGGTGAATTTGTTACTTTTTAACAGAAGTACGAAAAAAATGAAAAGACTTTTGCATCAACCTAATAGATTTACATAGAATAAATTCAGTTGTTTATGATGAAAGAAAAAGAGGCTCCAGGTAGAATCTGACAAAAAATATTCAATATTCTCAATTATTCTCAATTAAAAATTTAGAATATCTTGTTCCAAAGTCAAAAAGCTAAAAAAAGTTTCCATTAAAGTCTTAAAATTTTCATTTTTTTAAAAAATAAAGAATGGTTGAAATAAAGAATTTTGTTGTTTTGTTTAACTCTAACTTACATGTTGCGAACTTATAAAATTAGCAAAAGAAAAAATTCTACTAATTCAACATTTTTTTCAAATTGAAACAAGATAACGGACTCACTCTCTTTCCACGATCTCCCAAAGAATCAATCCAACAGCGTAGAGATCACTTTTTGGCGATATCTGAACAATATTGTGGATCCAAGAAATTTGTGCTCTCATTTTTTTGATACCTCTGGCATTGGGCCTTCCTGTTTCACGTGGTAGTTAGCGCCACGAAGCAGCTCTGGACTCATGTAGATCGTTGTACCACAAACCGTGGGGATTGTTGATCGAGTCAATTTTCGAACCAATCCAAAATCGGCCACTTTTAGAACAAACTTGTCTGTGACAAGTACACTGGAATCATCTTTTTTGGGTGAATTTGCATAGCTCACTTTTCGGGTTTCAAGTCACGATGAATTATCTTTTCCTCCGCAAGATAGTGTAGCACATCACACAATTGATTTGCCCAACAATAAACCATCTTTGGATTGTAGACAATCGTCGGATCCGTGATGACTAAATCATTGTCATCAGGGTGCTAGTTTTTTGGGACATATTCTCCATTAAAAAGCCCTTTGTTGATATTTGCCCATTTATCCTAGTATTTGGCAACCAATTTCTCGTAAAACCTTAGCCGATTCTTCGGAAACAATAGGTCTCATCGGAAAACGCAAAAGTCTATCGTCTTTTTCGTTTTTCGTCAAAAGTCTCAAAACTCTTTCAAAATCCAGACCATTCCTCAGCGATAGCTTCTCGCAGTATTCCATCTTGATGATGTAATGCCATTTCCCGTTCTTTTTCCCCTTCCCCAATCCATAAAAGTAGACGATATTTGGGTGGTGGAGTTTCTTGAGCGCCTTCCATTCCCTTTCGAATGCCATTTCGTCCTCTTCAACCGTGCTCCTCAAAATCCATTTCGCTGCTATTGGTCTGAAATTGTGTGCGTATCGTTCTTTCGAGAGGCCCCATTCCCGTGGGTGTTATTCTGGCTATTTTCGCCCAGCCACACCATTTAATCTAGGCAATGGTCAAAGAGAGAAACCAAAATATTTAGATCCATTTTGGACTAGGAATTTAAAGTTTTATGGCAATAATTTTCCTAGTAAACGCCCAAATAGTTGTCACAACATCAAAAAATTTATGAAATTCAACTCACGGTCGTTTGTCGATGAGTTGAACAAAGCCGAATGCTCCCCGGCCGATTTCTTCATTTTCTTCGAATTCTTGTATTGCCATCGCTATGGGCGACTGAAAGTCAAGACTTCGGATCTCACTTTTCACCTTTTCTTCACTTTGACCTTTTTGTGGGGAATTAGGCTCAAAAAATCCCCCTTATCTCCCAGCCTATCAACTTTAGACTTCAAAGAAAAGAAAGGAGAACAAAAGAAAATTCTTGGAAGAGCAATGTTTGTTGGTGAAAAGTGTTAGAAAAGACTCTCTTCAAAGCTAAATCGCTGGATTTGCACAATGAAAGAGCTAGAGATCGAGTCTTATAAATTTCTTATCACGACAGTTAGTTTTTTCTTTGTTCTCTCGTAAAAAGGATATTATTTTTGAAGTCCCTGAGAATTTTTGACCAAATTAGTGAAGTTTGAGATCATTTTATGCATATGCTGAATTTTCTGAGGTTAAGTAAGAAGGGCACCCAAATGCTGATACTTGTTTTTGTCTCCATTTTATCTACCGTATTTACTCGAATAGAAGACCGGCCTCGATTATAAGACCGTCTCGAATAGAAGACGGGGTCTAGGGGATGATCGAAAAAATAGAAGACCGTCTCGAATATAAGACCAGTCTTATATTCGAAGTACCCCGTTTCCTATTCTGCGCGAAAGTGGACGTACTCAAATACGGGAAAAGAATAAGGGGAATTTACCCAGTAGGGTAAAAATATTATATTTTCATTCAATAGCACTATTTTTTGGTATCTTTCTACATTTTGTATTTTTTTGGTACTTTTCCAATATACCTCCGCCATCTCCACATTTCCGTTATACCCCCGCCATTTTGACTCTGATTATTTTTAATTATTTAATTATTTGATTATCTGATCATTTTTTATCTAAAAATGGCGGGGTATAACGGAAATGTGGAGTTGGCGGAGGTATAACGGAAAAGTAGCATTTTTTTTAGGTGACGAGAGGTGCTACGAAACGGAAAGCCTACAGTGCCACCTTTAAACTCGAGGCCATTCGTTTTTCAAAGAAAAACTTGAAAGAGGCGGCTGCTCGACAGTTTAATGTGACTCCAAAGATGATTCGAGACTGGACGGCAAAAGAGGAGTCGCTGTTTAATATAGCATGTAAAAAGTGTTCGCATATTTTATGAACCATTCTCAAAGCCGAGACTTCAGAATTGGATTCTCATTTGGAATTTTTCTTTAAACAGTTAAACGGACTTGAGACTTTCAAGGACTGTCTATTGAGAGAACTCTAAAAACTTCATTGAAATATTTAATACGACAAATACTATATATCTTACCTCTGCCATATCAATCTAATTTTTTAGAAAACAAGATTTTGACTTGTGAACAATTTTTTGGGAGATTATTGCATAGCTTCTATAAAACATCGCCATAATTTTGAGACACCCTGTATAGTGGAATAGATATTTCATTATTTCATTTAAAACTCTGTATTTTGATGTCTCGACTAAATAGTACATACAGTCGGCTCTCGGTTTAAGGACGTTTAAGTGACGGAGGAAGAATGAGTTAAACCGAGAGACAGTAATTAAATTATCATGCATACGTTCAGGTTGAAGAATCTAACTAACTATAAACAAATCAACTACCTACCAAAAATGCGGGCTTCTGCTTGAAATGCCCCGATGACGAAGAAGTAGGCACGAATCGAGAAGATCATCAAATTACAACAATCCAAGAGCAAGACTGGTGATCGAAGTAGGAGAGCGATGATCAAAAAAATGCCAAGTGAAGCCTGTCCAACACTATACACATGGAAGGAAGAAAGAGCATCGGTCTCACTTTTGACATTATTTCCTGCAGATGACCAGTTTTAGCGCCTAGGAAGAGGTGATGAACGAATTTCGGAGACGTAAACCAATCAAGCCCTTTGAGTCGGTAGCATTTTGGCCATAAGAATGGTGCCCAAGGCTTTTGTAGGTGCAAACAAATCGGAACAACGGCCAGTCAGTTGATCTCAAAAATGTTTTTGTCTCGTAAAGAGACAGCGAATCATTAATAGGCGAAGAGAAAATGAGAAATGGGTGAAGCTTAGCGGACTGCTCAATTTCGATCAATCGATTTGATCGTGCTGCTCGAGACGGAAACCTCGCTACGGTTGAGCTTTTTCGGAAATGGTCCATTTGATAGGGAATGATGTCGAATCTGCCGATTGACCGATTTCAGGAATCAATTTCAGGAATTCCTTGGGACGACTCGATTGAAGAATGAAGCTTCGAATTTCTGCCGGAACAGTGGTCAACGGAAAGGACATTGAGGCCCTTTGCGAATGGAAATAAATAGCGTTCGAAGCGTTTGCACAGAAACGATAACTCTCCATAGATTCTTTTCTTCTAAAAGATAAATTCCTTTCATTAGTTTCCTTTATTCAATCATTTTCTATCTCATTCGGCAGGTCAATTCATAGAGTCAATTCCGGAATCAATTCAATTAATCCTAATCAGAAACGCCTTTCTACTAGGATTTGAAATTCCACTGCCAATAATTTTAAGGACCCAATTTCAAGTACAAAGTTTTGGATTGATGCCTAAAAACATATTGAATTGTGTTTCAAGCCTCACCTCATGTTCACACTAACGTCAAACCTTTGAATAACGGAAATAAAACGTAAAATCAAAACTCTTTCGTAAAACAAAACATTCATCACAAAATGTAGTTTTCTAAAATGACTTGAATTGTAAAAAAAACTGAATCGTAAAGGTAGACGTAAAAAAGCTGAAAGCGGAAAATTTTGACGATTTTTTGGTTAGATCGATAAAGGAATTTATAAGACTCGATCTCTAGCTCTTTCATTGTGCAAATCTAGCGATTTAGCTTTGAAGAGAGTCTTTTCTAAAGCACCGACAAACATTGCTCTTCCAAGAATTTTTTTTGTCTTCCTTTCTTTTCTTGAAGTCTAAAGTTGAGAAGCTGGGAGATAAGGGGAATTTTTTGAGCCTAATTCCCCACAAAAAGGTCAAAGTGAAGAAAAGGTGAAAACTGGGATCCGAAGTCTTGACTTTCAGTCGCCCATAGCGATGGCAATACAAGAATTCGAAGAAAAGGAAGAAATCGGCCGGGGAGCATTTTTGTGGCCCCGGAACTTCTCAATCTTTTTAGGTAGACCATAAATGTAAGACATTTTCTGAAAGCTCTGATCAAGATCTCTACGATGGCTTTTAAGAATTTTTGAAATACCATTTAGAGTATTCTGCTTACCAAAAAAGTCAACTCAAACCAATTGCTGTAAAATTGTCGACCATTTGCCCGACGGTTTCAACTTCAGAAAGTTTAACTAGCTCAAGAACGGAAGTTGGCTTTACATCATCAGCAATTTTAACGTCAAGCCCAAAGAAAATAGGCATGACTGAAAAATCGACAGTTATCACGACAAATCTATTCACTACAGAAAGCTTTACTGAAACAAAGGAAATTGAATCTACAACAAGACAAAGTACTCTGAAAACAACAACGAAAACTGAATCAACAACAGGACCAGAAACAACAACTACTGGATTAACAACAGAAACCTGGAGAACAACCACATTGTCAACTACGATAGAAGCTACAGAAACAAAGCTAACAACAGCTGAATTGACTGCTACGGAAACAAAGCTAACAACAGCTGAATTGACAACTACGGAAACAACCACGAGATCATCAACAGAGGAATTGACTAATATAGAAATTACAGAAACACCGAAACCCGACACTACAGCAACTACAACCAGGAAATCAACAACGGTGTCAACTACCATAGAAAGTATAAGTGAATTGCCTACCGGAACAGAGCCTTTATTCACAAAAACCTAGTCATTGACAACTTCAACTGAATTTGAGTGCACTGAATCGACAACCATTGAATTTACAATAACTCCACCAGATTTTGGCGCTTCCACAACTACTGGAAATATTGAAAGTACGACGACACTTCCTACAATTCACCCAAATCTTGGAAAAGTTTGACCACAGAAAAATCGAAGCCTGAGCTTTTTGCACACAAAATGTTCAAGCCGATATCATCTTCATGACCGATGGCACTTTCTCATTAAGCGAAAAAATTTTGGTAACAAGTACGTTTTAAAACACAAACCTTATTGTTCCAGATTTCTGACACAATCTCTAACTTTTATGCAAATCTCTCAACTTCGATGATGATTGTCAATGCGTCCGTTTATTACAGTGATAAAACTCTTTGGAAAAGCTGGAAAACCATGGTGACTGGTAGGTTGAAGAATTTTGAGATTGATAGAATTGTATAGGAATGGTTTATTCCAAAGACACCTACAAAGGAATGACTCCAAACTTTTGTCAGGATCAGCTTCCGAATTTGGTTCAGACAGTTGAATCGATTGATTTGATAAGCACCGCATTCGATGTGATATCGATGTCAAAGTACATAAGTTGCCCATTGTAACGAGGCAAGATTACTATAGCTTTAAATAGTTAGCTGCATTGTTTGAGCGGAGCATGCTTTCATTATCATTCTCGACTTACCTTATAATGGTACTTTTTTATTTTTACAGCAAAAATGCCAAGTATTAGTTTATTTTTTGCCAATGACTGCGCAACAGACAGATGGACGGACAGAACTCCCTTCTGTTTTATGTATACTAGATTGCGTTTGATTTTATTGACTTGACTGAACAGAAGATTTGACTTATTCCAATCCTTACCCAAAAACAGGTACGACGATCCCCCGTTTGCTTTCTTCAACCACACCCAGTTGTTCACTTTTCAGCATTACTATCTCCCTTACAATTTCAGGGTTTCGAAGGTAAGCATACTATTCTTTTAATTTAAAAATCAAAATCTTTAAATCTTTAGAGTACGACACATCGAATGTGGCAAGAAATGAAAGAGATCGAACTTCCAAAAACACCGAACCATGATCGAAAAGAGCTCGTGAATGCTTTATGGAAAATGTTGTGCAAGTAAGTTATTAGCATTTGATTGTATTCAACTGAACAAATCGCTTTATAATTGTTAGTGCTGAAAAGTTTAGTTGTTTTGTAATCAAAATCTATGCAACTTTTAATCTTTCTAAATTTTCAGTGCCACAAACGCTCCCGGGATCTTGCCTGAACCACCGGACGACTGGAATTCTAGGATGCTTAATTCATTGAGTTTCAATGCAAATAAATTTATTTTCGCAAAAAATCATTTTGAAATAAATCAGTACACGCTTTTTGAGTTTACGGAGCTGAAAACGGCTGAAGTGTATTCGCTTTGCGCCGGTTGATTGGAGCTTTCTTTTGTTTTGGAGAAAGTTAAAGGCTTGGGAAGTTTGACCGTTTCCAATTTTAAGCAATTAGGCAGCCATCTCTCGGATAGGTTGAAGAGAATTACCGTGAAACTGAAATTGATTTGAATTTGATCAAGATCTCCTTTTTTTAGTCGGTTTACTCACGGAATTCCAATACTGATGACAAAAGCCGGGAGATTCTGCGTGAAGAAATTTCCAAAACGAGCCACCCGATAACGATAAGCGTTTGAATTGTAGTCGAACAATGAATGGCAAATCCACGAGAATCCTAGCAAAAGGTGGCAAGTGATGATCTGGATATAAACGGTTTCTTTTATCAATATAAGCCAAAACCTTTTGCTGGAGTAGCACATCTTTTGCCTTTTGAGTGAAAGAAAAATTTTTCAAGGACTTGATTTTGGAGAGCGTTAGAATCTCGACAACTGCTATGCAGACACACAAGACGGATGTTGCTTTGTCGAAAGCTGAAAGTACTCTTGATTTGAGCCTTTCTATTGGGTTGGGGAGAATGAAATAGCGCCGAAAATCAAAGAAATTTCTAAAACTTCTAGCAGACTTCGTCAAATGATACACGTTTGATGTCAGTAGAAAGGTTAGCTAATTCTCTACGAAATGCCATTTAAAAGAGAACTCAAACATTATTTACACAAATCAGCACAAAAAAGGCCATTTTTCTCACAAAATCTATAAGCTGCCATCTAGAGAAAACGGTTGGATGGATCTTCCTGAAAATTTGGCAACTTATGTAATTGAATGTGCTCTATCTTTTTTATGTAGACACCAAAGGTGGTTTATGTGGAAGAAGCTGTTCAAACGATGAGTCGGAGACTGCCATTTTGACTAGCTGTGTTTGGGAGTCCATGAACCCCACGAAAGAAAAGCTTTGTGGCATCTCTCAAATATCATTTTGTAAAGAAATAGTGGACCCTTTTGATAAAGTAAATGTGTCTTTCAAGAAGGCTTAATGAGTGCAAAAAGTGTCTTTAAAGTTTGGCGCCATTTCATTTTCTTCAACCCAATAAAAGATGCACCTAGTAAGAAGCTACCGTAACCTGGTTGTCTCAAAAATTTATACCAGCTCTGGGCGTTAGAACTTTAGGGTTACGGTGGTTAAAATAAAATTTACCTTTATCGTTTCGTCAAATAAAGAACACTGAGATTACGGTAGTTTTAAGGCAGCTTTTAGAAAGCTCTTTTGAGCAGATTTTAACTAACTATTATTAGGTTGGCAAGTTATAAACGATCGTTTTTTGGTAATGTGTTTTCTGAAAAAACGGCTTATCCAATCAAAAAACGGTTTGCTTGATTCAAAAGCTCTATCCTTAATCTACAAAATGGCTTTTTTGAATTTTTGAAAAATGTTTTATTTTATTTTTATCTTATTTAAGAATTTTTTAATGCATTTGAATTCAAAAATCCAGGTTTTTGGTTTCTAGCATTCATGAGTTAATATATTTTTGAGTGATTGCCTACTTTTTAAAATAAAACGCTTCATCGATTACATAGTTTCCCAAACTTTCAGAACCGTTTTTTTGATTGGATAAGCCGTTTTTTCAGAAAACACATTACCAAAAAACGATTGTTTATAACTTGCCAACCTAATAGACTGTTGATCTTTTTAAAAGACTTCAATTCATTCAAAGCCTTCAAATCCACCAACCATGCAGTGCCCAGTACGGATACCAAACATTTGCCCAATAGTCAGCAATCACATAGGTGATCGGATGAAAGTAGTATCCATAGTACCCAAAGCGATTTCCGTAATCAGAAAGTCCTGAATTTATTTGAATTTTACATCAGTTATTCAAGTTTTGCCACCTGTATTGATTTGAGTTACATACAAAGCGGGTCCAAGAAGATAGGCAAGCAAGATCCAAGGCCCGGTCGCAATGTTAACCCAAGTCAAGAGTTTTCCATTGAAGTGAAAAGCAAAGAATCTAAATGTTTAGTGTTATGGCTTTAGAACTTTCAATAACCTGTTCATTCCCATTCCAAAGCTGATCAGATGATATGTGTAAGGCAGTCCGAGTCCGATCGCGATCACGATTTGATTCACCATAAACCAGCAATAGGGGTAGTTTTCGGTGTTCATACAGTGAAATCTGAAAGTGTTTTGCTAAATCTGGAATTCTTTTGTTCTATTTAGTTGCAGGGAAGGGTTGCAAACATTTATTTAAGACATTAGTTTGTAAAACTACCCCATTTTTACTTCTATTTTCTACTCGATCAATGATTAATGAAGGAATTGTGTTTCAAATTCGATTGTTGAAACCGTTTGTTGACATTTTGTTCTCGTAAATAGCGATTCTTTTTATTTGTCAGATTATAGTAATTTTACCTTTATAAGGCGATTTTTCGTCATTTTTCTTCTCTTCAAAATCATTTTCTACTACCGAACCTGTTTTGGTAAAGTTTTCGTTTGTTTTGAACATTTTCAAATCACATTCGGATCAAGTTTGAAACAAAGAACACAATTTTGGCATCAATAGCCGCAGGAAAAAACTTTACTTTTACTAACCGTTCCTTTTAGTTCACTAACCTATTATATGTTTCCGACGGCCGTACATCCTCTCGCATCACAAACGTGTACACGCATTCCGCTTGATAAAAGAGTTGTCCATTTTTGAATAACGAAATGAGACCGCCAGCAAATAAATAGACTTTCAGTGCTCCCGGTATTTCTTCAGATCGAAGTATGACATAGAGGGATCGAAGTGTAAGCAACAGTCCGATAAGACCAAACTAAGGAAGCGATTAGTTTGGTCTATGGAAGAGAACTTACAAAGCACATTGCTGAAGCGTATAAAGTTGGGACCCAATAATACATGGTGCGAATGTTGGAGATTGGTAGGCCATCCCAGCCGTACCTGAATAGGGTAAGGTTCCCTGACAATGAGAAATTCACAAAGATAAAGTGTAGTTGGATCTAAGTAATCTAGACTTGCCTTTTCCAAGGTCTACTAATCGATACTTTATCATTCAATATTTGATAAGAAATGACTAGGCTAAAGCTCATAATAGGCTCACAATTATATCAAGCACTTTGTTCACAATGGCAATTTACAATTATTTTGTCCGACTAAATTAAAACTGCTCTAAAATCCCATTGCCATTTCAATTAAGCATATTAAGGTTAAACCCCTGGTCAGCTATACTTTAGAATAGTTTAGAATGGGCACAAGCATCCAAGTATTGGGTCAGTGGGTATGAAATGTTGCTATTTTTTCGATTGATTCCTAAACTCGTAAACAAAACGGAGGTGGGGGCTGTTGCGTGAAACTGATAAAGTCCGGAACACTTTTCCAAAAACAATGAAACGGACTTCCTCATTTTCTGTTATTTCGCAATTTTGGCAACCTTTGCTGTGGCTATTGATAATTTGCCACCTGGAGATCTGTTTTTTAAATAACAGAATAGTTTACTGGGACATAGAATTTGTCAAAAAATCTGGGAAAATAAAGAGAAAAAATGCTCAAGTCGGTCACATTGTTCTCTCGTTCTTTACGCCCAAGATATGAATTATTGGGTTGGTGGGTATGACTTCGCACGTTTTTTTTCAAATTAAATCCCAGAAGTGTAAACAAACACAAGGGAGAGGGATTTGTGGAAAATAGGTAAGTGAACATTCACCCTTGCGGAAACAAGGAACTTCACTTTCGACATAGGAGCTACAGCCTTTGCTTTTTAGAATTTTACTTTACTTTATTCTAACTATTGAAAATCTACCACTTGAAGATCTGCGGCACGTTATGTTGTACGAATTTCTCAAGGGCAAGGACCCTAGTGTTCAGCTAATATTAAAAATGTTTATGGGAAAGAATAAGCCGTTTTTTAGTCTTTGTCAGCAAAATGGGCCCAAGTCATCCAAAACAATGGAGAATATTCACCAGCCCAATACATTTGCATAGACTGAATGAGTACACACTTATTTTCACGAACAACAAAGCGTAAACGAAGATCTGTTTTGCTTACCACCAAGAGCAATCATAGTAATATTGATCGGTGAAGACGACTGTCGTATCCGGGTATTCACATTTTCCATCGGCACGAATTGCGTATGAATCGTTTGGTGGTGGAGTATGGTCCTTCGTCATCGTTTGAATCAAAACATGAAACGTGTAAGGTGCTTCTAGATTTTTCTGAGCGAAAGACACGGTAATAACCTTTTCCTTTTTACAAATTATGGGCTCTAACTCGAAGCTGTGCCCTTTCAAGAGCAATTATAATTTGAGTTGTTTGCTTGGGCTAAATGGCACAAATTATTTTTGAAAAAGAGTGCTATTAGCTGGTACTGTACATTTTTTGACATTTCGGAATCGAAATTGCTTCCAATTAACATAATAAAGGGTTAGGATTTTTGAATGAAAGCTACTTTATCGACAGAATGATGAATTTTGTAAAGTTTACTGGGAAAAATGATTTGTTTTCTCTAAAAGTTTAAAATCGAAAACGAAAAATAAGGTAAAAAATCGAAAATTGTAACCTTTTCGACTAATAATAGTGTCGAAAAGTTTGTCACCAAAAACAAAATTTTTGTAGGTCAAAGTTTGAATGGAGAAAACAACATGTAGAATGATGCAGGAAACAATTCATTTATGCTGTCATGACATTGGTTTAAAATAGGACCTTCAGTTCAGAATAGAGATCACAATAGATTCAACAGTTACCAGAAGATCCCACCAAGACTTTTCCATACTACTTTACAAATACTACTTCGTTTAGAATATTTTTGATTTAATTCAAGCTCCCATTATACCCAAGTAGTTCAATATGGCTGCTGTTTAGGTCAAAAACCTAGAGTAAGACCTGGAACTGGCTTCTGGTAGGATTCTGGCTTAATCTGACGTGGTTTAGAGGTCTTAAGACCTGATTGTTGATTTCTCACACTACAATATTCCTACTCTGACTAGAGTAGCATGACGAATGTGACTACTGGAACTCCAATTAGTGAAAGTACCAAAATAGTTTATTTTATCGAAATGATATAAAGTTTAAGCACAATATCAAAATTTATTTCGTTTTTCGTGATGAAAAAGTGGTTGAGCTTGCTTGGGTTGTTTGAGTGACTGTGAGAAGTCGTTGCTTTGGTCTCGGTTTTGAAATCGCTCTGCTGAGTCGTTTCATTGGCTCATTGAAAATGCAAACCATTAATCTAAAAGTTTTCAGCTTGCTTAGGGATTATTTAATTGCTTTTAGTTTCGTTTTATGGTCAGTTACTTACGGAGCCAAAATGCCAATGATCCATCCAGGAGCATTTTCCAAGATAAAGAGGCTCATTTTAGCATGTTGATATGTGGCTTTATAGAAAAAGGTTGAATAAAAGCTGTCGACAATCCAGGCAAAGAGGAGAACGAAATGAATGATTAATATCTGGAAGAAGATGCTACATTAAGATTTTAAACTCTAGTTGCCTAGTGAGACTATGGTTGCTTGATACTCAACTTTCGAAATCAAATTTGTTCTTCAATAATCCCATTAAGGAGTTGAGTTTCATTCTTGTCAGTTATCAATTACGAAATAAGCAATTTGAGTTTTACGAGCTTTCGTCGAAATCGTCGGGGACATAATTATGGAATATTTTTTGGGGTATCAAAATACGATATAACCAGTTGCAACTTAAGATTTATAGATGACTTTGGCCAATTGTTTTGATGAAGTTAACAGTGTAAATGGAAGCCTACCTGATATTGCAGCTTAAGATTTGCACGTCTCGTTATGGCATTGGTGATTTTCTAAAGTTTATTCATTTTGTAAAAGCTTGAGCTTTGTACCAATTTCTGTATCTTCAAATAAGTCAATGCTTGCACGACGAAAAACACGAGATCAACGACAGCCGAGCAGCGGTTCATTACTGAAATTGCTTATGTCAAAAGATCAAAAGCATACCATTGCATATTCTTTAGTAAAAATTGAAGTGCCAAAGCAAGATTCTGAGCTTTTCGAGTACTCACATGGCGCCACTTTGAAGGCCCATTTCACCTCGTCGAGTTGCCAGTGTTCTCGAACCGCAAAACTTATCGGATGATAATAAAAACCGGTGATTACATGGGTCCTCGTTTTTCCGACTCCATTGTAAATAAATGCTAAATCCTATATTAGATTGCTAATCATTTTTCAATACCATTTCCCGTAAGCATGACAAAGGGCAGAGCTGCAAGTGTCAAGGCGAACACTGCTTGCATGCTCACCACTGAGCCAATGTGGAGATAGAATTGACCATCGAAGTAGACAGAAAGGAATCTGAGAATATAAGAAGATAAGTTTTAGAAAAAAACTTAGATTTTGATAGCCAAGATTCAATTAATTTTCTTAATTCACTAGACCGGAGTAAGAAGCCATTACATCAAGTCTTAACATATCCAGTTGATTAGCTCAAGGATTGATCCAAAGGAAATTTTCCGGGCCAGATCAGGTCAAGCAAGGACAGCTCAACCTAGCTTTTGGCTTTACTTCTGACATGGCCTGGCTTTGCTACAAGCCTGGTCTGGCAAGCTTGCCCACAAAAGTCTCTGTATCCGTCAGAAGTCAGGTTAGAGCTGGTCTAACCTGACTTACAAAGCTTGGGTAGAACCTCTCGATCAGCTCTAGTTGCATGTGTTGCTGCCCCAGATGAATGGGCAAGCTAGTTATTACCTGCTTGTGATATTTTTGTGCCTCTTCCGGATTCCTAAAGTTTATCTCACCTATTCATAGAAAACACCCAGTGCAACAATCGATAACTTGTCACTGCAGCCAAAGCATAGGCAGAGATCATTTGGTTTAGAAAAAAGCCGCACACCGGATAACCGTCAGTATTCAAACAGAAAAACCTGAACTAATAAAGATATTTCCCTAAAATTTCCAAACCTTGTAAATGTTGGCCGACTAGCCTTTTTGTTGAATGTCATCGAGCATAATAATTGGAAGAACATTTGAAATCCTTTGAAAATTGATAGAAAGGCACCGGCAAAGAGAAAAATTTTGGATGGAATCATGAGCGCTCGGTTTTTCTTGACCAAATAGACGCTCATTAAGGAAATGACGAAAATGATCGCTGAAGCCTGGAAGAGGAAACGATGAGACATGTTTATGTATACGATTTGGATATACCTTTTGTCTCCAAAAACTATTCTTATTTTCATCGAAATGCACTACAATTGATTGAAAATCTTCAACTACTACTTTTCGAATGTGCAATCTTGTCCTTTCAGAGAAATTTTCGATAGACCAAGGGCTACGGTCAGATCATTTCGATTAGGATTATTTTAAAGATCATTTTTCGGATTAGTTCACGCAAAGCCAGGGCTAGGAAAGCCAATTCCAGTATGGTATTGTCTTTTCAGCAGGCTTGAGATTGAGACATCTCTGATTTCGACTAGTTTACACAGTAGCTGAATCTAACAATTGTCTACATTTATGCCTATATATAACAAGTATATTATAACCCTATCTACAGAGTTATCATGGCCTGTAACTAGTTGATCACCTACCAATGCCATTATCAGCATGTATATACTCGGTTTATACCCATGAAGAGTCCGTGAATTCACTATGCTGACTCCATATTCGTTATAGCTAAAAATTTGTACACTTTCCGTAAACAAAAGCTTACTATAATATGCAATCATAGTAAAAGTTGCGGTCCAAATATTGATCCGGTGGATAGATGCAGGTGCCATTTGATAGAAGCTTGTATTTGGTCATGTTAGCAACTGATATGAATCAAATCTCTAAACAACTTTTCATTCAGCTCAAACTTTCCCAGTGGCATTTGCGAGAAGCAAAAGGCTAGCCTCACATCCTATATTCAAAGTAATTAGCGGTCTGAAAGGAAAAAAAAACATTTTGGACTCAACTAAATCTATTTTCTTTCATGATTTATGGGTGGTTCCTGTTGAGAAAAAAATTGGGAAACCTTGCGGTACAAATAAGATTTTTTTACAAAGTTTAGCGGAAAAAGGTTTCTATTTTTGCATGTAGTTAAAAAATTTGTGAAAAGTTCAAACTCTTGGCATCTTGTACCCGGCCACTGAAGTTTCGGGTACATGTTAAAAAGTGAAGCCCATTTTGTGAGATAATAAACTCACAAAAAAAAGCACTACTCGACACCTCACCACCTTGTAGCTATTAACTAAAAAAATCAAGCCTTGATTTAAAACCGGATGAAATTCCATAGCGGGCCCAACATATAAAATTAGCCTCCTTTCGTAGCTCCCACTTTGCAGCTCCTTCCGTAGCTCCTTTGCAGCTCCTTTCGTAGCTTCTACCTTCCTGGATGCATTATTAATTTACCTAAGCTATGGGTTCACACCTTAATATCGCCTGATGGCAAAGGGATCTTCGAACTACAGCACCCCGGAACGCGTCGGTTTTTTGTGTATGTAACGCCTCTCAATGTTGACCGTTAGGCCAACGTAGATAGGCAGCGCCCACAAAAGCCAAACAACGCGCAACCTTTCGACTTTAGCAGATGACGCAAATACGTTGCTTACTGATTTTGCTAGATCCAACACTATACCTAGTTAGTCGATTAAGGGAAAAAAACTTGGTCACCTATTGTTGCGATCGCCTATTGTCTGAGAATCGAAGCGCAGCGCCGTGGGGGCTGTGTCGCACTCATCTGAAAGGGGCTGTGTCGCACTCATCTGAAAGCGGGCTGTATCGATCGGTTAAAGTAAGGGCTATCAAAAGACATTAGATATTTATTTACTTGCCAAGTATGTTTATTGTCTTTTGAGTCACCGTACAAGTTGCAGGTAGATAATTTTTTTACACAAGTGGTAGACATGGGAAAATTCCAACCCTAATTCTAACTTCATTTTCTGGATCGATTGTTCTGAAATTTTGTCTACAGATAGAAATCGACACTTTCAACTTGTAGACAAAATTACAGAGCAATCGGCCAAGAAACAGCCGAGAAAACGAAGGTGGAATTAGGTTCGGGTTGGAATTTTCCCATGTCTGATAAGTGGCTTCTTAATAGTTGTAGCTGATAAAGTTTAATCTTTGGGTTTTTTATACGAAATGTCATTCAAGGATCAGTGAGGCTAACATTAACGCGGCTTGTCAGATTTGCAAGAAGGAAGTGCCCTTTTTACTTAAACACCTTACTCTGCATCCTCCAAAGGTGGGTTTTATTGAAATGTTCTAATTATATATGTTTCTCAGGTTGTTCCATATGCTTGCCAAGTCAAATGTTGTAAATATCGAAGTACTCAACGAACGGTTCTCTTCAATCACTAGATGCAGGTTGGACTTATCATTCTCAGTCATCAACCGCAAACTTTAGCACCACGCCAACTCCATGTATTTATGGTGTCCGTTCTGTGCATACACTGACTTGCTTTCACGATCTCAACTTCGGACTAAAGATGTCATCACTTGTAAAAACTGTCGATCGTATGGCAGAACAGGTACGGTGAAACTTAATGGTGAAGTTTAACCGTTTTCTTTTGGCAACATATCGTTGCTCCGATTAAGCTTATGCTTTTTGAGTCGCGGCGACAAGACACTGTGCTAGTGATCACAAAATAAACGTCTCCCCCTAAATGAACCATCAAGCAATTGGTAAACTTTATAATATTTCTAGTTGTTAAAATTTCTTTTAGCCTGCAAACACGTTCCGACAACGAAAAATTGGGCCAATTTGCGCGAAGGTAGAAAACATGTCGCCAGGATTTGTTTCATTTACTTTTTAAGGGTACTGCCAATTGTGATGCGTGCATTGTTAACGGATATTCAGTGACGCGATGTGCTAAATGTAAAATCGTCGCTTCTGAAGAATCGATTTTTGGAACTTGAAAAAGTTGGTTTGCAAAGATATTGTCCTGCATCTTTCAAAATTTAGCTTTCCAAAGAAAACCCCTGTACGTTACATCGTCACTAATGGACGGTGTTGAACTTTTTAAAAATATCATTGAATTAATTCAGTTATTTAAACGAATGTGAGTGTGGTAGTGCAACGAGAGATGGAAATTTGATGGCCTCACATTGTTTGAAAGTCTGTAATTCTCTGGGTTTAACGGAAATAAAGATGAATCAGTGAATTTTTCCGTTTTAACCGTAACATCTTGAGAATTTAACTCTAAATAAAGATATACTCGAGAAGATATTTTTGAAGCAAAAATTTTGCCGTCATTCATCCTGAGGTTTGTTCTTGAGTTGATCAAAGTTGTACAAATCACATTCAGCCTTCTCTGCCTCAAATGACTAGGGTGGAAAACGATTTGGAAGCTTTTCATAGGGTTCGAGACAAATTTGCGGAAATCGACTGGTTTAGAACCATTTTTGGCGTAAGTTAGAACTAAATTTAGAATTTACAAGCGATTTTTGGTGTAAGTTTTTGAAATTTTGGGCACAAATTATTATGGTTTTTAGGAGAGCACAATTTAATGACGTTCACCGAAGCTTCCGTCAGTTTTGACAAATACTTTAAATCGAAATAATGAGTGAGTAACGTTTTTGCTTTCTACATTTTATTGGGTTGAGGAAAATGGATTGAGTTGAGGGTTTTTATTGGGTTCTTTTCGGTCCTTTTCGTACTTCCGTTTAAAACCAAAAAATACTCCAATTAACCTATGGTTTGCTCTAAATAAAAAGTGTTTTTCGTTCAATTTCCATCTTTTTAAGTTAATTTGGGTTCACTTACAAGCAAATTCGAGAGTGAAAAAATGTATGTTTCGTAAAAATTTGTAAAAACCTCTATGAAGAAATTGGCTGAATAAATTTCGCTGAAAATTTGGCTATATACCTAACTTTTTGTGTTCTATCTTTTATCTATTGACACAAAAATTGGTTTCCTTAGCTAAAGTTTCTAAACCGCATTATCAAGCCGTCGCCCTTTTTGACTACCCGAATTCACGCTCCGAAAATAATCCAGACATAACACATTTAAAACCCGTTTTAATGTTATTTTGCAGAAAATTAATTGGCCTTTCTACTGAAACAAATCGTAGTTCAATTGGTGCATTTGTTGGTTTAAAACGGGAGTATGAAAAGGAACGAAAAGACTTATGCCTCAACCCAATAAATTGGTTGTGTTAACTAAAAACACAGGTACATTCAGCCGCTAGAAAACTTAGGTAAAATTTTAGCCTTCTTTGCTTCCTAAATTTTAATCTAAAATTTCGGTAAAATTGTATATTTTATGTGTGGTAATTGTTGTCTCTTCTATTGAGATTGTCTTTGTACTTTATTTAGGGTCAAAGCTAAATGTTTATAAATAAATTATTTTATTTTCATGAAGACAAATAGAAAACGTAAAGAAGTCCCACTTATACATTCCAGAATCCACACATGCCAGAGTTCATCAAGAAATGCGCGAATCTTGCAATTCAGTGTGCAGTGATATTCGATCAGTTAGAGCACTTAGTAGTATGTTGTCCATGTCTGGGATCCTGGCTCCAAGCTTTATTTTGGTTGCGATCTTACTGTAACTTCTCCCCCTCCCCTTCCCTAGAAAGCTCTCTTTTATCTCCAATTGAATAATTGAATGGTCACTCTGATCAATCAGAATAAACAAGTTTTATTCTGTACACGAGTTTCACAAAAAAAGATACTTTTACAGAAATGTACACGAAAGCCGTTATTTTTTTCAGCTACCCGTTAGGTAGTCAACGGTTTGGGAAAAGTTACAAGTAAAATGCGAATGACCAGAAATTAATCAGAAATATCAGGCGACACTTTGCCTCTTTCATAGGATTTCGATCGATCAACGGAAAATGACTGTTGTGGAAGAGTGGAATCGTTCAATGTGTCGTACTCGGAATTCTTACGTCGTTGTCGATTCAAACGACACGACATTTCGATGGCAAGGTCTCGGCGCTGAAATTTTCAATGTTTATCCCGAACTTTTGATTGTTTCCCACTTAGACTTGGTTATCAACGTGACGATAAGCAAATGCCTATTTGGCAAACGTGGTTATGACATAAGCACAAAACAAATTTTAGCATTGAATAGGTTCAATCCAATCACTCAATACCAAAGTCATTGAATAATTTTCCGCCTTGTCTTAAAATCAAGTCTCAGTTAAATTTAGACGGTTCCTAGACGAAACGCTTGTAATGTAAATTTCCTCAATCGATCTGTTGATAAACAAGTCAAATTATACATGTCTATGAAAAAAATTCTATGAGAAAACGGATTTCTGTTAGATTGGATTTCAAACGGGAAGATGAAAAAAAAATTGTCTAGCGCTTCAAACCTTATCAAAATTTGACTCAAAAATGATGAACCAGTAGAAATTTCTATATTTTTGCTAGTTTATCACATTGAGTCACTATTCTATTCCAAAAGAACCCAGAAAAACTAGCAAATCGCATGCAAAATCTCAAAAAAATTCACTTTAATAGACTTCTCTTTTGACAGTGATTTGACGCATGAAAACACGCTGGAGAAAAGGTGTCAGTTTGATGTGAGAAATGGGAAATTACCTTGTCGATCTCTCGTCTACAATAGAATGTATCCTTGATTGATTCGCGGAAACGAGCCGAGAGAAAAGCGTAGAGAAATGGATTGATTGCTGAGTTGAGAAAGAGAAGAAGAAAAGTGATCGGCTGGGCCAAATTGAACCAGCAACCAAGGCAACGGGGCTCTGAATTTGCGATGGTTTTTCAGATTTCGTTTAACCCATTGGATCAAAAGTGAAAACAAACACAACTTCTCTGGTATATTTAACTTTTTATTTAATTATTTTAACTCTCCTTTAATCTCAATAGAACTTTTTAGCAACTACATTAGTATTACAGTAATAGTACTTACAGATTACCAAGCTGGAATAGATTACTTGAGCTAAAGTACTGTAAAATCTTGCCATTCTGACTCATTACAGTTACTCATTACAGTAACTAGAATAAAATTAGCTGAATATTTCTTTCTATCATTTGTCTTGTCAGTCAAACACTTTTTTTCCTTGACACTAGTTCTCCGATTTAAAAGTTTAAGGTTTTTGCTTGGTTTTCCTAATATCATTCGTAACACAAACCATTTCTATCCCTGAATGTCGTCCAAATGAGATAAGCATATCTCGGGAGTGAGAGGAGGGCAAATGAGAGCACAATTCCAAACGCCAACCGTCCAACCCTCCTCCTCTTCTCCACTGTCACCGTACTTCCACTTCTCCAATCTAAAAATTAGTATTTAACTTTGGCAAGAGTCTAAAATTGTTATTCTTAGCTTTTGATTAGTGTTTGGATATTGACTACACCGAATCGGGAAAATTTTAGCCAAAAATGACAACGAGATGGGGCGAGTTACCTCGAGTCCGGAATTCCTCTTGACCTTCTTGGGGAATTTGTGGAAGAACTTAGAAAGGATGATTAGTGGATTAGATAGAAATACGAATGAACTGGAAAGTTTCAAATATTTACCGGCTTTCGTATTCTCTGGGATCAGCTTGTTATTCTGGGGACAGGTCTCGGCGCGGCGAATCACCGCGAAAATCGTTGCATAAATGATGAGCAGAGTAATGAGCGGTATTGCATACCTGAAATGTGATTACCTACTTGGCTTTTATAAGATCATCCAATGCTTGTATTGATTTTCTATAAATTTGAAAAACAAAAAAACTATGATGTTCATAGAGCCTGTAAGCCAGGCAAGATTGTTCTGAAAATTTGGCTATAAACCTAACTTTTTGCGCTCTTTCTTTTTTCTATTGACACCAAAATTGGTTTCTTTTGATAAAGTGTCTAAAGCGCGTAATCGAGTCGTTGTTCTTTATGACTACCCGAGTTCGCATCTCCGAACAAAAGTCCAGAAACAAAATATTTCAAGGTTTCAACGATCTTTATAGAAAAATATTAGGCCTTTCTAATAAAGCAAACCCTAGGTCAAAAGGGAAATTATTTAGTTCTAAATACCTTTTTAAATGGAAGGTCTAAAGACAACCTAATAGTTAGCAACAAACCATGGGCTCATTTTTCTGTTACCTAGGAGAATCTGTTCTCTCCACCCAGCTACAAAATTAGTGCTACATGTAAGTTTAGATTCAATTTCGTTATAACTCTTGTGCTTTGTTGTATATTTCACCTTTATCATCTCTACTTTAAACTCACCAAAAAATAAAATTGATTGTGGTGACCGTTTTGACGACATTGAAGCCATAGATCTCGAGGCCGAGATTCCTTGTGCAAGACTGAAATAAGATTAAAATTCTTGCAATTTTCTCGGATTTCAGTGTTTACTTAGAGGCTGTCTATTTAGAGATATTGAGGTCAAAGAATGGAAAAAGTTTCCTCATTCCCACTTCTCATTCCGTGAATGAACATCTTTTAGCACAAAAAATTGGGTAACTCTGTCTAAAGTCTAGAATTTCACAATGATTTCAGAATTTTTCAGGCACGAACGTGGTTAGATCAATATTTTTTCTTGAAACGCTTCTAATCTTTCAGGAGAAGCGTGAGAATATTCGATTGGTCATGTGGAAGAGGGCAAATAAGAAGACAAAATGATTGGACTTTAGTGTTGGGAAATGGGGAAGGGGAGAAAAGAAAGATATTCATGAAGAGACTAACCAAAAGCTATGGTTAAATGCCTATATATAGACACAATTTCAAAACTATCTGCCAGAATAACGAAGATGGAATTTTCCATGTTTAGTATATGGCTACATTTCAAAGAATAAGTTAAACACTACAAATCTCCAAGGGTCGATTAAAACTGGACTTACTCTATCTAACTCTTATCAAATCCAAAGCTTTGGCAAAATTTTAACAAGAGCTTTTAAAACAGTTACGGGTAAAAGCAAGGGCTTTGGAATTGACGGGTATTATTCTAAAATCGTTTTCTCAATCTTAAATGATGCTTTTCAACGAACGATCGATCATTGACAAAGCCTTTCCCCATCAATTTGTCAAAAAGATAAAGAGAAAAGTAAGTTTGAGAACAAATGGAGATGACATAATGGTGGTTTGGTCAAGTGGCAAACAAAAACACTCAAAGATTGAGTGGGCAAAAAATTGTTATTTGAAATTTTCAGGTTTGGTTCTTTATCTTCCACGTTTGAATCTTTATCTAACAATCTAGCGGTAAAAATTTCACTTACCGATAAAATTTGCCCGTTCGTGAAATCGGTGAATTCCAATAGTCTCGCCGTGAAGAAATACGGGAAATTCATGATCGCTGAGGTTAACTGAAAAATTGAATTTTATTGAATTTCCCTGAATTTTGATAAATTTTATTTTTAGTTTCCCAGATTTTAACATAGATCATGCGGTTTTTTGGTTGACGTTCATCAACTCCTAGTGTAATCTAGCTCGTGGGAATGTCACGACAAAGAAAACAAAAATCATGTGTTCGTACTTTGAGATGTGAAAAAAACTCAAAATCTAGACTGATTTCTGAAATTAGACTTGACACGATTCACGTATAATCGTTTTTAGCCACAAGAAAGGTTTCTGATCGACCCTAAACCTGTAAGCCAGATCAGGCAGGGCCAGGCCAAAGCTCGAACAGAAGTTAGGTTCCAGCGTGGTTCAGGTCTGGTTTCTGTGGACCTGTGGACTTTCTGTGGACATTTTGTGAACAGGTCTGCTGAAAGCAGGCCCGTCGAGGTGCAGCAAAAGCGCCAAATTATGTGCGCCATGTATCATTTGCTGCATTTTGCGCCACGTATCATTTGCGCTAAATTTGCAATTTTCAACACACCTTCCTATTAACTCTGATTGTTTATTTTTATTTTTTACTACTTTTTCTCGATGCTCGCTATTTTGACGCCTTCGCCGGATGGCATAAAATCAATATAAAGAGCAAAAAGGCCAATTGGTGACACAGAAATGACTGTTTTTTGGGCCGTATATGTGCTTAAACGTGTTTTCTAGTTGAAAACAGTGTGATTTAAAATTGTGAAGCAGAAAACCGAAAAAAGTTGGTTAGAAGTTGGAGGAAAGTGATTAGTTACGGTGATTTTCATAAGTGTAAATTTGGGGCAAATGATACGCGGCGCAAAAATTTTTGGCGCAAATGAAACGTGGTGCAAATGAAATTGGCGCGAAAAACCGGGGCTTTTGTTAGCAGTCAGGCCAGTCAGGCCTAGGCACTTACCCCGGCCTTGCCAGGATAAGTGCACTGTCTCAGCACTGCCAAGAACCTTTAGAACACTTTCAAATTTAAGCACAAAGTCTCAATCTAGTAAAGTCAATAAAAGTTTTTTTGATAATATGTCTGAATAGATTTCGATTTAACTTATATAACATAATTAAATATTGTAATTCTATAAGTAAAAACTTATGATAAGCACACAAACGAATCTACCCAAACGGCGGCCGAGCTCGCAATGAGCACAGATCGGGGAAAGGCTCTTCGGACTCGCAAAGGTCTCAGCACTGCCACGAATCGCTCAACTGATACGAGCACCTGGAGTTCGATTTTTTAGATGCAAAGTATAGCTTATCAAATCTGTGCCAGCATTAATTTACCAGGATTCCCGCGGAAACGTTTGGCAACATGTGTATCAAGTAGATGTAGGTGTGACACATGAAACGACCGAAAGGCCATCTGGAATTGAGAAGATTAGAGATTTTTTTGCGTTTTCAATGCAAAATGAAGATAAAACTCAAAACCTTTCAATTTTTGAGCTTTAGAAACCTTACCGATGATCGAACATGACGAAATGTGCGGCGTTTTGTAGCACACAAAAGCACCCGACGAAGAAATCGGCAACTGAAATTTATACAGTACTGCTTAGATTAAAATAATCTTGATTAATTGAATTTTGAAAGCTCAATTTAAGTTTCAAAAATCTTACTTGTCAAGTTGACCAAGAAAAATTTCGGTAACGAGCGCAATCGTCGCTGAGAGACGAAGACACAAAGAATCACCACGTTGCCTGGAAATTTTGGAGTTCAAAAATTTGATAATCATTTCCAATATCGTTAAAATCTATTTATTTACCTATCACAGTCGAAAGAAACACGAATAAATATGCGGTAGAAAAGATAAGTCGAATAATCGGAGTCTCGAGTAGAGAGATCTCAACGGGTGGATCGATCTCCGGGTTCTGATCGGGGATTGAGATCGTCGACATCTGAATTCAGGAGAGGAATGATTTGAATAAATAAAAATCGATAAGAAAATGAATAAATCAATAAATAATCGTAAAATTGGTCCGTTAGAAAGGCTGATAGTGATTCAAACAAGAACACATTTTGAAATGTGCACGGATAAGAAATTTGAGTCAATGAGGGGGTTTTTAGGTTTAGCTATAGAATAAAAATTGATTTCGAGAGTAGTCTTCAGAAAATAAAACACAAATTTGACCAATAGACACGGGCGCTATAAACGAATGACGAACTCTTACACTATAAACGCTTCTAAGTTGCGAAAATCTTATGATTTCTGAATCTTTCTTTTCAGATGCACTTTCCTAAACTCAACTTGATAAACAACACAAAGTAACATGTCTCCAAAAAGCAAACCACCAATTTCATCGACAATCTTTAGTACGTTGAAACCTACGATTTTTAGAGAAAAATCTTGAAAATGAAGAAATAGATATCAAAGCATGTGTAATTATGGCTGATAAAGGGGGGAATTTTCGATCTCAAGACAAAGTACAAAGACAGAAAGTATGGCGAGTTTCACCAAAATGTAACTATTATTGGAGAAAAGTTTGAAAGCTATAAAGCTTTGTCAATATTTGACGAGTCGGTAGAACAAAACTTCAAGTGGGTTTCGAAAAGTTCACGTGAAAAGATTGCATAACAGATTCACGACGAAGACGACGAAGACAGCAAAGGGACCCCAAATTTGCAGCAGGCGGTTTTCCCAGAAAAACTAAATTATCGTTTTGAAAACTGAAAACAAATTCTGAATCAGGATAAAAAGTTACACTTTCTAACAAATTTTCAGAGTTTTTGGTTCAAGCGTTTACAAGAAAACATCCATGGTACAGTGTACCATATCGCCGTGAATGTGTTAAGTTTTTGTGGGAATTTCTCTTAAGGCTTGAAGTAGTGAACTTCAAGGTGATGCTCAAAATTAAACCCTTTGTCTTAAACAGTATAACAAAGTTTCATGATTTTAGTACAATTTATTACCTAAACCTAAAGCCACTTAACCTCATTTTTCTTATAGGTAACAAAAATTGAACAAAAAGCTAGTCGGCGAAGAGTAAAGTCATCGTTTCGGCGTGTAGAAGATCGAGAATGGGAGAAAAACACGTGAAAACGGTTGTCAAATAGACAGTTTTGAGTGTGGGGGAAGGGTTGAGAGGGACACAAAATGGAAAAGATTGGAAAAAGGAAGGGAACGACCCAAGGATCTTTTTTCTTGGGGCTAGGGGAGGTCATGAGAAATGACAAATGGGCACGCGGCTCGGATGACGAATCCGCGGTGAATCAAAGGCAAAATTTGTGGATCTTTAATTCTTGCAATTAGAACAAAGCTTTTCAAAACCATTTTTTTGAACCAAAGACAAGCAGACCAGTGATAAGCAAAGGACCAGGTCCTGGCCTAGCTTCTGGTCTTGCCTGGCTTACCAGGCATGGAAAGTTGAAATGTCCCATGTGAAGTCTAGCTTTACTTCAAGTCTGACCCACAAAAAGTATCAGGGTTAACTTGGTGCCAAGTCTGGACTTCGCTTGGCTTGAGTTGGGCCTTGCCTTGGCTTTGCGTACAGGGCTAGAGCCCGATTCCCTGTTCTTGGCAGAAACAGCTATACCATCTAGATTATCATACTGTTCAAAAATCCATAATGGCCTTTCAATAATGTTATTAAAACTTAACCCTTTGAAACATTTCGAACAAATTTTCAACGCAAACTCCTTATAATTCTTCAAAACTTTTCTTTTCCCTTCCTCTCAAGGATTATGAAAGCGATTAGGAACTGAATAGCAAATTTGGTATCCTACTTTCTATGAGTAGACTTATGATTTATGTATCCGGAATCCGAATACGGAATGTTGAAGTTCATTGTTATAAGAAAAGAGTCAAAATGACCTCAAACTCCGTTTTCATTTTAGAAAAACTTCTAAAACTCGGAACTAAAGAAAAAAATTGACTTGATTTTGACAATTCTGACAAAAAATAGTAGACATTTGCCTATTAGCCGGATGTCAAAATTGAAACCGGAAATCATTAAGTAGATGGAAGGATTCATAAACAAATCTTTAAAATCCAAAAGATTTCCGATGCATCAGAATGAACTCAAAAAAGACAGCCTAATAAATGAGTTTCCTTAAATAGCGAAAGGAATATATTTGGGTGAATCTTTTTCTCGAAAAATAGTCATTTCAATGTTTGGAGATCCGCCGAAAAGACACAAAAACGTTGAGTGTTTGAGAAAATTTCAGTTTCGTTAAAGGTTCTTTGGTTTTAGTGTTAAGCACCCTCAAATTTCAGCGAAAGCTGAAATTTTTTAAGTCAAGATAGCTTAGACTCAGTTCTTCAGTCAAGTTCAGTTCAATTTTTGTTCACATTACGCCGTAACGGGAAAATTTACGATTAAGCTTTTTCAATAGAAAATCGAAATTGCGTCCCATTTTCCGTAACCGGGTTTGAAGCCTTGCTCTTTGAAATTGAAGCCAAGATTGCTAACTATTTGGTCAAAATGATTGAAAACATTCAACAAATAGGTAAAACTATTCAGACTTGGCCTTGAATATTTGATTAAAAGGATTTAGTATAAGTATAAGCCTGGAATATTGTGAGCTATTGGATATTGGAATAACTCCAATAAAAGCCGATGATTGCTGAATTTTACCTAAAACAGTAAGTTTTCTTGACCAAGAACACGTGAGTTGTTCATTCACAAAGCACGAGATTCTTCCTCTTTTTTCACTCATCAACACCTACACATTCCCTTTTTTCAAAAAACCACTTGGTGATTCAGTATTTACCCTTACGTAGTACAATTTTTGCCGAGTAGACAGGAAAAGAAAAAAAAGACAAAAGAAAGAAATTCGAGTCGAATCGGAGCTAAAAATGAAGAGGTCAAGCCTCATGTTTGCAGAGGCTTTTGAAGGGATTTTAGGGAAGGATTTCGGGAAATGTGGGCAAAAATGTATCGCTAGCAAGGAAAAGGAACTCAAAATCCTGCAAAATTTTAAAAAGGTCTAATGTTTTTGAAAAGAGATTCGAAGATTTTAAGAGCTGCAAAGGATTTAGGTCTCTTCAATGAAGTATGCAACTCTTTTATCTTGGCTCTTCAAATGAATCCAAATGAAAAGGCTCTTCAACGTTTTCAATTGATTATGAACTTGAAGCCAAATGAAAACTGAGAAAAGATTATTGTCTAGAATCTTTAAAAATGCCAAAACCTAAACTTTATAAAAAACCAGACTTGAGCCTCAAGCTTGAGAATTTTGCAGAACCATTGGAGAAATCGTTAAACTTATGTTATAATGGAGACACAAAGAGATAAAAAGTTTGGGTTTTGGTTTTAGAGACAGCAAAATTCGATTAAACTGCAAAACTGGGAGTAATTCTAATTGTAAGATGCAAAATTTATCACAACTGAAATTCGAAATGAAAACTGAAGAATAACTGGATGAATTTGAACCAGAGACCAAAAAAATGCAATTGTACAATCGGGACCTTGAAACTTGACTTAGTCTAGCCTATAATTCTAGGACAGAATTGAATTCTAGTGAATTCTAGTGCAATGCAGATCTAGAAAGACAGTAAGGCGCTAAAATTGCAAAGACCCCATTTAGTCAAAATTTCTAGAACCAAAAATCAAGCAGTAACACCAACTATCACTTGGAGAATGAACCAAACCCACTCTTTTTTGATTCAATTCCTTCCGAATAATGCGAATCAAATGCAAATAGAAAAAAGAAAGGAAAGGGGAAAGAAAAAGTATAAGGGCCAACATGGGCACTCCTCTTTTCTTTCAAAAACCTCAATTCTTTTCTGAAAAAGAAAAAAGGAACATGAAATTGTGGGCAATTCTTTTTTGTTGGGGTGGTTTTCCTTTAAACCTTTAGGGTGTTTTCGGAAGGAGATTGAGATCCGTAACTGAGCATTGAACGAATTTAGGGAATTTTCGAGGGAAACAGAACCTCAATCACAATAAAAGTTTCATAAAATGAAACGAATCGGGAACTCATATGAAAAGATTTACGTAGTCTGGTCTTTAGTGGAAAGTTCATAAGCTCAGAATTGAGAATTTTGTTTTCGAATTGAGAATTTTGTTCACCAGTCGGTTAGAAGGCAGTAAGAAAAGAAATATTCTTGCCGATTTTTAAATTACTACTCACAAGATCATTAAGCACAATTCTTCAATTTGCCATAGTTACAGTTAGACTTGCCAAACCTAGTGCAGAATGGAAAATCGATTTGGAATAGAATTTGGAATTTAAATAGATAAGAATGGTAGAAAAACGAAAAGCAACTTTTACCATTGATAAACAAATCTACCAATAATCCCCGCAGAAATGAGGAATTCTAAAGACATTCAAAAATTGCATGAACGTTGGTTTTAGGAGGCTAATGTTACTTGACAAGAAAAACATTAAGGAATTGACTCGTATAAGAATAACAAAATAACAAACAAAACGAACAAAACAAAATTTCTAATTTCAACAAAATTCCAAATGACTCAAATGTTTTTTATATTTCTAGATTTTATGGTGTAACTGATCGTGAAAGAATAGTAATCCAGATAAATACCTAATAGCTTTCGTGTAAATCCTGCAAATTCCAACCTTGAGTGTGTTCAGCTTTGAAATATCTTTAGCTCATTAGCTTTTTAAGAGCTATTTTCAGAATATCTAAAAATTCTGTCATTTCTGATAATCCAAAGGAATCTCAACGGAAAAGAGGAAAGAGTAGGAGATTTGCTTACATCCAAATAGAAATTTCTTTTTTCCAGAAAGGGATTTCTTCTTCATCGATATCACTTTACACCCACTCGACAAAAGATTAAAAATTTCTGTTTTGAACAGAAAAAATGCTTTCATAAATTAAATAGAACTCAAAAATTGATAGAGAATGTTTGGAACACAATGTTTTTATTGGGGAAATTTAGGATTTCCTGGAAAATGTGGAAAAGTAGGTGCAGATATTGAAAGAAGTATTGTACCC